TGTATGCAGGAACAAAATCGGTCACAAGCAAATGTGACCACTTGTTGAAGTAGACAACACCAAATGGGGTGCAACAAAGGCCAAAGGGGAAGAAGAGACTCAAAGACTCACATTCACACATTCACACATTCACACAGTCACACATACACTCACGAAAGTGCTCAGCCAACCTGACAAGCGAGCAGAGGGGCGGGGGAGAGAAGAAGGGGAAATGGGCTGGAAAGCGAGAGGAGGTGGAGAAGGTGGAAAGGAGAGAAAGGAGAGAAAGGAGAAGGAATGCTGAGGGCAAGTAGGGAACAAAGGACAAAGAGAGGGAGAGGGAGAGGAGAGAGCTGAGTGCGATTAGGAGCAGCAGCCACCACTGCTGGATGCAGGTTTGGCCTTGATGTCCAGCGTATCCTTCTTCTTTGCACCGCCGCTGGCCATGGTTGGGCCCATCCTGTTGTTGACACAATGGCGGTCGTGGTTGCGTGTTCGGGGTGAGCACTTGAGTGAACGCACACGCGTACACACACACACACACACACACACACACACACACACACACACACACACACACAGAGGGAACTGAAATGCAACGAGAGCGTTTAGATGCACAGGCAGGCGCATGTCGACAGAGCCGCAAAACCAAGCCCAGGCCCACCTGTTCTTGATCTCTGCCGCCATGGTCATGAAGGCCTGCTCGACGTTTGTGGCGTTCTTGGCACTCGTCTCAAGGAAGGGGATGCCGATGCTGTCGGCAAACTCCTTGGCGGTTGTGTAGTCGACCTGCTTCTTCGCCGCGAGATCGCTCTTGTTACCAACAAGAAGCTTGTTCACGTTCTCGCACGCATAGCGGTCAATCTCCTGCAGCCACTGCTTCACATTCTCAAACGAGTCCTGTCATGCGCACGTTGAAGCATTCGAAAGCGGGCACAATGCGCAAAAGGTGAGAGAAGAAAAAGGAGGTGAGTGAAGGAAAACACAAGGAACTGATGTACTTGTGTCATGGACAGGAGGGCACAAACTTAAACACAAACACACACACACACATGCAAACCAAGACGAGGCGGGCTAACCTTGTCTGTGACATCGTAGACGACGATGATGCCGTGTGCGCCGCGGTAGTAGCTGGAGGTGATGGTGCGGAAGCGCTCCTGACCGGCTGTATCCCACTGAAAGTCACCAGGCACAGCGCAACACCACGGGTCAGGCCATGGAAAAAGATGAAAAGAAGAAAAAAGAGAGGAAGGTTCTTTGCTTTGGGGGGGGGGGGCTGGGTTCGATGCGATGATGACGCCGCAAACGCGTGGACAACATAACATAACACTCAACAACTACCACACAAAGCCAAACACACATTCATGACCATGTTCTCACAAACACAACACGGTTGCAATAACGTACAATCTGAAGCTTGATGGTCTTGCCGTCGAGCTCAATCGTTCTGATTTTCTGTAAGGTGGAACAACGGCAGTGTTAGAGTGAGAGCGTGTTTGTGTGTGCGTGCGAATGAGGGGAGGCTTCAGGGGGTGTGGCGATGTGCAACAAGAACAGCAACAGCATCAACAGCAGGCGCGGCATCCACTGCACTCACGAAATCGACGCCGATTGTGCTGATGTAGCTCTCCGTGTATGTGTCGTCCTGTTCCGATTCAAGAGAAACCCGCAACAGAACGAAGGGGGGGGGCGCACGGCAAGCAGGCAGAGAAAGAGAGTACAAGCAGTGAGCGAGACAGCCAAGGTGGCAGCCTTTGAGCAATTGTCGCACACTGCAAGCGATCAAGGCAAGGCACTCAAGGCAAAACAACAGGTGTTGAGAGCAAGCGATTGGGAAATGTACGCAGTGTTAGGTGGGCTAGCGTACCGCGAATCGGAGAAGCAGGCAAGACTTGCCGACGCCAGAGTCGCCAATGAGCAGCAGTTTGAACAAGTAGTCGCTGGTGATGCAAAGATGTGGATGGAGCACCACGAAGAAAGGGTGAGACCCGCGCATGATGACCAAGTGTGGGATGCAGCGGGTCAGCGTTGTGGTTGTGGTTGTAGCATGGGGACATTGACAGTGATGACGGCTGTTGCGGGATGGAGGAAGAGCACAAAACACTATCAACTGCACATGCCACGACTCTGTGCGGGCGGCATTGCATTGCAAGCACGATAACGCGCGCACGCTCAAAGCCATGGCAAGCACGGCACACGACACAACAAAGGACTCACTACTCGGGGTTCATGGTTGCGGTTGGTGTGTCCTAACTACGACAATCACACGAGTTGGGGGAGGGGGGAGGAGCGGATGTGGGGAGGGCAATGGAACAGAACAAGTGAAGGACGAGGGAAGCAAGAGAAGAGAGCTGCTGTGAGTTGGATGCTCGCTTGAAGAAAAAGTGTGTCCGTGGATGGTGATGGAAGATGGTGATGTGTAGTTTGTGTGATTGGTTATGTGCAGTCAGGAGAAGACAAGGAAGATGGGGGCTGATGGTGTGCTTGGAGAGGGGGCAGCATGTGTGGAGCTGGAAATGCCACCCCAGCGACGTGGGTGCGAGCGAGGCAGAGTGGAGAAACAGCCAACACATGGCTTCGTCGCAAACCACCAAGAGCAAGCAATACCAGCACCCCCACTCAAATGTCCACGTCGACACTTCTTCTTCCATCACCAGGCAAGGCGCGGCCATGGCGATGATGGCAGAAACACCCCCACATGCCGCTTGCATGTGCGCGCGGAACCACAGCGCCACAAGCAGTATACACGTGCCAGGCTTCCTCCAGCACGGGAGGAACATGGCATGCGGCACCGTGCTGGTGCGGTCCGTTTGAGCACCACAGCCAACTCGTTCACCACACGTCTCTCCAAGCAGCTGCGTTTTCTCAGCAACCTTGCCCTCCGTTTTCTTCGAACACACACGCACGCACGCACGGTGGTTGCGGGAAGGAGAGGAAGGCAGCCTCCGGTTGCTTACCGAGGGGGGCGGCGGGTGTTAACAGCAGGCGGGAGGGCGGCGCAGGGCGAGCCACAGTCCAATCCAGAAGGAAAGAGGCAGGGAGGTGCGCGAATGGAACCAAAAGCAGAAAGACAGAGAGGGTTGTTGGCACAGCACGTCCTTGTTTGTGATGAGACAGGCTGTTGCTCTGTTTGTGTGTGGAGGAGATGAGAAGGCACACACACACAACCGAAAGCAAGAAGAAGGCAGCGGGCGAGGGAGGGGCGAAGAATTTATTTTGTTATTGTTTTTTTTTTTTTCGCTTGGGCTTTGCCTTGTTTCTTTGTGCTTGTGGGTGAGTGTGTGGGAAAGTGGTTTGAATGGTTGGAGAGGTGAAAATCGCGCTCCACTCATAACATTCCCAAGTACTGCTGACTCAGCACAAACGAGACGCAGCGAAGGAGGACAGCCCGAAAGCGAGCGAGCGATGCAGGAACAACAGCCAGCGCGGTTGTTGTGTGTGGACTGGGATGGAGTGGTGTGTCGCAGTGCCAAGGAGACGGGCAAGGCAGGTCTGCTCACCGCTGCCAAGGTGTGTGTGTGTGTGTACTTGTGTAAGAACTCGTGTGTGTACTTGTGTAAGAACTCGTGTGTACTTGTGTAAGAACTCGTGGTTTTTTTTTTGTGTGTGTGTGAAACTCGTGTGTGTTTGTTTGTGTGAGTGCACTTGTGTATGAAGCAACGCATGAATGTATGTATGCAAGCAAAAGGGTCACATCCTCGCGCGCACACACCACAACTCTCAGTTGAGGGACAGTCAAGTGCCGGAAGATCATGTTGTCGAGGACCTGTTGGAACAGTTTGAAGTGGTACGGCATGTGCAGCACATGGTGCTCCACGCTCTTGCTTACTCCTGCTTGCTTGCCTGTCTGCCGTTGCTGCTGCGAAGCTGCAAGTCTGTTGGCATGCCCGTTTACGCGCTGCTGCCACACCATGCCCGTCTGTACTGAACAGCACAAAACACGTTGTACGCTCTGCGTGTGTACACTCACTGCACCAACATAGGCAAGGCCGTGTCTGGAAGTGGGATGGGAGGCCGCCATCATCATGCATGCTCTCTGGGCCAGAAGTCTCACGCCTGCAGTCGTTCTCGAGTCATTCCACTCCTCCCTCAAAGGTGTATGTGTGTGTGTTGTGTGTTTGTGTGCGTGTGTGTACATGGTTTGATGTACATGGTTTGATGTACACAAGATCAGCAAAACAGCTGGCTGCCTTGGTCGTTGCAGCAACCACTGCCGCGTTCACACGTGTACACGTGCTAAGACCCAACACCCACCCAAAACACCCAAACCAGAACATAGACGCACACACACACACACACACACACGCACACGCACACACACACACACACAACAGAACATAGACGTATCCACAAACACATGTTCGCGATACACTCTTGCTTGTGTCTGTGCAGATGACATTATGAAAGAGCTGGAGTTAACGGAGGCAAGTGCGAAGCAAGTTTTCCACGACACGCGTACCTCATGGATGAGCAGCAACAAGGAGGTGCGATGGCGGTTGCTGATGGCGATGCGACTCGCCGTACAATCTGTGATGCTGACTCGGCCTTATCCTCGTTACAGTATCAACTGGTGTCACTGATCGTGCCATGCGACGTGCCATCTGCCATGCCAGGCGTGGTTGGCCTTGCACGGCTTCTTCGAGGACACACAGCAGCACCTGCAGCGAATAATCGCATCAGACACAAACACAAAGGTGTGTGTGTGTGTGTGAGTTTGTGAGTATGTGTGAGTGTGTGTACGCACACCTCGTCACTTGTGTGGTTGCGATTGATCGCCTGGTGCTGCCTTGTCATCATCACTGCAAGCAGCGATGCTCTTTCCTGAAGCACACAGTTGTCTGTCTGCCTGTCTGTCTGTCTTGCCTGTCTGTCTGTACTCACATCTGCCCTGTGGATGCATTGCTCACACATAAGGTGGCGGTCATCACGACCAAAGGAAAGGACTTTGCAGCCCCTCTCGTGCAGCAGGCCAGTCTGGCAATCCCGGATGAGTTCATCTTTGGCCTGGAAGCTGGAAAGAAGGTCCGGAGTGGCAACCGTGCACACAACCACACACACACACACACAACCACAACCACACACACAAACACACATACACACACACACACGCTCACATAGCTGCGACTTCGTGTGTACTACTGCTGGTTGGCAGTGGGATGTGCTGTCGTCGCTGCTTGAAGAGCACCCTGATGCGACTTGTATTTTTGTCGAGGATCGTCTCAACACACTCCTTGCCGTACACGAACGGTCAGTGAGGAAAATTGCACATACCCATGCGTGCACTCTGTCTCTCTCTGTCTCTCTCTCTCTCTCTGTCTCTCTGTCTCTCTCACGCACACACACACACACACACACACACACACACACACACACACACACACACACACACACACACACACACACACACACACACACACACACACACACACACACACACACACACACACACACACACACACACACACACACACACACACGGTAGGTTGGGGGAGCGTGTGCAACTGTATCTTGTTGATTACGGATACAACACACCGCAGCAACGCCAACAGGCGCAGGAACACCCCGCCATCACGGTCATCTCTTCCTTTGCGCAACTGCCCGCGTGATGGCAGACACCCGTGCACCAGCGACAGACAGACAGATGGCTGCTTTGTTGAGCATGCCACAAACTATGCTCGCTCTCGCTCTCTCTCTGGTTCTCTGACTCTCTCCCCTTGGGTGCCAGCGTGAAGCACATTCAGGCATGTAAACGCGTTTTGTAATGCACGGGTACAGCAAAGGATCGCTTAGGGAGGGGGAGTGAAAGCACAACGTAGGCCGTGGGGGAAAAAAGGTGCAAAAGGCAACGGGCCCATGGCTTGCTGGAACAGGAGGGGAGGGGAACAACACAGCACACAAATGGGCAAGCAACAAGAAGGAAACATGACTGTCAATGCCGTCCCGGAAGAGGGCCGCAGCAGCAGCAGCATCAACGCAACAACGACGACAACAAACAACTGCGTGTGCAGCAGTGAAAGCGGCACTAGAACGGGTGGTGCATTTGTCACGCAGGCTGGTAAACATCAGCAGCAGCGAACACGGCACGGCATGGCTGCCCGCCGCTTAGGCAGTGCCGTATGTGTGCACGACAGTGTAGTTGGGGCGGCGGCGACCGGCGAAGCAGGCAACGCCCATGCAGAAGCAAAAGGCAAGCGGAGCGAAGACGACCACAACCAGGATGCCAATCACAATGGCCGCAATGATACCTGTCACAGCAAAGCGGGAATAGGACAAGGACGTAAGGTGAGCGGATGGTGGTGAGATTATCGTCAGAAAAGCAAGGAAGGGAAGGAAGGCAAAGAAGGAAGGCAAAGCCAACACAAGGTACGAAACCGCAAGTTGGAACCAACACACACATGCACACGCACACACGCACCAGCAGCGAGGTGAGAGACGTCCGTGCAATAGGAGGTCTCAGAGCAGCCACCAAACCGGCACTGGTTGGGGCAATAGCGTTGCTCAAGTTGGTTGAAGTACGGGGAGCAGTCGAAGTCGCAGTTGGCGCAGGTGCTGTTCAGCTGGTGGTGGTGGTTGGTGGTGGGACAACAGAAGCGAGAAAGTACACCATGTGAGTAACTACCATGACGAGTTGAGCACATACTTAAGACAAAAAAGCAGAGCACAAGGCGCATGACACTGAACAAGCATTGTCTTTCACAACAGTGGGTGCTGCTGCGGGTGATGCCAGCACCTCATGCATTTGGACTTACCGTGGTGGTGTAGCTGTAACCGTTCTCGCACGTCACCTGGCAGTCACAGAACGCTTGGGCTGCAAAGACGCAACCACAAGCCAAATCGAGCACCAAGGCGAATACAAAACAGGGAGAGGGGGGGGGGGGTGAGTCCAGACACGACCATCCGATCAACACCCAACCGCGGCGGAAGCAGAGAAATGGCACGCCATCCATATGACACGCCACAACAGCACAACACAAAAGGCAAAACAACCACAACCAGTCCGGCAAGCGCCCGCAAAACAAGCTTGTTCCCTTCATCAATCAACCTCGCGCAAGCACAGTAATACTCAAGCAAGGTAACCAAGGCCACGCACCGGCAAAGGCAAAAGACGCGATCGTCACAAGGACGAGCAGGGCGCGGGTGGTGTAGTTTGAGGCCATCGTCAGCGTGTGGAAGGAGGGCCCGGCAGGCTGGCTTGTGTCGTCGTCGAGTCTGGCACACGGTTGTTTGAGCACGTCGCAGGAAAAATGCGCTGTGTTATGATTCGATGCACAAGGACACCATATGAAAGATGTGGCCAATTTTCGTGAGTGCCTGAGGCTAAAACGCAAGACAAAGTGGCACAGAGAAGGCGCAAACAAGCAAACAACACAACCCACCTAACCCCCCCCCCCGCCACCCACCTCGCTTGTTCACCTCTTCCACCTGTTGTTCATTCTTGGTGGAGCAGCAGACAACAGCGACAAACCACGCCACAACCATGGCGACAATGGCGCAATGGTGGACGGTAACAGCAGCAGTATGCCTGGTGCTAGCCGCAACATTGCTGCCGGAGCGCGCCGAAGCAGCTTGTTCCACAACGCTCCCGGCAAACGCAGACTTTCTCTGCCTTCAGCCAACAGCGTTGACGGGACTGAATCCGGTATGGGATGCCGCCTTGCGCCGTTGTGTTGAATATAATGTTGTGTGCTGCCTGCGATGGACTTGTGGTGGATGTCAGCATGAACAAACATGCATTCGCACGCAGGGTGCGGCAAAACATACTGCTTCGTGAGTTCATGCAAAGCACACACACACATAATGCACGCGCACACCAAAACACGCAACGCAACGCAAACACAACATGCAACACAAACACGCAGACGTGTTCGAATGGCGGGACATTGTCGGTGTCAACGTATTGCCAGTTTGAGAACGACCCCAGCCGTTGGGCGGCCTCGGACTGTGAGTGCGAATGCCCAACGCAATGGAGCGGCCCAACATGCACCGAACCTGGTGCCATCTGCGAGGGCAACTACACCTGCCTTCGCGGCACCTGCGAATCGTACCGCAAGTGCTCCTGTCCACCAGAGTGGACGGGCGACCAGTGTCAGCTCCGTAAGTGCACTCCAAAGTGGCACAATAATGGTTGTTCCGCGTGATTCATGATGCAAGTGATCATATGGCTGTGGTGAAGCTCATGCGTTTGCAACACTTTTGCGACACTGCTCTCCATCTGTGTTTGGCTTCCTCTGATTTCTCCTGCCATGGCTCTCACAACTACCTGCTCATCCTTCCAATCGTTCCAATCGTTTCCCTCCTCACACCACCACCACCTGCTTGTCCTCCTCATACCACCACCTGCTCGTCCTCCTCACACTGTGTGGTCCTGGCTGTGATCCGGTTGGCGGATACTGCAACACGCCTGGAGAGTGCAGCTGCAAAGAGCACCACACTCCAGCGGTGTGTGGTCCTGGCTGTGATCCGGTTGGCGGATACTGCAACACGCCTGGAGAGTGCAGCTGCAAAGAGCACCACACGGGCCAGTTCTGCGACGTGTGCGAGGACGGCTACTACCGCTCCGACGACACAGGCCTCTGCATCCGTACGTGTGCTCTCAAGAGGATGTGATGAATGGGAGGGGGAAGAGGAAGAGGAAGAGGAAAGGGAAAGGACAAGGGGAAGGGGAAGCAGAGGAGGGGAAGAGGAAGAAGAGTCAGGGCGGCTGAGGATGTTGTGCAGACTGGCAGCTTGGATGCATGGGTTGTGCTCGGCGCTCTTCGTGTCGCTTTCATTGTTTCGCCAACCGTGCGTGATACTCCACTATGCTTTCCCACCCACTTTGCGCAACACAGCGAAACAAACGCAGGGATACTGCGACCGCAAAGATGCGGCTGCGACGTACGTGCCGGTCACGGGCGTGTGCGACTGCTCGCCGTTCGAGTGGTATGGCGACCGCTGCGACATTGGTGAGTCGCGCACAAGCCACCGCGTGGGCTGACAAAACGCACCTCTTCTTCTGCCTGCATGCAGTGATTGCGTGACTGATGTTCCTGAGTTTGTAAGAGTAGACGTGTAAACGTCGTCCAAACAAAACGTGCATGTGCACCCATACGTGCGTGAGCGCTCACCACACACACACACACCTTTTTGTGCGCCTGCTCGTCATGTTCCAATCATTAGAGTGCCAGAAGTGCCCTGATGGCGAGCGGCAGGTTGGCGGCTGCATCGGCAACGAACCTGTGGAATGCGGAGGTCAGCCAGCAACACGACACCAGAATTGCACTTCTCGAACAGGCGCTTGCTTGATACACTGGCTGGCGTCTCAATGTTTCACTGTCAACAGCCTGCAGCAGATCTGCAAAAGGAGAACATCACCTTCCCTGTTGTATCTACTCCTCTGCTTTGCTTGGCTTCATCTCACCATCCCCACACACACGCACATGCACATGCACACATGCACACATGCACATGCACACATACACACATGCACGCACACACACACTCTTCCATGCGCAGGTTGCAGCCCGTGCGAGGATGGGTTCTCATATCGCGTGAGCGGCTGTGATGGCAGCACCATTGACAGCATCTGCGAGCCGTGCAACCAGTGTTCCCCAGGCACCTTTGCCAACGGTGGCTGCATCAACGGCGAAGACACCCTCTGCGTCGGTGCGTACTACAACCACATTGCACATGCGCAAATGCATCGCTTGCAGAATCAACGTGAAGGAGGGGAAGGAATGGACAAGGGACAGGAGGAAAGATGATGGGTTGTGGTTGTGGTTGTGGTTGTGGTTGTTGCAAAGCACGCGCACCCTTGCTACCTCCTTTTTGTTGATCTCCCGTCGTGTTTGTACCACATGCTTTGCAAGCCGCGTCCCCCGAATGTACTGATGTGGTTATGAGTTGTCTCACCGCCCGCCTTGTTTCTCCCTTTTTCGTTTGCTGGTTGTAGAGTGCACGGAGTGTGCTGAGGGCACGTTCCTGTCTGCCGGCTGCGACGGCATTGAGGATTCCGTCTGCGGAGAATGCAGCACAGAGTGTCCAGACGGCATGTTCCCCGTTGCCCCATGTACCCCTCAACACGACCTTCGATGTGCAGGTGCGCTGTGTACTTGTGTGTGCATGACACTGTGTATGTGCATGACACTGTGCGTGTGTGTGCATGGCACTGTGTGTGTGTATGAGCGTGTAAGCATGTGTGATTGATGTGAATGAAAATGGGAAGGTCGATTCCACTATTGTGCTCGCCACAAACACGCACATACACTCCTGCGCTCATTTCTTCATCTCTCTCACACGCACATTCTTCACACATGTCGTCTTTCATGTTCAAGACTGCCTGCCTTGCCCTGAGGGCACGGTTACGGCACGGTTCTGCAACAGCACGCACGAGAGCGTCTGCCTCGGTACGTGCAGATGTGGATGTCATGCGCCCCCTCTGCCCCTCTCTCTCTCTTCTTCCCTCCCTCCCTCCCCCCTCTCTCTCTCCCTCACTCTCTCTTCCGATCCAGTCTTCTCTTTGGCATGGCGTGTGAGCACATGCACTCGCCCCAAGATGTTCCCATCACTTCACCCCAACTGGTCTCACGCCCATCGCCTGCTTGCTTCCATAACACCCTTGTCCCGACCACCCCAGGCACGGTTGAGATTCCCGCGCTGCCTGCAGTGTACGTGCAGCAAGAGACGCGACTGCTACATCTTCGCCTGGGAAAGCGCTCGCCGGCGCCGTTCACCATCCGCATGTCCGGTGTTGGACTGCAGGTCCTCCAGTCCGACCGCACAAACTTCAACGGGTCAGGATAAAGTGTACACGTGCATGTGTGATTGGTGCGGGGTTGCGTGCGTGTGTGTGTTGACGTGATGCTGTGTCGTGCATGTTGCTGGGTTACGTGTATGAGTGCGTGCAACTACGTGCTTCTGCTGTGACCATACCACTGCCTGCTGCCGCTGCTACTGTGGTGTGATGTGACTGCATCACCCTGCGTGAACAACGCAACCTGCACGTGCTCACTGCTGATGCATGTGCACCCACCACTGTTTTTGCAGGGAGAGCAACTTTGGAGACACGATGCAGACATTTGACCTGCAGATTGATGCCAACGCCGAGTCTGTGCCCTTCACCATCACGCCGCACGCCACAGGCCAGCAGCCCGTGCAGTTTTCGTACCCGGACAATGTTGGTGCCACAAACTACGTCGACATCACCGAGGAGACGAGGAACTTGTTTGGCCTCATTCGTACGTCGCAGCGGCAATGCATCATTGCTCGTGTCGTGTCGTGTTGCGCTGTGTGTATGTGGGTGTGTGTGTGTGTGTGCGCGCGCGAAGGGAAAGAGGGAGAGAGGTTGAGAGGGAGGAACCAATGGTGGTTTGCCGGGTTGCTTATCACTGCACTTCCTTGCTTTGAAGTTGCATTCATTCGCATCGGCACGGCTAACCACCCAAGCATCACCGCTTCTCCCTTTTTCTTTGTTGGTGCGCCACTGCAGAGATCGATGAGGGATCGAGCGTGTTTGACGACTTTGGTGTTGAGGAAGGCGAAGTCCCAACAGGCACCCACACCCTCCCCGTCACCATTCTGGTCAGTCACCGTTGTTGATTGCTTGCTTGTTGTGCTTGTTGTGCTTGTTGTGCTTGTTGTGCTTGTTGTGCTTGTGCTTGCTCGTCCCAGCTTCCCGTTGTTGCTGGTCATTCCAGTTCACCATTCTCACAACAACAACAACCCTCTCCAAACCGCAACCACGCACATGCATGTATGCGCACATGTGCACTTTGTGGTGTGCAGTCTGACCAGGTTGAGTTCCTTGCTGTGGATCCGTGGCAGTCCATGGGCGGCAACACGCACCAGGCGTGCTCCTTTGTCAGCCTGCGTCTGACCTCCTCTGTGACGCTGCCAATCTCCGTGCGCGGTCTGCGCGTCACCACGTCGCCGTTCAGCATTGTTGTGCCCGACGAGAGCGTGTGCGCTGACGGCTCGCTGTCTGTGGAGCAGCTGCAGCAGCTGTCCACGACGTCGTCGCTGCCGCAGACGTTTATGAGCGCGCTTGTTGTGCTTGTGCTTGCTCGTCCCAGCTTCCCGTTGTTGCTGGTCATTCCAGTTCACCATTCTCACAACAACAACAACCCTCTCCAAACCGCAACCACGCACATGCATGTATGCGCACATGTGCACTTTGTGGTGTGCAGTCTGACCAGGTTGAGTTCCTTGCTGTGGATCCGTGGCAGTCCATGGGCGGCAACACGCACCAGGCGTGCTCCTTTGTCAGCCTGCGTCTGACCTCCTCTGTGACGCTGCCAATCTCCGTGCGCGGTCTGCGCGTCACCACGTCGCCGTTCAGCATTGTTGTGCCCGACGAGAGCGTGTGCGCTGACGGCTCGCTGTCTGTGGAGCAGCTGCAGCAGCTGTCCACGACGTCGTCGCTGCCGCAGACGTTTATGAGCGCCATTGAGCCGTCCCTCCCGTCCTGGCTGCGCATTGCAGTGGACAGGGACTTTTCTGCAGACGTCACGGTGGAGAGCGATTTCTTTGTCAAGCTCATTCCAGGCCCCGAGGTCACCTCCATCCCCAACTGCAACGTGAGTCGTGCTTTGGTTGTGTGCTTTGGTTGTGTGTGCTTTGCGTGTGTGTGTATGTGTGTGCTGGGTGTGTGTGTGTTTTAGTTGTGTGCTGGGTGTGTGTGTTTTAGTTGCATTCCAATGTCATGCGTCATGATGTTTGTGTTGTTGCGTGAGTCTGCCTGCATGCAAGCAAAGATCGCGTGCTTGCAGGCAATGAAAGTGGTCTGCTTTCCTTTGCTTGTCTTCTGATCGAGTCACATCACTCACGACAGCTCGCAACCCTGTTACTCGTCTCGCACATCACCACGCGATAGAACCTGCCCGTGTTTTCCAACAGCTACTACGCGGTGGTGCTGTGGTCCAAGGCGTCTGTGATCCTCGTGGACGGCAGCTCGCAGAGCGTCCCTGCTCAGGGCCAGGCGTTCTGCATTGCCGTCGATGTGGCCGCATACCCGGGCGACGTTGTGTTTATGCGGGTGCCCAAGGCGGCGTGGTCGCTGCTCAACGCGTTGCCCTTCAAGCAGCGGCTGGACAGCAGCGGGTGGATTATTGGCGACACCAGCGTCGGCTTCTCCAGAAACTCGCACCTCCAGGTGCCCCACCCTTGCATTGTGGTTTTGCGTCGTTGTGTTGTTGTGTTTGTGCTTGTGTTTGTTCACACTTGCGTGTTCGTGTGGGTTGTGATTGATGTGTTGTGGTTGCCCGTGTGCTGGGGCAACGTGCTTGCACGTGGTTGGAGTCCTTCTTGCTTCACCTCAACTCGCCCTTCCACTTTTGCACTTCCCTTGTTGTTTGACAGGGCGCGCCGACCATCGAGTTCTTTGATGGCGAACACATCTTCAAATACAACACCGGTGGTCTCGACTTCTGGTGCGAACACACACACACACACACACACACACACACACACACACACACACACACAAATGCGCTGTGTGACGGTGATGGGACGATGTTTTGCGTGTAATCATTGGTGCGAGTGTGTGTGTCTGTGTGTGGTGGATGCGTTTGTGCGCTGCTTGCAGCCTTGCACGGACTTGTTGCTCACTTCGGCACCTGCGCACACATCGCCTTGCATGTGTTCATTTGTACACAGGCTTGACACGTCTCTGAGCAAGACACTGCTTGAGCTTGGCAGCACGAGCACGCTTGGCCTCAAGGTTGAGCTCTCTGTGGACGGCGTTGCTGGTCTCTCCTCAGACAACACCTTCACGGTGAGAGAACCGAACAACATGACACGCGTGCTTGTGTGTGCTTGTGTGTGCTTGTGTGTTGTGGTTGCACGTGTGGCAGACGACGCCAAGACTGCATCAGCAGCAGCAGTAGCGGCGAGCGCGCGTCTCACTTCTGTGTTTATGTTGCCCGCTCTAATTGCTTGAATGTGCGTGTGTGTGTGTGTGTATGTGTGTGTGTGTGTGTGAGCAGAACATGAACCAGATCACGGCTGGGGCGTGGGAAGGGTACATTGAGGGCGAGGTGAACCTGGACATCAAGTTCAGCATCCTCAAGAAGACGGCCCAGTGGAACTTCAAAGCGCGCGGTGCTGTCGTTGGCTCCTTCGATGGCGACTCAGGTATTGTGCGTGTGCGCGTGTGTGTGTGTCGTCTTTGTGCAAGCTTGCACGCGCATGTGCACGCAATGTATGTGTTGTAATTCTGTGCGTTTGTACTGGTTCCAAAGGCCTCTTTCACCTTTCTATCACTCAGATGCATGTGCGTATTCACACATGACTGACTTGTGTTTGTGTGTGCGTGATAGGCACGGAGCCTGCGCCTCGGGACAACTGCGGGCCTCTTGCCAATCCAAAGGGCATTTTTGTCACTGTGACCCTGAGCATGCGCTCTTCTGGTTTTGGCAACAAGATTCTCGACTCTGCCCTTGGGTTCGTCGCCCACGCAACAGCGCACAGACACAGACACAGACACACACACACACGCGCACACACACACACACAAACGCACACAGACAGACCCCCACGCAAAAGCGCAGACACACACACACAGACACAGACACACACAGACACACACACACACACACACACACACACACACACTGCTGAAGCCTCAACCCGGGTTGCGCGATTGCATGCACTGACGCTTTGTCTTGCACTTTGCATTTTGTGCTTGGTTTTGATGCACCACAACAGCGACTTCCTTGGCTTTGGTGCCGAGGAGGAGTTCAGCCTCAAGTACTTTATCCTGTACAAGAGCAGCTACGTGAATGGCGTCTGGCAGGAGGGCATGGCAGGTGCGCAACGCGTCACGTGTTCTCGTTGTTCCCTGCTTGCCTCTGTCTTTTGGGTTGTGAGCTTTATTGACTTCGTTGTTACCGCTGCCGCTTGTGCGCGCATGCATGCGCATGCATGTGCGTGTACTTGTAGCTGTGTCTTGTGTTGCGTCGTGTCTTGTCATGGGTTGAACCGCCCCATGGACGGCGTGCAATGCAGAGCCAAGTGGTTCTCATATTTGTTTCATGTTGAACATGTTGGCAGGCTGGGGCTTCCGCTTCGACATTGGCAAGATCTGCTACTTCCCTGGCATCTGCGCGCGCACCCTGGTTGATCTCCAGTACTCGGACAGCGATGTGCTTGCCCCGTGCGACGTGTTCAGCGACCTGTACCGCCAGTTGCCTGCAGGCAAGGTTGTGTCCATTCGTGGCACGGTGGTGCGGCCACAGATTGCGGGACTGTTCCGCCTGCCCGGCGACGCGTCCGTGCGCCTTGTGCTGTCGACCACCGAGTTTGCGTACCTGTCGCAGACGAAATGCACAGCAACGCTGTTTGGCGTGTCCGTGGAAACCAACTTTGCCACCGGCAACTACCCGCAGCTCTTCTTCCGCACCAACTACCAAGTACGTTGTTCGTGACGCAACCGTCGAATGTTCTGGAAAGTGAAGGCGACGGGAGTGGGACTCATCACACTCATCACTCACCCCACATTGCTGCGCGCCTGTTCGTTTGTGTGCAGGCAAAGGTGTTTAATCTCGTTGATGCTGAGCTGGATGTGTCAGCGATCCTTCCCGCCTTCGACAGTCGCACTCTCATTGACTGGAACTCCATGGCGCTAAGCGTTCGTGGCACGTTCGTCGGTGATTTTGTGGAAGCAATCATGACTGCTGTTGAGCGGGTGCTGCGTGACTGGATCAACAAGGCCGTGGAGCGCTTTGAATCGGTACAGGACCTAGTTTCTTGAAATGCATATCTGAAGATATTGTCGACATCGTCGCCTCCAACTCAGGTTAGTTCATGCGTCTTGCGTCATCTGCGCTTTGCTCATCAACCCAATGCGTATGTGTACGTGTGTGTGTGTGTGTTATTGTACAGGTTAAGGCGGTATTTGAATCACTGAAGCAGAAGCTGCTGCAGTTTGAGGGTGTCATTGTGCGCCTTCAGAGCGGACTTGCAAGAGCCCGGCAACTCGTTGATGGCGCGAAACAGGTATGGCTGACACATTCGGCGGGCATGCATGTGTGCGTGAGTGCGTGTGCGTGCGGGCACCCTGCGTCATGTTTGTGTTGTTGTTGGCGTGTTTCTGATCGTTATGAATTGAAATGGATGGACCCCAGACTGTCCAATCCTGGCAAGATGCGGTGGACAAGGCCAGGGAACCGCTGCAGGAAGCTCGTGAGCGTGCTGCGTATTTGCGTCATCGCATCGCAAGCATCTGCACAATCCGGGCATGTCCGGACATCTGCATCCCTGGTTGCGAATTCAGGTAAACCCTGCTCCAAAGCTGTTGGTGTGCTTGCCTTGACGCGCCTTTGAGTGACATGTGAGATCATGGTTTGGACCACGAGGGATTGGGCATGTATCTGTCCTTCCTCACATACAAGCCGCGAACCAACCATATTTGCATCACCGACATGATGTAAGGCGCCGGCGCCGTCGCGTGGCGATGGATTCACTCGAGCTGGAAGAGGAGATCCGCCACCCAACGCGCAGCAAGCAGCTGCTGGCAAACCACAAGCAGGGCCACGCGTTGCTCGTCCGTCAGCGTCGCTGGGGCTCCATTCGCATCCCAAAGCTCGTCTGCTCGTGAGTTTGACTTTTCACGTGCTGCACTGTGCGATGCGCTGCGTGCCACCTGAAACGTCATGCCCTCAGCATGTATTTTGGCACTTCTTGTCAGAAAGACTCCCTTTGTTCCATGCGTCGTGCCCATGTTGCCCATACGCATATCCAATAATGTGCTGTCAACGTCCTGGTCCATGGCTTGACTGACCTCGTTCGTGATGATGCATGCATCCACGTAGATCCTGCCTCTGGCGCATCCCGAATGTGCCGTGCCTCATCGCCAACGCCATCTGCCGAGTCCTCAAGGCAACGCTGCTGTTCTTACTCAAAGTCATCGACGCTCTCATCTGTAAGCAAGCTGATGCGCCGAGTGACTTGTTTGTGCTTGGGATTGTTGATAACTCTGTCACGCTTCATGTCAATGTGTGTTAGTGGTGGCATGTTCAACTGAACCTTCGTGCATTGCATTGCTCTCTGTGACATCACCACCAACGCAACACATTAGCTGCTCTGCTTCTGGCTCTGGAGATGGTCGAGAAGGCGTTGGATGCCGCCCTTGTCTTCCTGGACTCGGCCAGCTTCCTGTTCGACCTTGCTGGTACGTCTTGCGACCTGGTGTGCAATTTCGTTAAATGTCAGTTGAAGGTTGTGTCCGATGCCGGAAAGAATCATAACGTTGTATCACTGACACAACGCTGTTGTTGCTACACACAGCCCAAATCCTGGACAAGGCACGCTCTGTGTTCCGACTAATAGAAGTCGCCATCGACGCCGCAAAGGCAAGACAACATGTGTGCAATGACCAAGTTGACGACTTTCCAGTTTTGCAGTGTTCCGCGCCAACACTTCACGCGCATTGTCATGTCACGCTTGATGTTCGCCACCGCCATGTTGTCAGGTTGCCGTGGACGTTGTCAAGGAAGCAGTGAGAGGCGCGCTGGAGCTGGGAGTCGCACTTGCCTCTGCCAGTATCTCGGATGTTATCGGCATTCCGAACATGGGCTTCGAGCTTGTGGTCAAGGGCTTCACTCCACGCGAGTTCAGCGCCAGTATGGACATTGTGCTGTTCAAGTCAACATCAATTCGCCTCAACGTGTTTATCAACTTCGCCGACATCTTCAGATCGTACGTTCACATGATGCTCACAATTGCCTGGAGGCCGTGTTGTGCTGCACACGCGCGCCGTTGCTTGCATGGTCAATTCGACAAGAGGTCAACCACGTTTGCCTACTTTTGTTCTTGTGTCTCCACCACACGCTTGCCACGTCCACCCATGCTCACCACTTACTGCCACCCATTGCACTCTGTTTCCACTGCCCACCATTGCCATCCCATCCCCTCTCCCTTTGCCTCCTTCTCGGCTCCCCTCCCTGTTTTGCTTTTCGCTTGGCCAGGATTGCGCGCGTTGCGAGCGACCTGTTTGACCGGTTCTTCAGCAGCTTCTTCCGCCGGCGGCGGTATGCGCGCGGGCTCGGGGTGGACGTTGTCACCGTGGCCCACATTGCGCAGCACCACCTTGGCCTCGACCTGCACCACGTGTTCTACCAGGAGGGCAAGAGCGCGGGCCACCGCGACCACTATGCAATTGACATGGAGCACGCGCTGTCGGAGCTGGAGCGGCACCGGCGCGAGACGGGCGACAACAGCACGATGGGCGATGGTGGCGATGGCGGCGGCAGCGTCAACGGCACCGCGGGCGTCAACATCACGCAGGAGGCGGCCATCGAGCGGGTGGACCCGGCCATGCTGTACCAGCACAAGTGCAACGTGTTCATGGACGCGCTGGACTTTTTGCTGACGTTTACGGACGAGGTTGAGGACCGGTACATGGAGGCGGAGCGGTTCAAGCGCATGACCAACGAGTCTGAGACGCAGCTGATGGAGGCGCGGGACCCGCAGAAGAACATCCCGGAGGTGAACAGGACGGCGTTTGCAGACGACCCGGCAGTGAACGGGCTCGTGCTCGGCTACGTGGACTCTGTGGACATGAGCGCGCTGGCGGCAAACGCAACGGACGACGAGTCTGTGCAGTCCGGCATGCAGTCGGAGGAGGACGCGATGGAGAACTGGAAGCAGGAGCAAAACGCCACGGAAGCCGGCGACTACTCCGACATGCTCAACGCGCTGCAGGCCACGCTCAACGGCACGGGCCAGCTTGACGAGTTTGGGTGCGGGGATGTCCCTGATTGCATCATTGCGTCGATGGACCACCTGACGGACCTGTGGAACGACGTGTCGCTGCCGGAGTTTGCGGAGCTGAGCGGGCAGATTGAGCGCATGAGCAACTACAGCAAGCAGCTTGCGTCCGGCAACCTGACGCTGTCCGAGGCGTACCAGCAGGTGACGGAGATTGTGGACTGGGTAAATGCCACCATGATGATGGACGTGTGGTGCGGCGAGGTGCCTGTGATTACGGAGCATCCGCTGCCGCTGGCGACGACGTTCCCCGGGCGGTCGCTGGAGCTGCGGTGTGCGGCGACGGGCGTGCCTGAGCCGAGCGTGTACTGGTACCGGGAGACGATGCAGGACGATGACGAGCTGGTGGGCGAGGGCGCGCGGCTGCAGCTCACGGACATTGAGCCCGCTGACGACGGCTCGTACTACTGCGTTGCGCAGAACCACATGCACAACGCGACGTCCAACTCGAGCCAGGTGCTGGTTGTTGCTGGGGCGAGCTCCGAGCTGATCCTGCGGTACACGTTTGCCAGCGAGAACTACACGCAGGAGGTGGTTGAGACCAACGCGACGGCGAGCTTCCGGATTGCGGCGCTGGTTGAGATCAGCACGCGGCTCGGGGTGGAGGAGGACCGCCTGACGCAGTTTGAGGTTCTGGAGAGCGGAGAGGTGTCGCACAGCATCGGCGACCCTGCGGAGGAAGGCGACGTGTCGACAGACGCCCTGGTGAAGCGGCTGACGCAGCTTGTGCGGTTTGGCAACATGTTTGTGCGGTTTGGCGGGGTGCGGCTGTATGCGGACGCGCAGTCGATGCGCCGGGACTACTGCCGCACGGCGTGCCAGGTGATCACGGAGAATTCCATCTACGGGGAGCCGTGCGTGCTGCCGAAGCTCAGGTGCCCGTACGGCCCGGGCAGCTGTCGCTACTCGTGCGAGGGCGACTACATCTTCCAGTCTGGCGCCGCGGCCACGTGTCGGCGCAGCCACGAGTTTTCGGGCTTCAACGGGGTGCCGTACTGCCGGCGCCTCAACGACCCGCCGTTTGATGTCCGCTTCACGGGCAACGCCAGCTTCCCGGAGACCACGCCGCCCAACACCGTGCTCGGGCAGGTGCGCGCGCGGGACACGGACCCGACGCAGACGGTGACGCTGTCGCTGGTGGGTGGGGGCGAGTATGTTGAGCTTGATGGCGCGAGCGGGGAGCTGGTGCTGAAGAGGGCGGTTGATCACGAGGCGATGCCTGCCATCACGGTGACGGTGCGGGCAACGGACGACTACGTGCCGCCCTACTACACGGACGCGACGTTTGTGCTGCTGGTGGCGGACGTGAACGAGGCGCCGACGGCGATTGGCGTGACGGGCTCGCTGTCTGTGTCTGAGGGCACGGGGTACGGCGCGCAGTTTGCGCGGCTGTCGACGAGCGACCCGGACGCGGGCCAGTCGTTCACGTACACGCTGTCGGACGACTTTGGCGGGCGGCTGGCGGTGCTGGGGAGCCTGCTTGTTTCCGGCTCGACGCCAATTGACTTTGAGGAGACGCCTGGGTTCAATGTGACGGTGACGTCGACAGACAGCGGCGTGCCGCCCTTGTCCGTGCAGCGCAGGCTTGAGCTGCATGTGACGGACGTGAACGAGAGGCCGAGCGCGAGCTTCGAGTGCGAGGCTGCCGTGTGTGGCGGGCTTGTGGAAGGGCTGGCTGCGGGCACGCAGGTGGGTGTGGTGCGTGTTGAGGACGAGGACCGCGGGCAGACGCACCGCGTTGTTGTGCGGGACGACCGGAGCGACGGCGCGATTGCGTTTGAGGGTCTGCGGGCGGTGCTGGCCAAGAACATCAGCGATGCGCTGCCGGCCACGCTCCGGGTGACGTTTGTGGTGAAGGACGACGGGTCGCCGTCAAAGACGTCTGAAGAGGTGAGCATTGAGCTGACGAACCTGGCGCTCACGACAACCACAACCACAACAACCACAACCACGACAACCACAACCACGACCACAACAACAACCACGACCACGACCACAACAAGCGGAAACAACACGGTGGCTGCAACGACGACGACGACCACCAGCACGACAACGACGACCACGACGACCACGACAACAACGACAACAACGACAACGACGACTACGACCACAACCACTACCACGCCTGGAACAACCACGACAACCACGACGACAACAACCACCACGACGACGACGGCGAACATTGCGCCTGCGATTGATTCGCTGCGTCCTGTTGTTGGCGAGAACGAGCCTGTAGGCACGGAGGTGGCGCAGGTGAAGCTGTCTGCGGCCACAGAGCAATCGCACGAGCAGTACACCTTCTCCATCATCGACGACGCAGGTGTGCATGTGTGTGTGTGTGTTTGGTCGTGTTGTTTTGTTGGGGGTGCGGGGCTGCATACGTTTGGGACTTGTTGGGTTGGGGGTTGGCTGCAACACATCCACTCGCTTGCAAGAAGTTGCTATCACGTGTATGTGTGTGTGTGTGTGTGGGGGGGGGGGGTGGTGTGTGTGTGTGTGTGTGTGTGTGTGTGTGTGTGTGTGTGTGTGTGTGGACATTCACACGTTTGCCGATGAGATACCAGTGCAATCATGCTGGCCTACACGCTGTAGTAGTTTCCATGATGCTGATTCGCTCGCTCACTATGACGCACACACACACACAACACATACACGCACACGCACACACACACGCGCACACACACACACACACACACAACACACACACACACACACACATGCAGGGGGTCGGTTTGCGCTTGCAAATGGGGACCGGATTGTGACGGCGCAGGTGCTCAACTTTGAGGAGTCGTCGAGCTACACGGTGAAGATTCGCGTGGAGGACAACGGAACGCCACCGCTCTCCTCAGAGCGGGAAGTGGTCATTCGCGTCCTCGACAGCAACGACCCGCCCTCGCTGCAGCTTCTCGCCACGCCAGCAACAGCAGCATCTACGATTGGCTCCGGGTCTGCCAAGGGGACCGCCCTGTACGACATTCAGATTTCAGACGAGGACCTGGCACAGGTATGTGTATGTGTGTCAGTGTGTGTGTACGTGTGTGTGTATGTGTGTGCGTGCGTGTTTGTGTACCTGCGCGGCTGCTGCGCTCACGTTGTTGTTGTTGTGTGAGTGTCTGCATTTTACGCTTTCTGTGATCTGCCCTCTTCACAGCTCATGCACGTGTGGTGTGACTGCTTGTGCTGTTGTGCGGTAGACACACGAAGTGATGTTTATGGGACCTCATCATGACCTGGTTGAGGAGCGGTTTGGGCAGGTTGTGTTGACGGAAGCGATCTTCCGGGGTGAGAACCTCACCGCGCTTGACTTTACCGTGCGTGTGCGAGACACATCTGGCGCCACGGCAGACGTTGCTGTTCACCTTCCCATCGTGTACCTCGGCACGACACTTGAACCAACAACGACGACGGAGGCACAACCGGAGCTGCGGTCGTCTGCGCAGTCGCTTGGCGCCGGCGCCATCACCGGCATTGTCCTTGGTGTCGGCGTTCCACTCATGGTGCTGCTGCTCTGCTTCGTGTGCATGCGGCGGCGGACACAGCGGAGACAGCTTGAGCATGACCTGACGCTGAAGAAGACGGCCAAGTCTCCGTTTGGGTTCCAGCACTCGCGGTGGTATTCGATGGAGCAGCTCAACGCAACGAGCACGACGGACGACGACGACACATACTTTGATCAACCAATGTCATCTCCAGCGCGTGAGCGCGTGGTGATTGAGGAGGACGACGTGGACAACCTCGAACGCGGTGCTGGGATTGGCGACTTGGACTATGATGACGACGAAGACCTCACGCGATTGAACGACGCTGTTGGAGATGAGCTCATGTTTATTGACGATGGCGATGACGATGGCGATGGTATTAGGACTGCGTTTGAAGGGTCAGTCAGCGCAGATGACGCTGCCTTCCTGCAGAGTCTCAGCCAGCAGTGAGAATCTGTACCTGCGTGTGGTATGCGGGTGGTGTGGTGATGCGAGACTGCGTGTGATGGCGATGCTTGGAATGGGTGTTATGTGGGGAGTGAGAAACGGGCTGTGCTGAAAAGGTCTGCCGGTCAGCTGAGCTACAGCACTGCCTTGCTGGCTGATGAGGGGAGGAGGAAGAGAGAAAAAGAGAAGGATGACGCGCAAGAAAGAGGGGAGGAAGAAGGAGAGCACGAGGAGGAGGACGCCAACAACAGCAGTAGCAGCATTATCGAGTGACTTGGCATGGCTCAAGCCAACTGTGATGGGACTTGACTTGGATGGTTGCTTTCCGCTTTCGTTTGACTGTCCCCTGTTAATCGTCGTGTGTAACCTGCACCCCTGTATGTGTGCATATATTTGAACCTCTGTCGCGAGGTGCCTGCACGCCTGGTGCGTGGCGGTCTCTGGCAGAGGGAATGCGTTGTGCTTTCTCATGTCTGTACTTGGTTTGATTACAGCATCAACTGAGCGAATGATCAAGCTAATTGACGGAAGACAGCAGTAGTAGACACAGCCGCATGTGGTCAAGAAAGAGTGGGTGATTGGAAAGACGCTGGGTGGGGGAACAGGATGTATGGCGTCGAAAGAAGCTGCGCGAGCACAGAGCGAGAAAGAAAGAGAAGGGGAGAGAGAGTGTGTGTGTGTGAGTGAGTGTGTGTGTAGGTGTGTAGGTGTGTGTGTGTGTGTGTGTGTGTGACAGAGACATCAAGTGAGACAGAAACAGAGACAAGCAAACCCACAAGCACACAACACATACGCGCGCACACGAAGATACATATGAGGTGGTTGTGAAGACGGTCGTTCGTTCATGTCAAATAATGCGTTTCGATATGATGAGGAGCTGGGTTGGCAGCTGCGCAAGCGCGGGCAGGGAGGTGTCGTGGGCAAGGACCGAGTCGCAGGCGGAGGTCATTGCCAGTTGGATTTCACCAAAGTGCTTGGCGGAGTGACGCATGACATCCAAGAAGATGAACACGCTCCCTGGCTTTGCAGCCTTTGCAATGTCTTGATAGAAGGCGAGTCCACCCTCCACGGATCTGCCCGAGGTTTCATGGCAGACGTAGGAGAAGATGAACAGGTCTGCTGCTGGTACAAGCACCCCAACGTGGCTGTAAAATGAACGCGAGCAAGGGAGACGAACGAGGAGATGAGAGAATCAAGCAGAGGAGAAGGCAGTTCAGTTGCGTGTGAGATCCAACATGGAGGTGTTCTGTGACTGTGGGTCGCGATACGATGTGTCCATCGAGCCAGAAACACACAGCGAATGGGAAAGTCAAGCTCAACACCGATTGGCAAGACAACACATGAACAGAGCATGTGTAGACTCGCCCCCAAGTGCACACAGATATTCGTGCACACGGTGACAGCTCGAATGTATGCACACACGCGCACACATACACACACAGAAACATCCAGACACACACACACACACACAGACACACAGACAGACACACACACACACAGACAGACAGACAGACAGACACAGACACAGAGACACACACACATGGCCTGACCGATTGATGTCTGCTTGTAGGTTGGTGCAAACGTCGCCATGAACAAAGGAGACTTCGACTTGTGGTTTGAAGAGGGTATTGAGCGTGGCCTCGTATCGCTTCCAGGACTTTTCAAAGTCCATTAGATGGCAGGTGATGGCGGGGACGTGACGCCGCTGCGGCAGAAGTGTTTTGCACACCCAGACCAAACCGGACGCATCTGTGCCAGGGCCGCCACCGCACGAGATGACGGAGAGCGGGTGCTGGCTTGGCTGGGTCCAGGGCTCACACACGGCCTGCCGCAACGCGGCACAGCTCGGATCGTTGATCAAAGTGTGGAAGAGCGTGTACAGGAGCGTGCCACGCCGCACAAACTTGGTTTCAAAGTAGACAAGGTGCAGGGCGCTTCCTGTGAAACGGATCCCTTTTGTGTCGCTGCTGGTTGACAGCTCGTGGATCTTGGTTCTTGCTCGCTGCACCTGTTCCGGCGTGCTTTCAGCCTTGCGCTGTGTCCACGCCATCAGCATCCGTTTCCCATCCTCAAACCAATCTGCACGCGTGTGTGTGTGCATGAGTACGTGTGTGTGTGTGTGTGTGTGCGTGCGTGTGTGTGTGCATGAGTGCGTGCATGAGTGCATGCTCGTGTGTGTGTGTGTGTGTGTGTGTGTGTGTGTGTGTGTGTGTGTGTGTGTGTGTGTGCGTGCATGTACAGGTGTGTGTGTGTGCACATGGATGGCACCACCTATCCTGACCAACTCTTGGTGATTTGCTCCCAGCCCGCTCGCCCCACGCCCTCGCCCTACGTCCACTCGTCACCATACCTTGGATGTGGGGTGGAAGTTCTAACATGCGTGAGGAGCTCTGTCTTGGTGATGTTGTTGATGTAGGCGATGGCGATAACGCTGCGTGTGCGCCCTTTCCTTTGCCCTTCCTTGTCTTCCTGCTGCTTCCAAGGTTGCTGTTGATGCTGGTGTGTGCTGCATGGTGTTGCGGGAAGGTCGATGTACGTCCATCTTCCGACTCTGCTGCTGCTGTTGCTGGGCGAGTCTTCCTTCCACGCTTCTTGCCCATCTTTGTTTGTGTGCCCTGCTGTTGTTTGTGTCGTGTCCTGTGTCGTGTCCTCTGCAGGAACACGAGGGTTGTGTGTGGTGCTTGCTGTCATCGTGCTCGATGTTGTGCAACTGCAGCTGTTTTATGGCACTTCGCCACGGAAGACATTCAATCATGTAGGCAAAATGACGTCATCAACAGGCAAAATGCAAATTCGAGCAACCGCCGCGCCACATCCAAACAACAAACATCACAAGCATCTCAGCAGCAGCCACCGCTTTTGCTGGTGGCTGCGATTCCTGTCTTCACACTTGAGCCGCCGCAAGGAAAGGCCCCAAAGTGCTTCTCCCTGTCGTGAGTGTGTGTGTGTGTGTGTGTGTGTGTGTGTGTGTGTGTGTGTGTGTTTGTGAATGTAAGGAGAAGGAAAGCGTAATCTTGGGGTCTTGGAAAGTTCACAAAGTCGTGGCTAGCATGTTGTCTCTGCGCCTCCCCTGCCACAATAACACAAACAACAACAACAACAACAACAACAACAACAACAACAACAACAACAACAACAACAACAACAACAACAACAACAACAACAACAACAACAACAACAACAACAACAACAACAACAACAACAACAACAACAACAACAACAACAACAATACTCGGACCTGTTGCCTGTGACGGTAAAGTGGGGCGCGTAGCGTGTGTCTGTGAGCATGGAAGCCGTGTTGCCACACACGAGCACGGGGCGATGGGCCTCAAACGTGTGGTCTTTGTCAAGGTTGAAAGCCAGCTCCTTGTCGGGGATGGTGCCTTTGTAAACAGCCACTTGGCCTGTTGACAAATACACGAGACGAGAAGACATGTGAATCCTGGGTGCACTGGAAATCGACGCACAGCGTCCAAGCCAAGCAACTCATGGGAAAGCGATACCACTGACGATACAAACACTCACATCACGTGCATGTGTGGCTGTGGCAAACACAAACACACACAAAAAAACAGACAGACACACACACGCTTGCACAACAGAGCGCAGCGCAAAGGGACGGGCATGCACGCACAACAAACACGCACCGTAGTCTTCGCAGTTTGGCTCGAGGTCCTTGAGCTTGAACAGGCGGTATGTGATGGAGTAGAAGGTGGCGTTGCCCACGAGCTTGCGAATCTCCGGGTCGTTCACCTGGGACGGGGGACGTTTTGTGAGACTGTGCATTCATGCGAATGAACGCAGGCGAGGGCCAGCGTAGGAGACGGTTTGGGAGATTTGTCGAAAGAAACAAACCACATGAAGCAAGAGGAGCAAGCACACAGACACAGACACAGACACACAGACAGAAGCAGACACGCACACGCACACATGCACCACACACCGTGATGACGTTGCGAGACACCTCCCGTGGATCAGCAAAGCCGACAGACTTGGCGAGATGGATAAAGTCGCGCTCGTACAGCGCACCGCCAATGCACTCGCCAAAGAGAACGGGATCCTTGCGGGCTGCGTCCGAGAGGCGACGATCAGCATACACGTCGCTGAAGAACAGCTCTCCTGAAAGCAACACATCACCAGAGGTTCAAGACAACAAGAACAGCAGCAGCAACAACGACGACGACAATGACAACGACGACGACAGTGGCAATGACGACAACAATGACAACGACAACAAACAGTGGCAGAACACAAGGCTTGATGAGCAGATGACAGGAATGTCGTGCGAACAGCGCAGCGTATTCGCTTGTCATGGTGACAAGGAAACAACGGAAACTCCCCTTCCTTCGTTCCTTTCCTTCCCTTGCCACGCGTCACATCGCAACAGGTCACGGCTCACCTCCTTCCTTGAGGATGTCGTAGACCCCCTTGAGTACTGCAGGCTTGTCTGGGCTGAGGTTGACGACGCAGTTGGAGACAATGAGGTCTTGGCTTTCTGGCTCAATCCCGGCGCCAACCAGGTCCTCGATGTAGCCCTTGACGAACTTCATGTTGGGTGCGTCCAGCTTGAGGACGTCGCGGGTGAAGGCGTCCACGTGGCGGCGGGCGACGTCGAGCTGCTCCTCCGTCATGTCCACGCCCGTGACAAAGCCGTCCTTGCCCACCAGCTTGGCCAGCGCGTAGCAGTCGCGCCCGCTGCCGCTGCCGAGGTCGACCACCTTCAGCCCTTGCAGCTGCTCCGGGAAAGGTGAGCCGCAGCCGTAGTACTTGCTGATAATCTCATCTGGGATGTCGCGGAAGAGGCGGCCTTTCTTGCTGCCTGCACAGCACGTTGTGCACGCCGATGTCTTCAGGCTCTCCGTGCTCTGCAGCACCTTTCCATAGTACTCCTTCACGCTGTCGATCACCGTCTGTCCCCCTGCCACATGGCTCTGCTTCAGCCCGTCGTCCATCTTGGTCCGTGTGCGTGCGTGTGCGTGAGAGAGAGAGAGTGTGTGTGTATGTGTATGTGTGTGTGTGTCGTCGCTGCTTGCTCTTGCTTGCTCTCGTTTCGTCGTTGGTGTCTTGCTTCGTCTTCTTGCTTGCTTGCTTGTTTGGTTGTTTGGTTGTTTGCGCGGAAAATGGATTTCGTGGTGCCATTCGCGCGGGCATATTCGCAAACGCAGACCAGAAAATACAAAAAAGCAGCCATTTCCGTCATCTGACGAGATGGGCAGTGCGCGGCTTTTGATGAGCTCAGAATGACTTGACACCGCCTCTCATGACGGGAGTCTTCTCCGTGCTTCTCGAAGAGCTGGTGGTGTGATGATGGGATATGCTTTACTGCCATCATAGTGACTGGTGGTGTGGACGCACAACTTCTTAACACCAATGAACGAACGAACGAACGAGTGTGTCAGCTTGAACAACAAAACAACTGTGTGCGTGACACCCTGCATGCAGAACCAACAACAACAACAACAACAACAACAACAACAACAACAACAACAACAACAACAACAACAACAACAACCTTCTTCTGATGGACATCGTGACGGAGCTACCACATGCACACACGCTACACTTCAGAATAACACTTCTGGCTAGCTGTCTTGACAATGGCCTTCTTCTTGTTCCGCACCGACCGCTGGAGGTGGCGAAGCGTATCTGCATGGCGAGGAGCGGGGTGGTGGTTGTGGATGTGAGGCAAACTGGTGGCGAGGGTTCGTGGCAAGCACACAAACAAACAACACACACACACACACACACACACACACACACACACAATCACACACACACACAATCACACACACACACACACACACAAATCATGTCATCTCACAGGCTGGTTTCGACGTGGATGCCGCTGGCTTCTGGTTGAGAGAGATTACGACGCCCGCATCGTGCGGGAGTTCAAGTTGAGAACTCCCCTCGCGTGGCCGGTCAAACGACACCAGCCCTTGCTCCCGTGCAGTCTCCAGCAACCCTGGCAAGTTCTGTAAACACAGCACAATTCGGATGAGGGGTGAGGCGCTGCGTACACGAAGCCTCACACCCACCCACCCACAAACCCACACCCACCCACCCACCCACCCACCCACACACACACACACACACACACACACACGCATGCACGCATGCACGCGCGCGCATATTCCTCCGCCCCCACCTCAATGACACCCTGCGCCGTCGCTACGGCATCAAGCGCTGCAAACGTCATCGGTGGAGGTTTGCCATCCTCATGGCCGCGCGCACGTCCGTTGCTTGCACTCGAGTGCTGTTCGCCATCACTGGCTGTAGGAGAGGCCAGCAGATCAGCAAGCGTGTGCAGCTGCGCATCGAGCCAGCGCGCCGCCGCCTTCTCCGTATTGGATGACGTGGACGCAATCGGCTGGTGGCGAGCACGTGTTGGGGTAAGAGTGAGCATGGGCTTGCCACAGCCACTGCTGGTGCAGAGCATGCTTGGCTCACATGCATTTTGTGCGCGTGGTCTACACGCAACACAGCTGCGCAAATCACGCACATGCACACGCACGCATACACATGCACACACGCACACACATGCACATCTACCTTTGCCAGGAGGTCATCGATGAGGAAGCTGCGGCGGGCGGCTTCCGTTGAGGATGAAGTGGTCGTGTTGGTCGTGTTGGTCGTGTTGGTCGTGTTGGTGGTGGTGGTGGTGGTGGTGGCTGCTGCGTTCGCAGACATGTCGCTCGTCTCCTGCACTTGGGGCCGCACAAGCGACAACCTGCAGCCCGCGTGCACGCATTTTGGTTGGGAGGGAGAGGGAACAGACAGACAGACAGACAGACAGACAGACAGACAGACAGACAGACAGACAGACACACACACACACACACACACACAGACACACACACACACACCACGAGTGTGTTGCGCGTGAAGGGAGCAGAGCGCGTGAGGTGATGTTACGTGACGCAAACAAAGAAGCAAGAACGCAATAACATTTCCCGTCACGGTGCCAAACAACCCAAGTCAAACAAAAACAAACACAGACACAGCAAAGGAAAAACAGGCACGCGCAACAAAGAAAGGGAATTCAGACACTCCCAGAGAGGTTTAAAGACGGGGGTACCCACGCTGCGTAATCTGCGGCGGACGTGAGCGCCTGCGCTTCGTCCACGTCGATGAGAACACTCAGCACCTCCTCCACCGCCCGGCGATCGCGCCGCGTCATCCTGTATGGCGCAGTAGCAAAGGAAAGAGGAGGAGGAGGACGAGGAGGAGGAGGAGGAGGCAATTTGGAATTGGGGAGCAGAAGGAAGGGTGTTGGCGTTGGTTGATGGCGAGAGGAGGTACAAACAACACCACCAACGCCAACGAATGCATGCTGTGTGTACTTGTGTGAACGTACTGGGTGCGTCGTGATGAGGGCTGACGAAGGAACTTCGTGCGTAGTTCAGTCTCCTGTGAGCAGGAATGGAAGGGGGAAACGTATGAGAGGCAGAGAGACAGTGCGCACATGAGACTATACAACTTTCGCCCACTTACACTCGCTCACAAACAAACGCGCGCGCGCACACACACACACACACACACACACACACACTCGCTCACAAACACACACACACACACACACACACGTGCGTATGCACCTGGCGATCTGCTTTTGAGATGACGCGTGACCTGCTGCGGATCTGTCTGTCCTGGCGAGACACGGAGGAGTTGGAGGAGCGCATTGCAACACCCGATGTTGCATCATGGCTGCCATTCGACACCGCCGCTGATGACGATGGTTTGAAGATGAACGTGTCGTCATCGTAATCCCCAACCGCATCCGCCTCGCCGTCGCCGCCCATCTCCTCTGCATGAGCATGTGTGAGATTTGCGAGTGAGAAAGCATGTGCGCATGAACCGGGTGGCATTCAAACGTGGTGTGCATCAAAGCCGCCCCCAACACCGCAAACACAACACCACGCCGCTCTCGCCAGGAATGCAGCACCCACCTGGGTGCCTGATTCTGTCGAGCTGTGCCTGGAGCCGCATGCGCTTGGCGGTGTAGATGGCCTCCACCTGTTTGCGGTGCAGCAGCTCCTCCGCATCGAGAATGCGCAGGAAGTTGGACAGCTCGGGCGCACTGAACGCCATCCAGTCAACGTCTGCACGCGCGACACGACAGCATGTCAATGCAAGATGACACAGGGTGGCGCAGAAGACGAAATGCACATGTGCGCGTCGTGCATGTGAGCGGTCAACAATTGGGGGGGGGGGCATTTCGCTCAGTTGCATCCGCACGTTCACAACAGTCATGACCAGCACAACAGTTCATGAGCCGGGCCACTTTACATCAACTCTCGAGCACATGTGTGTGTGTGTGTGTGTGTGTGTGTGTGTGTGTGTGTGTGTGTGTGTGTGTGTGTGTGTGTGTGTGTGTGTGTGTGTGTGTGTGTGTGTGTGTGGCGTGATGTGTGTTGCTTTACGTCTGCAAGTGCATGTGGATGCTTGATGTGCGATATAATTGGATGTGCTGTATCATGCACACACCCACACCCCAAACATGCGCCGGCGCTGTGTTCATGCTTGACGGTCTTCTCATCCTCCTCCCCATCCCTTCGGTTCTGACCCGCCGCCTAACCCATCAGTTCGATCACGCATTCGTGGAAAGCACTTCCATGGTACGCCCCCTTGCACATGCTGCCACGTGTGCCACTCTTTCCCACACACACACACACACACACACACACACACACACACTCTCTCTCTCTCTGAGATTTGCGAGTGAGAAAGCATGTGCGCATGAACCGGGTGGCATTCAAACGTGGTGTGCATCAAAGCCGCCCCCAACACCGCAAACACAACACCACGCCGCTCTCGCCAGGAATGCAGCACCCACCTGGGTGCCTGATTCTGTCGAGCTGTGCCTGGAGCCGCATGCGCTTGGCGGTGTAGATGGCCTCCACCTGTTTGCGGTGCAGCAGCTCCTCCGCATCGAGAATGCGCAGGAAGTTGGACAGCTCGGGCGCACTGAACGCCATCCAGTCAACGTCTGCACGCGCGACACGACAGCATGTCAATGCAAGATGACACAGGGTGGCGCAGAAGACGAAATGCACATGTGCGCGTCGTGCATGTGAGCGGTCAACAATTGGGGGGGGGGGCATTTCGCTCAGTTGCATCCGCACGTTCACAACAGTCATGACCAGCACAACAGTTCATGAGCCGGGCCACTTTACATCAACTCTCGAGCACATGTGTGTGTGTGTGTGTGTGTGTGTGTGTGTGTGTGTGTGTGTGTGTGTGTGTGTGTGTGTGTGTGTGTGTGTGTGTGTGTGTGTGTGTGTGTGTGTGTGTGTGTGACAAGTGTGTGTACAGCCACTGACTCAGCTCTGGGCGTGCGGTGACGTCTGCATTTGGATGGCGGCGGATCAACGTCGACGCCGTCGCACTCATCTGCCAACCACCAACCACGCGACCCATGAGAAAGGTGTGTGTGTGTGTGTGTGTGTGTGTGTGTGTGTGTGTGTGTGTGTGTGTGTGTGTGTGTGTGTGTGTGTGTGTGTGTGTGTCATCACCACGGGTGCCATTGCAATCTCACTGCACGCCCAGCGCCAACACCACCCCACTCACCGTGCTGAAGGCGGTCCCCGGCTGCGACTTGATGGTGTCCGACTGGGTCAACAGCGCCGGCATCGTGTTCATGTGCAGCGATGCACCGCGCTTGATCGTCCCTGCGTCGCCACGACTGCCACCATCGCCACGACTGCCATCATCGCCAGTCATATTGGTGTTATTGCTGGTGTTGGTGGTGTTGCTGGTGTTACCACCGCTGTGGGTGTTGGCTGGCGGCGGTGGCTGTGAGGCCAGTGTGCTGGCTGCACTGCCCCACACGAGCGTGCTGTACGTTGACAGCGCCTCGGGCTCAATCTCAATCACATCGCTCTGGTCAGCAGACACGCAGGCAGGATGGACGTGGGGTGGGTGGGTGAAGAGCGAGCACGTCGTGGCGGGTGATGGGAGGTGAGTACAAGTGGGAGAGCCGCAACTGTGGGCAAATGAGCCAAGGAAGGTTTGACTGGTGGAAGAAGATGCCTGGCAAGGGCGTCCCTTAAACAGATGCACATCTCGACCGTGTAAAACCACCATAACAACAACAACACAGCACAACAACATACAGCGCACAGCGCACAGCACACGCTTGACGATAGTGTGTGCAGTGAAGCATGAGGGCAGCGCACCAGGGTGAGGTCTGTGAGCTGCGTGACGAGGGACGCGCGGTCGCTGAGACGGGAAATGGTCATTGCGCGCTGCGCCCATCGCGATGACGGCGAAGACGCCCGGCCCTGCGCACAAACCCGCACATCAGCTCATGAGGGGAAACGCACACACACACACACATGCACACGCACACACACATACACACACATACACGCACGCATACACACACATGCATGCATACACAAGCAAGCAAGCGAGCCAGGAAATGTGCACACCACGCACGCAACACCACGGCAGCACCAGCCCTCCAATAACAAGAAAGCAACAAGCAGTCATGCTGTGCTGTCCCTTCCCCCTCTCCCCCGACGGTGATTGGGCAGTGGCGTACCTTGAGCTGCAGCGTGCCAGTGCTATAGCTACTGTCGTTGCTGTCGCCACTGCCGTTGCTGTTGCTGCTGCTGCGCCTGCGTGTGTGTGCGTGTGGTCTGCCCGCATCGCGGCGGCGAGAGGGCGTCAGCACTTCGCTTCGGCCACGTCGCAGTGGGACTTCATTTGCTGATGGTGACGCTGTTGACGATGACGATGCTGTTGCATGGTGGCTGATTGTGTCGGGTGCATGTGGAGGAGTGGGTCCTTGTTCCGTTGACAACTTGCGCAGTTTTTCCTTCACTTCATCAAACCCTTTGTTTGGACCTGGACATACACAAATACACACAGCCAATCCAGCCACCACACAACGGTGCGGCAGCCCAAAGGCACAACAAGTGAGCGCCTCACAAAGGACTCATACCCCCGCCCAGCGAGCAGCGTGGCACGTGTACCGAAACACACACACGCACACATGTACACACACACACACGCACACACACACACGCACGCCCCACCATTGTCTTTCGAGACAGGACGCATGCACACACACATGTACATGAGCACGCAAGCGTACCGAACGACTCCTGCATGAGTGCATCTGCGGCCTTGTTTGTGATGTACACGGATTCCGCACGTGCCCCTATCGGCGCCCAGCACATGTGCACACGACACGCGTGGGTGAGCGGCACTTGCAAAGGATTACCCAGCACATCAACGTACCATCCACCTGCGCACGCTGAACCACATGGCGTGACAACCCATGAACCCGCACACAAACACCCCCCCCCCCACACACACACACACCCCCCCCACACACACACACACAAACACACACACAAACACACACACAAACACACACAGGCATACGCACACAAACACACAAACACACATAGGCATACGCACACACGCACACACAAACACACATAGGCATACGCACACACGCACACGCACACACACACAAACACACAAACACACACACACAAACACACAAACACACACAACCCCCCCCCCCACACTCAGGCATACGCACACACACACACACACACACACACACACACACACACACACCCTGGCGAGGGACCTCTCACCGTATCGCCCAGCGGGCTGTGGGCGGAGCTGGTTTGAGACGGAGTAACTGCGCACGTCCGCAGCGTCGGCAGTGGGAACAAATCCTGTGCCCGATGCTGCTGTCGATGATGTTGTTGTTGTTGTTGATGTTGCTGCTGCTGCTGCTGTGCGGCCGTTGTCCGTGCCTGTGACTGTTACGGCTGCTGGCGACTGAGTAGCTGCTGTCGTGCCAGCCTGCAGTAGTGCGTTTCGCCTCACCACCACGGGCTGCTGCTGCTGCTGCTGCTGTTGCTGCTCAACGACAATTCTTCGTCTGTGGCGACGGCGGCGCGTCGACTGCCGGAGGTGCTGCGGCGTGTCTGGTGGTCACGTCAACCAAGATATGTGTGTGTGTGTGTGTGCGTGGGGTGCGTGTGTGTGTGTGTGCGTGTGTGTACAAGTTAGTGAGAGCATATGTGCGTGTGTGCGTGTGTGTGTGTGTGTGCGTGTGTGTGTGTTGGCGGAATCGAGCCTCAAGGCGTGCCAACTTCCAGCCATGTTCCAAATACATAAAGGACACAGACGATTTGAGTATCATCCGTACATGTTGTTCCATCCGCGTCTTCGAATGTGGAGCGGAGTAGCACAAGAAGCGTGTCTGGCTGAAGATCTGCCAGCACAGCATTTCAACAATCGAAGGATGGTCGCTGAGGTAAGCACAGCTGCTGACAACACACTACACACACATACACACACACACAAGCACATGCACTCACAAAGACACATGCACACACACACACACACACACACACAAGCACATGCACCCACAAAGACCCCCTGCAGAAAACATATGCGCGTGTGCCAACCTCTGGTGGTCATGGGCGGGTCTGCTCGTAAGATCCCGCGATCAAGCGCAGTCAACACGAGACCGTCAAGTGACTGGTGGCGATGGCGACAAGGACCATTGGAGCACGAGATGAGCAACAGGGTGTTTGGTGCAGCAGGACTCTAGCACTGATATGCCAACCTTCACAAAGGAGAGGAACGCATGCGTCCGCCTCATACACACACACACACACACACAACACAACACAACGCACACCTCAAATCCGCTGGCAGCAACTTTGCGCAGTGTGTCGTAGGTGATGGCAGCCACGCCTTTGTTGAAGTGAGGCGAGCACGTGCATACAGGTCCCGTTAGCCTGCACATTTACCGATGCACCAAACACGTTGCACAGCATGCCATTGACAACCACTGCACCAACACGCACACGTAACACACACGCATGTTTCATAGACGCACTGTTCTTTACCGCTTACCTGGGCTCGACGGTGCGTCGTGTCCGTGCTCTTTGATCTTGCGCACGAGGCGTCGCAAACAGCGGTCAATCCACCGCGCCGCCGCACGTGTGACATCTGAACGCCGCACACCAAGGATAAGTGAGGGCAGAAAAGCACAGGCAACAACCAGTCCACCACGTGCAGTGCAGCTATTCTGGTGCCAAGTTGCACTGGTACGAAACAAAGCGTCATTCAGCAGCGCGAGCATCGTACCGTCGCTAATCGTCGAACTCGGAGATGACGCGTCTTTCTGGGGAGGAGACTCAAACTGCTGTGCTTGCGGGTCAGCGTCCAACGGCACACCAGGATTCACCTCCTGCAACGGACACACAGAATCATGCGTGAGGGCACACATGCATGTGCGTTGCAGGGGAGCGGTGATGACACTGTTGCAGCGACGACATGGTAGCGCTGCTCCCTTGCGAGAATACCCGTGTCAACGCCATTGGCCTCATCATCACCCGTCTCCCCCAAGCTGCGTATGGCACATGTCAACAACGCACCAGGCTGTCTGTGGACGATTCGGTGGACACGCCGCCTGGCAGCTTGAAGAATGTTTCAAGCACACGTTCCACGGCATCTCGGTCCATGTCTGATGGCATCACCAAGCAATCGGCATCAGTTGCATGCGCGTGTGCGGTGATGTGATGTGATCCATCAACATGGCACTCAAGCACACGCACAAGCTGTGCAGGCAAGCACACGCACGCACCTTCATGCTGGGACGTTAGATCCCCCTGCGAAGCCTGGCGCTCTGCCATGATCGCAGCTCAAAGACAACACAGCCTGCGTGATCGTGTGTCGTTTGTGTTTTGCCTGCGGTGGCTGGCTGGCAGGGTGTGGGCGGGCGGAGTGACGAGAAAAACGACACAACCAGCAGGTGGCAGGAGGAAAGCAGCCAAACAACGCCAACAAAGCGGTTGTGATTCCTGAAGATTATCAATGCAACCGCCATAATTCTTTCATGGCCGGAACGTGCGGAGATGAGCAGCACACCAGTGAGCGGTGGCGCTGAGTGCGCGAGTCACCAACAGCACCAGCACCAGCACCAGCAGTCGTGGGCAGATGAGGTTGCACGGTGCGCATTAGAAACATACAAGAAGCTGCCTCGACAAGGGAAGCCCAAGGCAGATAATGAATGGACAGTCATGGCGGCCATCGTGCTCCAAACAGCGCCTCACACTGTGAGTGAGTCCGTAGTTGTGAGTGGGTGAGTGAGTGAGTGAGTGTATGTGTGTGTGTGTGTGTGTGTGTGTGTGTGTGTCCGTAGTTGTGAGTGGGTGAGTGAGTGAGTGAGTGCGAGGATGTGTGACAGATAAAAGACCGCTATGTGGAAACAAAAAGACTCTCCACGATCATGTGCCCACACCTTGCATCCGCACACTTGCAACATCGCATCACGCAGATGAAGACGGTTGCGTTAGCTACGGGAAGCAAGTGCATTGGGATTGAGCTGCTGGATTCCTCCGGCGACATTGTCATCGATGCCCACGCCGAAGTACTGGCCCGCCGTGCATTCCAATGGTACTGTTCGAGGCGTGGGATATCATGTCACGCTCAGGCACACCAATAGCCTGCTACAGCAATTGCTTCCCCAAGCACAAGCATGCATGAACACGCGCGCCTTTTGTCTCATGTGCACGCACCCCACGGAAATGTTGACTCTGTCACCGCCCAAACCCGACACCTTTGACCACACACAACAGGTATTTGACACAGCAGATCCAACTTGCGCTGAAAGGCCAGAGCGAACTGCTGACATTTGTGCACAGCGTTGAGCCCAGTCCCATGGATGATGGTGATGATGACGGTGATGATGGTGATGAAGATGAGCAGGGGAAGGAGGAGAAGAAGGAAGGGGATGGGAAGGACGAGGATGGGAAGCAAGTAGACAACAGCGGCCCAATGTCTGCAATCAAGGCCCCACTTCGCGTCAAAGATAACTGCTCACTTCACCTCTACGTGTCGCACGCACCTTGTGAGTCAAGATGGGTGCCCTTGTTGCTATGTTTTCTGTTTATTCGCGATTCATTCCATGCCTACTGTTTCGTTCTGGCCACGCTGTTACCGCACTCACACACGCGCAATTCCTGCTGCTTGTGCGCATGTCACAACATCCTGACACAGGCGGCGACGCGTCCATCTTTGAAGTGGACATCAGCACCGAAGACGCCGCTTCTTCCCGCGCAACGCAGGACGACGCTGTGGGCACCGCCACAACACCAACGATTGCGGCAGCAGAATCGGCAACAGCAACAGCGACAAATGACGCACGCGGCGTCGATGCGGTGCCATGCAAGCGCGCGAAACGCGACCAGCACCGCACGGGCGCAAAGCCGGTTCCCTCTGCCACCTCGGACCCGGTGCTACCGGGCGTCCAATATCACACAACAGGCACGCTTCGCACCAAGGTCAGTGCTCTGTGTGTGAGTGTGTTTGTGTGTGTCTATGTGTGTGTTTGTGCGGTGTGTGTCTGTGTGTGTGTGTTTGTGTGTGTGTGTGTGTGTGTGTGTATGTGTGTGTGTGTGTGTTTGCTTGTGCGGTGTTGGGGGTGTATTAGCCAGCTGCAATAGCGTCATTTCTATTTCTTCATGTTTCTCACGTGTCTCCCCACGTCAAAACTATTTTTGCCGCACATCTGTCAGCCTGGACGCGGGCCACCGTCTCACTCCATGTCGTGCTCAGACAAGATCTTGCGGTGGACCTACCTCGGCCTTCAAGGCGCGCTCCTTCCTGCTGTCCTTGCGCAGCCGGTGGTTTTGTCCTCCATTGTTGTTGGCGAGCACTTTGATGTGGAGGCGCTGACACGTGCGCTGCAGTCAAGGATTGACGGCATTTCCTCGTGCGGACCGTTCAAGCAAACAAAGGTACGAACAACCTGGTGCTGATGGGAGAGACGGATGCACATGCACCAACGCCAGCACGTGCAGTCTTTCACATTGCTGTCCCCACACCAATACAGCACACACACACACTCACACACACACACACACGCACGCATGCGTTCACGACTGCTTTGCATCTCCATCTTCACATCGTGCTATCGGCGTTCATAGCTGCGCATTGGAGCGGCGTCCGTCTCGTTCCCGGACGCAAAGGGCGAGCGGGCGAATATCTGTACAGCGCAGAAGACACACCCAACCACGGCAGCGGCACCGCCTGCCAAGATGATTGCCCTCTCCGCTGGCATTGTGTACGCTGCTGCAAGCGCCAGTGCAGATGACGGTGCAAAGAAAGGAAATAGGGCCAACAGCAAGCCGTTGCGAGAAGTGCTGGTGAAAGGAATCAAGCAAGGCGCATCCCGCAAAAAACACAAGCCGGAGCACTTCAGGTGAGGCTGTGTCCTGTGTCGGCCAGCCATGTGCGCCAGTGTGTGAATGCGCGTGGATGTGCAGACATTGATGTGCATGTGTAGAAATTGATGTGCATGTGTGTGGACGTTTCAACACACGAGTGCTAGCACTCATGTGAGCACACCAGCGCTTGTGTGCGTACTGTTGTACATTCTGTTGTGGACACACACACACACTCACACACACACACAATGACACACTCCCCGCCCCTTCTCGTCTTCGCCCCGCCAGGTCGGCGGTGTGCAAGCGCGAGCTGGCCGGTGGCGCCGTTGCAGCGATCGCGCACGTGTTTGATGTGATGCGGCAATACCAGCACAGTGGCCGAAGAAGACATGTACCGGGAGCAGGTGATGGTGGAGGCATGAACACGGACAGCGCCGACAGCAGCCGTGCTGGCCGTGCTGGTTATGCTGCGAGGAGTTGTGGTGATGGCACCAGTGACGTTGGTTCGGATGTTCCCTACACCACAGATAGGCAAAGCGAAGCGGGGCAGCAGCAGCAGCACTCGTCTGTGTCATATGCGTCATTGAAGCAACACATGTGTCCCGTGTACAGCAAGGCAAGGCACACGTTTCAAACGCACGTGCGGCATTGGCGAGGAAATGCTGCCGCCAACACGGACAATTTTTCCGTCGCCATTCCACCACAGCTGATGCACGTTTGCACAGTAAGTTCCAACACGTCATAGCGTGTGTGTGCGTGCGTGTGTGTGTGCTTGTGTGTAAGTGTGTGAGTGGAAAGGGTTGCGAGCGCTGCAATTGCTCGATTGATGCGAACGTGATTGCGTGTAATTAAAAGAAAATGCACGTCCTAATGCAAAACCAGCAGGCGAAAAGAAAAGAACAGAAGCAAAGAATAACGGCGTGCAACCACAAACATCGTGCAGCGAGGCCTGGGTGAAACAACACCAAGCACCAGAGCCATGAGAATGGCCCGCGTGTAACAACACCGAAAGTGCAGGGAGTAGCTGCGATAGCAGAGGTATTGGGGGGGGGGGGTAAACATCAAGTGAAGGCGCAAAAGCAATACAAGTGATCAAACAGCGCACCAGCAACAGGTGCAAATGAGGGCGAACAAGCAACAGGTAGCATGAGTCACATTCCGACGAGCTAGGTGGCAACTCGACATTGAACACACCCACGCACTGCCGCGACGGCAAGAAGCAATCAATCTAGAAGAGCAACAAGCAGCACGACCATATTCACCTCGAAAATGCAAATACTCAACATGCACAGAAAACAAACATGCGAACGCGCGCACACACGCACACGCACGCACACATACACACACACACACAAACACACAAACACACACACACACCACGTCAACCAACGTCTCAACCCAATTCAAGCATCCCATCCAATGGTGGCGTCAACGTAATCGCCCTCCGCATCCTCTTCGGCGACCGCCATGTGTGCCCGCGCACTTGTGGGGCCACGGTTGCCTGCAGGCATGCGTTTGTGTGTGCGGACGCTTTTCCCACGCACAAATGTGAGGCGTTGGAGGGAGTCGTACTCGCCATCGGGTGCGCTCTTGTATTGAGGTTCCTGCTCAGGCCGCTGCAGCATGTCATACACACCCGGAGCAGCTGTCGACGTGAGCGGCGGTGGCGCTGCGTGGTGTGCTTGTGAATGACCAAATGCGGGGGCCCAAGCTGCCTGTCCATGCTCTTGCCGGTGCTGCTGCTGTTGTCGCCGATGTTGGCCTTGAGGCTGGCGCAGGTGGTCGTATTGAGGGCTTGCATTGGCACTAACAGTGTTGGCATATGTCGGCGCTGTCGCCTCCCAGCCACTCACGACGTGCGCTCCTCGCACCTGCGGCACATCATACACAGCACCAGCGGGCTCGCTCGCCACGACGCCACCGCCCGGCGTTGAAGATAGTGTCGATGCTGAGGATGGTGTTGGTGGCATTGCCTGGTCGGCAGAGGTGCTGCGTGGAGGCGCCTCGTACATCGGGTTGGCGTACATGGCCAGCGTGGAGGCCGCCCCGACATCATCAAGCGCAGGCGTCGTGTGTGTGCGGCGGGGGCGGGAGCGCCGAACCACCAGCACGATCACCACCGTGCAGCACACGACTGCGCCCACAGCAATGCCCACAATCACTGGCGTTGACAGCGCGGAGGAGGACGAGGACGAGGACGATGCGTCAACACCGCCCTTCTTGCCAGTCGTCGTGGCCGTGGTCGTCGAAACACCGCCACCACCATCGCCACCACCACTATCACCGCCATTAACAGCAGCGGGCTCGGCAGCGACCTTGCCGCCACCGACATCAACCACAACCTCGCCGTTGGAGACTGCGCGCCGCACCGTGGCAACAGAGCTTGTGTCTGCGAGTGTGACGGTGACAACAATGCTGCCACGCCGGATCTGCACATCAACAATGGATTGCACGTTGATGAAGCGGGAGAGAGACGCGCGAACGGCTGTCGCAAGTACGTTGGGCTGGATGCTGTCAAAGTCAAGCTGAAACACCATGCCAACCACCAACTCACTGGAAGTGGTGGTGGCGGTTGTTGTTGTTGTTGTTGTTGTCGTCGTCGTCGTCATCGTCGTCGTCGTCGTGGTGGTGGTGGTGGTGGTACTAGTTGTTGTGGTGGTAGTTGTTGTGGTACTAGTTGTTGTGGTGGTAGTTGTTGTGGTACTAGTTGTTGTGGTTGTTGTGGTTGTTGTCGTCGTCGTCGTGGTGGTGGTGGTGGTTGTGGTAGTTGTTGTAGTCGTGGTCATGGTTGCTGGCGCACGCGTGGAAATTGTCTTCCAGCGGGCGCAACCAACCGACAGCGTCGGTTCCTTGAACGACGACGCCGACTTGAACGTCAAGCTGCCGCGGTCACGGTTGGTGCTGGTGTCACCATCCACCCACAGCACAAGGGCAAACGCGCCATGGCCACCCTCGCTCCCGCCCTCATGCGTGTCTTTGGACGACAGCTGTGACCACACCTCCGTGACGTCCAGCACCAGCGTATTCCCTTGCAGCACCCTCCCCACTTCCTCATCAACAGCCTTCTCATACACCCGTTCAGAATACCTTCTGGCAAAGTTGGCCTCCAACGCGTCTGCTGTGCACATGTACTCGCGCCCATTCTCTTCACTGCTGTCATCATCGCTTGCGCCGCTGTCGCTGCACTCCGGTGCTTGACGCAACGCCCGCAGTTTCAGCTTCACGTCCTTGCCCGCATTGCTGATGGCACCAGCGATGGTCATGGTAAGCTGGAGCGAGAACCCTCTGGCGCACCTCTCTTCAGCCGCTGTCAGTATCTGTGTGTCATCGTCACTCCACACCAGTATGGCACGCGTGATAGCCCCATCGCTCACGCCAACCGTGTCGATGCGTGCTGAAGACAGCCCCAGCAACCATGACTCTGGGTTTGGCTGATATCGGGCCTCCCACCACCGAGCGATTGCGACGTCGGGTGGTGTAGTGGTGGTGGCAGTGGTGGTGGTGGTGACGGTTGTTGTTGTTGTTGTTGTTGTTGTTGTTGTTGTTGTTGTTGTTGTTGTTGTTGTAGTTGTGGTAGTGGTTGTGGTTGTGGTAGGGGTGGTGGTGGAAGTTGTGGTTGTGGTTGTCCATGTGCATTCAATCTCCAACACGGGTACGTCGTCGTCGTTGTTGCGAAAGCTGAACAGGCCAATGTGACTGGCGCCCGAACTCACATCACCGTCAATCCACACCACCACTGCCATCGGTCCTTGCGTGGGGTCGCTGTTGTCGCGCTCCTGCACGTATTCAGACCACACCTGCGTGGCATCCCATTGCAAGATCCTGGATTCCCCGCCACCCCCTGCTGTCGCCGTCTCACCAAACGTGTACTCGTCCACAAAGTCGTCATCCCACGACTGCGATGCTTTCTCGCATGATCTCGTGAGGTCCTTGCACTGCGGGATCTTCTTGAGGGCACGAAGACGGAAGCTGCTGTCTGCTGTGGTGGGGTCTTCTTTAGACGTCATCGTTAGGCGTGCAGTGACAGTGCCGGGACACGTGGCCGTTGCGTCCAGCAGCTGGTCCGTGTCGTCAGCACTCCAAACCAACACCCCGCGCCGAGCATAGTCCACACCTAAGAGCACATTGTCGTATCCGACGTCACAAGACGATCGCGTGCACACTTTGAGCGAGTCGCTCCCCCATGAGCCCGTGGGGTGAGAAGCCACCCACCACTGGTCAATGCGGGTACGGGTCACCATCGATTGCTGTGGAGGGGTACGCGTGCATTGGAAGCTGAGGATGGCGGGAGCTGTGCTAAAAGCCACAGCAGAGTTGGAGGTGGAGCCACTGTTGTCTTCTGCTGTGTCGTACAACACGAACGCGCGCACTTGCGAGGCATCGTCGTCTGCACTGGTGTCGAGCCAGCGCTCAACAATGCGGGTGACATCCCATTGAAATGACACACTCTCTCCCTCGTCAGAGTCAATGTCGCCCTCCTCAATGATGACGCTTGCCGTGGGAAGCTCGTGCACGTATGCGCCGTCATTGACGAAGTTTGTTGGCCAATGCTCATTGCCACTCAAGAAAGGCTGCCGAAGCCCATCTGCCACAACGTGCAGCGGGCGGTGGTTGGCGTTCTTGTTAGTGGAGCTCGCGAAGACGTGCAGAGTTGCTGAGGCCAGGCGTCCTGTATCGCGGCATTCACTCAAGGGGCCGCGCAGGTCCTCGTTATCGAAGGCAAGCAGGCCCCGATGTCGGTCGTACAAACCGACACGGCTGCAGCAGCCACAGCGCGGAACAGGAGGAGCAACACAACAGAAGCAAAGTGAGAGCGGCAAAGGTGAGCAACGCGCGCAGGATCGAAAGCAAAGACTTCGCGGGAGGTGAGGAATCCATTGGGGGGGGGGGAGGAATAAAGGAAGCACACATTTCGAAGCAATGGCAACTCATACGCACAAGAAGTTATCCGTGATGTAGCCATCGTAGTCCTTGACCCAGGTGGCGGACGCGGCTGCAGCAATGCTGAACGTTTTGCTCGTTGCAGTCGTTGTGGTTGGTGTCGTGGTGACTGGTGGGTCTCCTTGGTCAATGGGATCTTCACCGCCCATGTCTGGGTCATCACCATTCCCACCAGTTCCACCAGTTCCTCCTCCTCCACCACCACCACCACCTAGGTCCTCGAGCTCGAGCTGTTTGCCTGCGTCCACGCTGGGGACGCCGCTGCCACCACCACAGGACAGCGCCACCACGCAAACACAAACAAACGCCACGGCACAAGCCCTCAGCACGACGAGCCGCACCATCTTGCTTGCTTGCTTGCTCGTGTGGAAAATTCACCAAACACACCGCAACTTTTCATTTGTGTGTTGATTCACGTTCGCCGCAAACCACTCAACACTCAAGACACACACACACACACACACACACACACACACACACACACACACACACACACACACACACACACACACACACACACACACACACACACACACACACACACACACACACACACACACACACACACACACATGACTCTGCGTTCTTCTGTACTTCCTTTTGGAATGTAACTAAATTGGGGAGCAACACAACCAACATCCAAACACCGAGAACAACAACTACAACAACAACACCGACACACAGCTTGGAGAGGTGCAGCTAACCAGCCATACGAGGAACAACAGCAAAACAAAAAACAACAGCAACAACAACATGGGTGCACATCATGTCACTGATGCCGCGCTAGACGGACCCGATGCCGTACTTGCAGGCCTCAGTCTCAAAGATGATGAGGCGCCACAGCTTCACCACAAACATCTCCGCGTCCTCGTCCAGCACATCCGAGATGGTCTCCAGAATCGACCTACCACGCACACAAGACAGGAGGGAAACACCACAAAACCACCGTGGAAGGTGAGGGCAAAATGGAGGTGTGTGTGTGTGTGTGTGCAATGGAAAGGGGGGGGGAGAGCAAGTGAAGCTACATCCATACGCGCCTAGTGTCACAGGCACTGTCCCATCACCACAACACATACCACGCAACACACACACACACACACACGTACTCTGGGGAGGCCTTGTCGCGGACGCGCTCGCAGATAAATTCGACAAGGGTTGGCTCCTCCTCTCCAATGAGCTCCTTCATCTTCTTTGCAACCCACACCTTGATCACCTAAAAAAGCAATCCAGATGAGATGGGAGCATACTTTCACGTGTGAATGTGTGTGTGTGTGTGTGTGTGCGTGTGTGTGTGTGTGTGTGTAATGCAACAGGCGCTTGTGGCGCTTGCTTCATCTACACACCACAACAACACAACACAACACAAAACAACACAACACAACGCAACACAACGCAACACAACACAACACAACACAACACAACGTCACCTTGTTCATGAGTTGGTCGCTGAGGGTGTCCCAGTGCACACTGTAGGAGAACAAATCCTTCTTGTCCGCGGGAATTGCAGCCACAATTTCGCGCTGCTTGTTCCTCTTTGCTTCCTCAGGGTCAATGCCTGACAACAACAACAAAGCGAAAGAGGGAGGAGCGGAGATGGCAAGGCAAGACACGAGCAACGTGGTGAATGAGCACGCAGCAGTGCACACGCGCACTTGTACACAGACACACGCACACACGTGCACACACACACACACCTGCTGCGCGGAGCTGCTCGTCTGTGTATTGGATGCGAGCAATCTTCGACCGCTTGTGCTGCATTTCCGAGTCATCGTCGTCCTCTGCCCCTGCAAACGCGTCCGACACATGATGCACGCGTTTCGACGACAGCTTGATGCCACCAAACCCGCCACCGCCGCCACCGCTGCTCTGCTGCCCTTCTCCCGATTCACTACCTCGTTGCTGCTGCTGCTGCTGCTGTTGCTGTTGTTGTTGTTGTTGTTGTTGGTCATGCGCGGCTGCTGGCTGTCCATTCGCTGCTGGGCCTGCATCCTGTGAAGCCGCTTCCCCTGTGCTGGCGGGCTGCGTTTGATTGCTGTGTTCAGCGATCGCAGCTGTTGTTGTCTCGGTCTTCTGCGCAGAGGCATCAGTGGTGCTGCCGGCACCACCACTCGCCTCGCCCCGGTCTCCCTTGGTTTCACCTCCCGCTGTATCCGTTGCCCCTCCCTCCTCCTTCCCCTCCTTTCCTTCCTTCACGTCCTCCTTCCCACCACCACCAATTGCTGCTGCTGCTGCTGCTGCCGATGCCGCCTCCATCTTGGCTTTGAACTCGCGCACTTCTCGCTCTTCGCGCTCGCGATCGCGCGCATCGAGCTCCTCCTCCCGCGCCCGCGCCCGCCGCAGCCGGTCCAGCTGGCTGCACGCACCAAAGCAGCCATGCACCAGCGTGTGAGCGTGCGTGCGTGCGTGTGCATGTTGTGTGTGTTGTGTTGTGTGTGTGTGTGTGTCGGGTTGTTTGTTTGTTTGTTTGTTTGCTTGTTTGTTTGTTTGTTTGTTTGTTTGTTTGTTTGTTTGTGAGAGCAAGTGCGGTTGTGCTACAGTCTCAAGCGCAGTTATGCACATGTGTGCGTGCGTGCAACGAGCCAGCGCGACGCACCTTGGTCTGTAGAAGTACGGGTCGTCCTTCTCATCGTGGTAGGTGCGTTCAAACTCGTGCTGCTTGTCCGCCTTCTCCCACTGCTCCTTCTGCCGCCGCTGGACACGGTCTATGACAGGTGCACATATGTATGTGCGTGTGTGTGAGTGTGAGTGTGCGTGTAAGTGTAAGTGTGCATGTGTGTGTGACAAATCAAAGCGGTTGTAGGCGCGAGACAACGCGGCGTGATTACATTGCCAAGTCAACAGCACGCAACACATGCAAAAGCCTCAGCAGTGCATGCGCTGCGCGTACCGGTTGCCTTTGCTCTGTCGCGTTCCCTGCGCTCCTCTTTGCGCCGATAGTCCCGCAGTCGTGATGAAAATGCGGACTTGCGCCGAGACCGCTCCCGCTCCAGCCGCCGCTCCTGTGTATTCACATGCACACACACAGATGCACACACACACACACACACAAGCACATGAGTACGTAAACATATTTTCACACACGTACACATGTGCATATCCGCACATGCAGCTAGAAAGGTTGGTGTGTTGGCGCAATGATTGGTGCGCACGTCAAACAATGACCCTCTGACCAAGAGGCGACGCTGCGCGTGACGCCATATGTGTGGTGCACCTACCCGGTCCCTCTCGGCCATCTCCTCAAACTTGCGGCGGGTCTTGTCAAGCTCCGTTTCTTCCGGCTCCGCCTGTTTCGAAAAGTCCGTCTCAATCGCTTGCCTGCGTTGTGCGTGTGCATGCATGCAAGCAACCATGACAGGCGGTCGTGTGAGAAGCATTACACAACAGGAGATACAGACAGCAACAGTGGCAGAGCAGCAGCAGCAGCAGCAGTGGTAGTGTGCTTGGGACTGCTCGTTGCACATGTGCCTCCCATGCCACTGGTGTCTCTTTCATGCTCTGTGCGCATGCATGCGTGCGTGCGTGCGTGTGTGTGCGTGCGTGTGTGCGTGTGTGTGTGTGTGTGTGCGTGTGTGAGTGTGTGTGTGTGTGTGACCTGAATGCGTGGATTTCGTTGACGACGACGTCGCGTGTCTGCTCCATATTCTCGTCGGGCACCACCACGTCCGCGCTGATCGTGTCCTTCAGCTCAAGCATAAACTCCTGTCCCACGGTTGCCACCACCACACGGGAAACGGTACCTGGTGAGCAGAGGTATGTTCGGGAACAGCATGTTCCGAGCAAGACCGGATCCCACACACACACACACACACACACACACACACACACACACACACACACACACACACACACACACACACACACACACACACACACACACACACACACACACACACAAGCTACGGAACATTCACGGGTGCACACCTGGCGCTCGGCGACTGCGCGCTGCGTGTGATCGACGCCGCCCGTGTGCTGCAGAGACCCGACAACGAGAAGCGCAGGTGGGTGGGGGGACAGGCACGCAGATGGCGGTGCAGTGCAGGTGGGGTGAGCGGGTCGTGTGAGATGGTGGTGGGGCGGAGCAGCGTGCAGTGGCAGCGGAGTGATGGTGAAAAAGATAGCGGTGTTCGGGGTGGCGATGGAGACCCTGGTCAGATAGCCACTACCACGACTGCTCATGCACACACACACATGCACACACACACATGCACACATGCACACACACATGCACACACACACATATGCACGGCGGCTACGTGTGCACTGCACAGGTTGGAGTGCACACCTTGATACGGGAGGAATACTCCTGCTGGAGTTTATCCATGATGCGTTTGATGCCGGCGCTCGACTTTTCATCCTCCGCCCGCGCAGCAGCGTCAAGGCCTTCCTCATCCACAGCGCCCTGTCGTTTTGGGGAGAGGGTGTGGGGCAACACACACACACACACGAACATGTGCAGATGTAAACGCATTCGCACACAACACAACACAACACACACATTCATAAGAAATGGTGTTGATCATAGGTGAGCAAGGAGGGAACAGCAATCAATCCAGCAATAGTCACTCAACAAACAATGCCGTGCTGGCAACGCACCGGTGCAAGCTCGCGCTTCTGTGCAATGTAATTGTCGAGAAACTTCCGCGTCTCGTCGTCCACTGTGCCGTCGCAGCGCATACAGCAACATAAAGGAATAAGGCGACATCGTGAGAAGAAAAGTAGATGGACCCAAACCGTCAACCCCCTTATACTGCCACTGCGCCGCACGGGCGAGCACTAACACCGCCACCCAAACCCACAAACATCAACACAACAGCACGGCCAGCTGCCAGATGAACAAGCAAGCAGGCAAGCAAGCAGCAAAGATGACGCCCACCTTTGAGGACGAGGGGCTTGAGGCCGAGGGCAAAATCCTTCAAGAGGCGAAGACAACGCAACGTCTCGTCGGGATTGGAGAAGGTGCAGTGCGCATATGTCTGCAGCTGACCAGCCGCGCCTGTCGTTGTGGTGCAGGAAAGACAAGGAAGGGGGGGGGCAAAAACGGTTCATCAGTTGGGGACGGGAAATGTTGAGGTGCCAGGCATTGTGAAGGATGGCGGCGACAGTGCCAAGACGACAAAACAAAGAAAATGTTTGCACAAGACATGTGTTCGCGGGCGTTCAGACCGACAAGTTCGCAGGTGCGCATGCCGTACTTTTTGGACGGTTTAACTTCAAGACTTTGCCGCATTTGTTGAGCACGTCGCGGATGTAGAAGGTGGGCAGCGCGGGCGACAATTCTCCCAGGTAGACGGTCGTATGTTTCGGGAGCTCGGTCTCCGCACCGCTCTACACCATGATGATGGAACACGCAGGCGAGGACGGAGGTAAGACAAAGTCGGGAAATGAGTGTGAAATACAACCCCAGCAAACAGCAGCGAACAAAACGCGGAATGCACGAGAGCACACAGACTCACACAGCCACAAAGAACCTTCACAGGCAGGGCAAATTTCAACGTTCGACGAGTCGCCACCACTTCAACACATGCAGGCGCACCTCCGCTGTCGACTCCTTGGGTTGGTTATTGGTATTCTGTGGTGCCGTTGGCGGCGCCTGGAGCACAGGCGCTGTTGCTGGAGGACGTGCGCCATATTGGGGCCCATGCGGCGGTGCTGTGGCAGACAAATAAAGAGAGAGGGGAGGGGGAGAGTGTGTGAGTGAGGGAGACAGAAAGAGAGAGAGAGAGAGACAGAGACAGACAGACGAACAGACAGAGACGTGTGAGCTAGCCTGCATGCACATGAAAAGGCAAGCTGAACTGAACGCATGACGAAAAGAGCATGAACAAAAGCAACTCTGGAATCATAAAGAATGTGCACTGAAGCAAATGCACACACACACACACGCACACGCTCGCACGCACACGCACACACAAGTAGGTGCAGGCACAGCTGCAAGCCGCCTTACGAGGGCGTGGCGGGCGCCCAAACGGCGGCGGTGGACCGCGGAAGCCGCCCGCAAAGGGCGGCACGCCAAATGGTGGCGGCGGCATGGGTGGTGGTGGGCCACCAGGCGGAGGAGGCCTCTGCATGCTGTGTTGTGTGCTGTGTTGTTTGCTGTGCTTTTGCTGCTGCTGTTGCTGCTGCTGTTGCTGTTGTTGTAGCTGCTGCTGTTGTCGTTGTTGAGTGTCACTGCTGTTCTGGGCGGCTCGCTCAGCTCGCTTGCTGCAGCTCGGTTGCTTGCTGGCTGGCTTGTTCACTTCGTGTTGCATGAGACGACCACACCACAACACCAAGCAGCACGTTCACACACAGCACCAGCACGTTGACAAAGAAGAAGCAAAGAGAGTGGTTGTGGAAAATTGGCTGTATCATCCATTTATTCACGCGGGTGTTTGTGTTTTGCTTGTTGGAGAAGCAACCAAACACCAACCATGGCTGGAGATGGAGATGAGGTGGGTTCATGGCGCATCGAGCGGCACATCACATACGTCCGTCTTGCTGGCTTGTTGGCTTGCTCTCTTGCTGGCATGGCGCATTGAGAATGAGCCGTGGTCACACGCCTGTCATCGAACATGCAAGCACAGCCTGCGGCACTCTCTTCCGGCCACCCCATACATGTTTGATCGCTCCACAGTTGTTATGCAAACTATTGATGTGCTCACCCACGTATACCTACTTTCACACACACACACACACACACACATACACACACACACACACACACACACACACACACACACACACACACACACACACACACACACACACGCGTGTCTACCCACTTACACACTTTCTTTTTGCAGGCATTGCTGGCGCTGAGGCCGCCGAATCTGCCATGGTATCGTGCGACACGGTACACGTTGGCCATTTGGGCCTTCTTTGGCTTTCTGAATGTCTATGCGCTGCGCGTCAACCTCAGTGTGGCCATTGTCAAGATGTCCTCGGAGTACAACTGGGGCAACTGGCAATCAAGTGAGCAACATCAAGCGAGGCATCGCTCTGCGTTGCTCATGCAAACTTGTGTGTGTGTGCGTGTGCGTGTGTGTATAAGCCTGTGCGTGTAAGCCTGTGCGTGTAAGCCTGTGCGTGTAAGCCTGTGCGTGTAAGCCTGTGCGTGTAAGCCTGTGCATGTTCATTTGTACTGTCCCAGCGGTCGCTGAGGGGCGACTTGTGCAAGCGCCTTCGCTGGCACCAACTCACTGTCTGAGATGACGCTGTTCTGTGCACCAGGCATTGTGCTGTCGTCGTTCTTCTACGGCTACATTGTGACGCAGCTCCCGGGCGGCTGGCTCGCGACTCGATTCGGCGGCAAGCTGGTACAACAGTACGCACCTGGCAACATGAAGGCTTCGCCTGTCCTGCGACAAACCCCTGTGCTTGTTCCTGCCATGGTATGACCTTGATGGCTGGCATGCTGATGCGTCTCACGTGTGTTTCGTGCCATACCAGGTGTTTGCATATGGTGTCCTGTGTACGACAGTGTTGACGCTGCTGACCCCACTTGCCAGCGAGCGTCTCCCGGTGCTGGTGGCCCTGCGCATCGTGGAAGGCCTGGGCGAGGTGTGTGGTTGTGTGCTGCGTGAATGCTTGTTGCGTGCTGTGTGTGTGTATGCTTGTTGCGTGCTGTGTGTGCCCTTGCGACCTTGTGCCCCTGCGCTCTTGTTCGCTTGCCTTTTGCTCCAAGCGTGTTCTGCATCTGCTGACTACTGTGCTTGCGATCATCCCTGTTTGCGACGCGATACAGGGCGTGACATATCCGGCAATGCATGCAATGTGGGCAAAGTGGGCACCGCCAGCAGAACGAAGCCAGCTTGCAACAATCGCATACTCAGGTAGAGATGTGCGTGCGTGCGTGTGTATGTCTGTCTGTCTGTCTGTCTGTCTGTCTGTCTGTCTGTCTGTCTGTCTGTCTGTCTGTCTGTCTGTCTGTCTGTCTGTCTGTGTCTGTGTGTCTGTCCGTCCGTCTGTCTGTCTGTCTGTATCTCCCCTTTTGTTGGCTGCTGCTTCATCGCAAGTGCTAATGTAAGGAACACCGTGATCACCTACCATCGCCTGACCTCACCCCCTCCCCACCACCTGTGGTCATGCTAGGCGCATTCCTGGGGACCGTTGTTGCCCTGCCGGCCTCTGGTGCTCTTGCAGACTCCAACTTCCTTGGTCAGTGCACCCCACTGCACGCTGTCGAGCTGCCGTCTCGTGTTGCGTTTCCGTGTAATGTTGTCCTTGACTGGCTGGTTACTGCTGGCTCAACGCTTTCCTTCCCTATTTGCTCACGTCACTCTATACCACGACGACGACCACCACTACCACTACCACTGCCAACAACAGGCGGGTGGCCGTCTGTGTTCTATGTGTTCGGCGCAATCGGATGTGTCTGGTTCGTGTTTTGGATGCTTCTCATCGCAGACAGCCCAGCAAAGTACGCTTTTGTCTTGGCACAGCAAAGCGCTCAACTTGTGCACTCGCATGCGTGTGTGTGTGTGTGTGTGTGCGTGTGTTCGATTTGATTCACGCCTTCGACGCGCATCGCTGCTTCTTCCGAAAACACACACACACACACACACACACACACACACACACACACGAACTGCACCACAGGCACAAGCGCATCAGCGCGGAGGAGCGGGATTACATCATGGGCAGCATCTCGGCGGTGCAGGGAAAACAGGAGCACGTGCCCACGCCCTGGAAGGCCATCTTCACGTCTGTCCCCGTCTACGCCATCATCGTCAACCACACCACGCAGGTGGAACAGGCAACCCCGACACAGCTGGCTCAATTCTGTATTTGTTTGGCCAGGACCAAAGGTCACACACACACGTACACACCACACATGCAGGCAACACACACATGTGCGCTTTCGTGTGCGTGGTTCGTGTCATCCCCTCACCCGCCCAACACTTGCCTTGCGATCCTCTGCGCGACACGCCAGAACTGGGGGTTCTACACGCTGCTGACGTGCTTGCCAACATACTTCAACGACGTGTTGCAATTCAACATCTCCAGCGTACGTACGTTGTTGTCCTTCCTGCTTGATGTATTTGTTCATTATGGCATCTGCAAATTCCACCATGGTTTAAATGTTTCTGATTACACCCTCGTCAAGTCGCACCACGCACAGACTCACGTTCGCGCTCACCACACGCACGCACACGCACACATGCTCACACACACACACGCACGCATTCATTGCGCATCCACCAATCCCCCTCTTACAGAGCGGCATTTACGCGTCTCTGCCGTACCTTGCGTTGTTTCTCGTGACACTTGCTGGCGGTCAGCTCGCAGACTACTTCCGCGTCCACAACATCCTCTCCACAACTTGGGGTGCGCTCGAGTTGAGGTGCTTGCGGTGGCCTGTGTGTGTGTGTGTGTGTGTGTGTGTGTGTGTGTGTGTGTGTGTGTGCGTGCGTGTGCGTGTGCGTGTGCGTGCGTGCATGCGTGTGTGTATGTGTGTGTGTGTGTGTGTACGTGTACTGGACGCTGGTGCATGTTGGCGTTTGTTCTCCTCAAGGAGCGCAGCAGCTGTGACATTTGCTTCCTTTTCTTGAACTGGGGGAAGAGATGCTGGTGTGTACACTCTCGCACCCTTTGCACATGTGCGTATTCTCGCTGCGCTAACGGTCATTCCTCGTCCTGCTGCCCGCCACACCAGTGCGTAAGCTGCACAACACAACCGCGTACACCATTGCCGTCATCTTCCTGGTCCTCGCCGGGTACACGGGAAAGGCCAACGTTTCGGTGCGTCGCACACTCAGGGTGCTTCTGACTGGTACCCCCTCAGCGTCTCTACCGGCATGCTCTTGTCCAATACCTACACATGCACATACATACGTGCGCACACGCTCCTTTCTCCTTTCCCCCTCCCCTTCACTCAAACACACACACACACACTCACACACACACTCACACTCACACACACACTCACACACACACAAACACACACACAACACACATTCATCGCCTGGTGCGCAGCCAACCGACCCTGGCCTGCTTGGGTCCACTGGCCTGTCCAAGTCCGAAGCACTGGCGGTGACATACCTGACAATCTCAACAGGCGCTCTCGGTCTCACGCAGTCGGGCTTCAACATTAACCACCTCGACGTCAGCCCCCGTTTCGCAGGTCTGCACAGGCATGCACGCAGACCTGTGCGCATGTAGTAACTACCACAAACACACACAGAGCCATGCACACACGCATACACACTCATACACACACATACACATATACACACACGCAAGCACGGGTACACGCACACTTTGCAACCCTAACCCTCTCCCCCCCCCCTCTCCCTCAAAGCTCCCGAGGTTGTACTTGGATCCAACCCCTCCAATCTATTCTGACTCACGCTTTTTGCGCGACGTTGCTGTGTGTGCACATGCGCAAATGACACTTCAGGCGTGCTGATGGGCATCACAAATGGGTTTGCAACCATCCCTGGCTTCGTGGCACCGACGGTGGCTGGGGCCATTGCTTCGTGGTAAGCAAGACAAGCCTTCTTGAAGAAACCCGAGTAGTCACTACGCGCCTGTGTTGCTTGCCATCTTGGCTTGTTATCGACGCCACAAGCCACCCAACAGCACAAACGCACACATGTACAAACACACACGCACGCACATACATACACATGCTGTTTGCACAATCATCTGTGCCTCTGCAACCACATCCTTGCCTGCTTTCTTGCTTACGCCCCCCCCCCATCCCTTCCCTTCCTTCCTTCCTTCGTTGTGCTGACTGGTCTTCTACAGCGGGCTGTGCGACAACGACAAGTCGCCCTTCAACGGGACGTACTGGGAGGGCCCCAACAAGTGCCCACCGACCAACGGGACGGTTGCACAGATGCACCGCTACCACAAGTGCACCATAGACGATGCTCAACACCAGTGGAGGTTTGGACGTCTCTGTGTGGGTGGGAGGAGCCATCGTGCTTGATGCTGCTGGGTGTTGTTGTTGCTGTTGCTTCTGGTTTTGTCTGCGCCTCCATTCACAGATTCACACACACACACACACACACACACACACACACACACACACACACATACACACACGCGCGCAAGTGCAGGCTGGTATTCTTCATCTCCGCTGGCGTGTTTGCGTTTGGCTCGCTGGTGTTTCTCATCTTCGGCTCAGGCAAGGTGCAACCGTTCAACACGCCGTCGTCCTTGCTGCGCAGTGACGCGGAAAACGGCACGCCTTCGCTCACAGAGAGCTCGGCGTTGCTGCAGAATGTTGACGGCAATGCGCGCACTCGCGTCTCACCCATCAACGCGTGAACGTGCCACGCGCTAACGAACGTAGATCAACAAGGGTGTTTGTGTGTGTGTGTGTGTGTGTGTGTGTGTGTTCGTGTTTGTGTGTGAGTGTGTGTGTATGTGTGTGTATTCGTGTTTGTGTGTGTGTGAGTGAGTGTGTGCGTGTGTGTGCGTGTGTGTGTGTGTGTGTGTGTGTGTGTTGGCCAGCTCATCATCGTCATTGTCTAACGTCATCGTGGTTGCATGAAAGAAACCGCTTGTTCATTAACGTGGCATTAAAACACAGCTAAGGAAAGAAGAGGAACAGCATGTGTTGACAGCACAACAGAAGAAGCCAACATGAGTGATGCTGGGATGTTGTCAAGCAAGTCATCAACAAATCAAGGAAACAAAAAGAAGTGGCACGACCACCAGCAAAAACGAAATAGAACGTCCAGGTCCATGGCAACAGCCCAACCCGCCAGTCCTCTGAACAACCAAGAGAACCAAGGAAGAGCGGCTGAGCGGGGGGTGGGAAGGTGATGAATTAATGTAAGGTTGATGTGTCGAAAAGAACAAGTTGGGGGTGGGTGATGATGATGATGGATGTCAACGAATAAACTGGAGCAGAATAAAGGGGCAGGGTGAAAAGCAATTTGGAGCGGGAAAGAGAAGGGGGGGGGGGTGGTGTAACTTCGGGTTTGGGTGCTATGGCATCAGTGCCATCGGAACAGAAGAACCAGTGAAGAAATCGCGAGAAAACAGAGAAGGCGGGCAAAATGTATGCTTGTATGAGTGTATGGCAAAAGAAGAAAAGAAGAAAGGAAACGCCATGAAACATTGGTGGAGGAAGAGGATGGGTAAGGCACACACAGGCACACAAATGTGCGAGTGCGCTCCGTGGACTCGACGCTCTCCTGTTCGCGCTCATTCCCGCTTGGACAAGAGTTCCGAGATGAGGTTGTTTGTGCGGACGGACGAGTTGCGACGCAGGCCAGCCTCACCCAGCTCCGTATCGTCGCCAACGCGGAGGTAGCCACCATCGTCTTCATCCACGCCAGGGCCATCATCATCAAAGTCGTCATCCATGAACACAAGATCACCAGTGCCATCAAGCTCATTAAGGGCAGTCACGTCGTCCACATTCGTTTCCGCCTGTCCATTCCACTGCTCGTCTCCATCCGCGTCTGTCTCCACATCGTCGGGCAGCTGTGTCTTGGAGAGGGTGGCCATGGGTCGTGCCTCCATCAGCGTGTCCTCGATGGCCTCTGCGTGCTTGTCCTCGGCAAGGTTGTCCACAGAGTACCACCGGTTCTTGGCAAAGCCAAACGGACTGACCGGGTTCTTCTTCAGGTCAAGCATGCGCTGCAAGTCAGCAGCACGGCGACGGCGACGCAGCACAATCACATACGCCAATAGCACAATCAGCACCAGACCAGCAGCACCAGCAGAGGCGCCAATGGTGGCGGGATCTGCAGTGCCCGTCGATGATTCACGCAAGGGCGCAGCCGTCGTGCGCGTGCGGTTGGAAGGGAGTGTCGTGTTAGCCTGGTTCAGCTTCACAACAGTCAACTCCACGTGCTCGCTGTCTGTAGCGCCAAGGGGATCCGTGGCCACGACATCAAACGACAACACAGGGGTGGACGCAGCGTCCAGGGTTCGGGTCAGGACAACACGGTTGAACTCCTCCTTCACAAGAGCAGCAGATGGACCCGTGAAGGACACCGTCGATGTCTGTTTAACACAGAGAGATCAGAGGAAGAAGGGGGTGAGTTCACATGCACATTGTGTGAGTTAAGAGAAGAAACAGAGCACAGAGTGTTGTGCACCTCAAATGGAAAGTGACTGCCACAGCAAACACGCAATGGGGGCCTAACCCATCATCATCCGTCGTTCTCGTCACAACTACGAGCAAGGGGCCGTTCAAGCTCACCTGAGTCAAGTCTTCATCGTCGACAACAATCTCATACAGAGCCGTGCCTGCAGGCAAACCGCTGGAAATTTCATCATCCTTGCCGGTACGGCCGCTGACTGTGCGCAGAAGCTGCAGCGAGGGCGGGTCGTTGCTGTCGAGGACGCGAATGACCACTTCCCGCTCTGAGGAGAGCGGTGGCGTTCCGTTGTCCTCCACGCGAATCTTCACCGTGTAGCTCGACGACTCCTCAAAGTTGAGCACCTGCGCCGTCACAATCCGGTCCCCATTTGCAAGCGCAAACCGACCCCCTGCATGTGTGTGTGTGTGTGTGTGTTGTGTGTGTGTGTGTGTGTGTGCGCGTGTGTGTGTGCGTGTGCGTGTATGTGTTGTGTGTGTGTGTGCGTCATAGTGAGCGAGCGAATCAGCATCATGGAAACTACTACAGCGTGTAGGCCAGCATGATTGCACTGGTATCTCATCGGCAAACGTGTGAATGTCCACACACACACACACACACACACACACACACACACACACACACACACACACACACACCACCCCCCCCCCCACACACACACACACATACACGTGATAGCAACTTCTTGCAAGCGAGTGGATGTGTTGCAGCCAACCCCCAACCCAACAAGTCCCAAACGTATGCAGCCCCGCACCCCCAACAAAACAACACGACCAAACACACACACACACACATGCACACCTGCGTCGTCGATGATGGAGAAGGTGTACTGCTCGTGCGATTGCTCTGTGGCCGCAGACAGCTTCACCTGCGCCACCTCCGTGCCTACAGGCTCGTTCTCGCCAACAACAGGACGCAGCGAATCAATCGCAGGCGCAATGTTCGCCGTCGTCGTCGTGGTGGTTGTTGTCGTCGTGGTTGTCGTGGTTGTTCCAGGCGTGGTAGTGGTTGTGGTCGTAGTCGTCGTTGTCGTTGTTGTCGTTGTTGTCGTGGTCGTCGTGGTCGTCGTTGTCGTGCTGGTGGTCGTCGTCGTCGTTGCAGCCACCGTGTTGTTTCCGCTTGTTGTGGTGGTGGTGGTTGTGGTCGTGGTCGTGGTTGTTGTTGTGGTCGTGGTTGTGGTTGTCGTGGTTGTGGTTGTCGTGAGCGCCAGGTTCGTCAGCTCAATGCTCACCTCTTCGGACGTCTTTGACGGCGACCCGTCGTCCTTCACCACAAGCGTCACCCGGAGCGTGGCCGGCAGCGCATCGCTGATGTTCTTGGCCAGCACCGCCCGCAGACCCTCAAACGCAATCGCGCCGTCGCTCCGGTCGTCCCGCACAACAACGCGGTGCGTCTGCCCGCGGTCCTCGTCCTCAACGCGCACCACACCCACCTGCGTGCCCGCAGCCAGCCCTTCCACAAGCCCGCCACACACGGCAGCCTCGCACTCGAAGCTCGCGCTCGGCCTCTCGTTCACGTCCGTCACATGCAGCTCAAGCCTGCGCTGCACGGACAAGGGCGGCACGCCGCTGTCTGTCGACGTCACCGTCACATTGAACCCAGGCGTCTCCTCAAAGTCAATTGGCGTCGAGCCGGAAACAAGCAGGCTCCCCAGCACCGCCAGCCGCCCGCCAAAGTCGTCCGACAGCGTGTACGTGAACGACTGGCCCGCGTCCGGGTCGCTCGTCGACAGCCGCGCAAACTGCGCGCCGTACCCCGTGCCCTCAGACACAGACAGCGAGCCCGTCACGCCAATCGCCGTCGGCGCCTCGTTCACGTCCGCCACCAGCAGCACAAACGTCGCGTCCGTGTAGTAGGGCGGCACGTAGTCGTCCGTTGCCCGCACCGTCACCGTGATGGCAGGCATCGCCTCGTGATCAACCGCCCTCTTCAGCACCAGCTCCCCGCTCGCGCCGTCAAGCTCAACATACTCGCCCCCGCCCACCAGCGACAGCGTCACCGTCTGCGTCGGGTCCGTGTCCCGCGCGCGCACCTGCCCGAGCACGGTGTTGGGCGGCGTGGTCTCCGGGAAGCTGGCGTTGCCCGTGAAGCGGACATCAAACGGCGGGTCGTTGAGGCGCCGGCAGTACGGCACCCCGTTGAAGCCCGAAAACTCGTGGCTGCGCCGACACGTGGCCGCGGCGCCAGACTGGAAGATGTAGTCGCCCTCGCACGAGTAGCGACAGCTGCCCGGGCCGTACGGGCACCTGAGCTTCGGCAGCACGCACGGCTCCCCGTAGATGGAGTTCTCCGTGATCACCTGGCACGCCGTGCGGCAGTAGTCCCGGCGCATCGACTGCGCGTCCGCATACAGCCGCACCCCGCCAAACCGCACAAACATGTTGCCAAACCGCACAAGCTGCGTCAGCCGCTTCACCAGGGCGTCTGTCGACACGTCGCCTTCCTCCGCAGGGTCGCCGATGCTGTGCGACACCTCTCCGCTCTCCAGCACCTCAAACTGCGTCAGGCGGTCCTCCTCCACGCCGAGCCGCGTGCTGATCTCAACCAGCGCCGCAATCCGGAAGCTCGCCGTCGCGTTGGTCTCAACCACCTCCTGCGTGTAGTTCTCGCTGGCAAACGTGTACCGCAGGATCAGCTCGGAGCTCGCCCCAGCAACAACCAGCACCTGGCTCGAGTTGGACGTCGCGTTGTGCATGTGGTTCTGCGCAACGCAGTAGTACGAGCCGTCGTCAGCGGGCTCAATGTCCGTGAGCTGCAGCCGCGCGCCCTCGCCTACCAGCTCGTCGTCGTCTTGCATCGTCTCCCGGTACCAGTACACGCTCGGCTCAGGCACGCCCGTCGCCGCACACCGCAGCTCCAGCGACCGCCCGGGGAACGTCGTCGCCAGCGGCAGCGGATGCTCCGTAATCACAGGCACCTCGCCGCACCACACGTCCATCATCATGGTGGCGTTTACCCAGTCCACAATCTCCGTCACCTGCTGGTACGCCTCGGACAGCGTCAGGTTGCCGGACGCAAGCTGCTTGCTGTAGTTGCTCATGCGCTCAATCTGCCCGCTCAGCTCCGCAAACTCCGGCAGCGACACGTCGTTCCACAGGTCCGTCAGGTGGTCCATCGACGCAATGATGCAATCAGGGACATCCCCGCACCCAAACTCGTCAAGCTGGCCCGTGCCGTTGAGCGTGGCCTGCAGCGCGTTGAGCATGTCGGAGTAGTCGCCGGCTTCCGTGGCGTTTTGCTCCTGCTTCCAGTTCTCCATCGCGTCCTCCTCCGACTGCATGCCGGACTGCACAGACTCGTCGTCCGTTGCGTTTGCCGCCAGCGCGCTCATGTCCACAGAGTCCACGTAGCCGAGCACGAGCCCGTTCACTGCCGGGTCGTCTGCAAACGCCGTCCGGTTCACCTCCGGGATGTTCTTCTGCGGGTCCCGCGCCTCCATCAGCTGCGTCTCAGACTCGTTGGTCATGCGCTTGAACCGCTCCGCCTCCATGTACCGGTCCTCAACCTCGTCCGTAAACGTCAGCAAAAAGTCCAGCGCGTCCATGAACACGTTGCACTTGTGCTGGTACAGCATGGCCGGGTCCACCCGCTCGATGGCCGCCTCCTGCGTGATGTTGACGCCCGCGGTGCCGTTGACGCTGCCGCCGCCATCGCCACCATCGCCCATCGTGCTGTTGTCGCCCGTCTCGCGCCGGTGCCGCTCCAGCTCCGACAGCGCGTGCTCCATGTCAATTGCATAGTGGTCGCGGTGGCCCGCGCTCTTGCCCTCCTGGTAGAACACGTGGTGCAGGTCGAGGCCAAGGTGGTGCTGCGCAATGTGGGCCACGGTGACAACGTCCACCCCGAGCCCGCGCGCATACCGCCGCCGGCGGAAGAAGCTGCTGAAGAACCGGTCAAACAGGTCGCTCGCAACGCGCGCAATCCTGGCCAAGCGAAAAGCAAAACAGGGAGGGGAGCAGCCGAGAAGGAGGAAAAGGGAGAGGGGATGGGATGGCAATGGTGGGCAGTGGAAACAGAGTGCAATGGGTGGCAGTAAGTGGTGAGCATGGGTGGACGTGGCAAGCGTGTGGTGGAGACACAAGAACAAAAGTAGGCAAACGTGGTTGACCTCTTGTCGAATCGAACATGAAAGGGCCGAAGCACGTGTGCAGCACAACACGGCCTCCAGGCAATTGTGAGCATCATCTCATGTGAACGTACGATCTGAAGATGTCGGCGAAGTTGATGTAAACGCTGAGCCGCACGTGAGCGCTGCGGAACAGGACCAGCTCCATGCTGGCGCTGAACTCACGTGGAGTGAAGCCCTTGACCACAAGCTCAAACTCCATGTGGGGAATGGACAGGATGTACGTGATGCTGTTGGCCACCAGCGTCGCAGCAAGTTCAAGCGCGCCTCTCACTGCTTCCTTGACAATGTCCACAGCAACCTGAACACATGCAGCCAAACAGGACGTGTTGAGGCAATGCAGTCAGATGGTTCACGTCGATTCGTGTCAGAGTTCATCGTTGGCACAACGTGGCTTGTGACGCAGTTTCACGTCAACAAATGGCACACAGACACACGACAGAGGAAGCTGTCACTGGGGTCTGGGGCTGACGACAAACAGGAGTAGCGCACTGTGCTGCACACCTTTGCGGCGTCGATGGCGACTTCTATCAGCCGGAACACAACTCTTGCCTTGTCCAACGCTTGCGCTGCAGAGCAAACCCAGACAAATTTGTCGCAGTGCACGTGGCCGGGTTGAGCACACAGGCAAGAACATTCGGTGTAGGGACAGCGCGCACCGTCATGCAAGACAGCACAATGAAAGGCAAAACCAAGCAACACCTTGAGTGCTGCTCGCAAGACGTACCAGCAAGGTCGAACAGGAAGTTGGCCGCGTCCAGGAACACAAGGGCGGCATCCAACGCCTTCTCAACCACTTCGAGCGCAAGAAGCAGCACGGCTAACGATGCAGACACAGATTGCACACAAGCAGAGGATGAGCTTGCCACAACCGTCGCACGGTGGTCGCAGAAGCAGCGTATGGGGCAGTCAGCGAGGAGAACTGAAGATGCAAGCGATGGCGGCGTTTGTGATGGCAATGAACGGCCCACTTACAGATGAGAGCGTCGATGACTTTGAGTAAGAACAGCAGCGTTGCCTTGAGGACTCGGCAGATGGCGTTGGCGATGAGGCACGGCACATTCGGGATGCGCCAGAGGCAGGATCTACGTGGATGCATGCATCATCACGAACGAGGTCAGTGATGCCATGGACCAGGATGTTGACAGCACATTATTGGATATGCGTATGGGCAACATGGGCACGACGCATGGAATAAAGGGAGTCTTTCTGACAAGAAGTGCCAAAATACATGCTGAGGGCATGACGTTTCAGGTGGCACGCAGCGCATCACACAGTGCAGCACGTGAAAAGTCAAACTCACGAGCAGACGAGCTTTGGGATGCGAATGGAGCCCCAGCGACGCTGACGGACGAGCAACGCGTGGCCCTGCTTGTGGTTTGCCAGCAGCTGCTTGCTGCGCGTTGGGTGGCGGATCTCCTCTTCCAGCTCGAGTGAATCCATCGCCACGCGACGGCGCCGGCGCCTGATTGAACAGGTCAAAAGTGAGCGCATAAAGCAAAATGGGAGCGTTCAACGCGAGGGGAGTGCGATAAACACGTCGACATGCACACACACACCCACACAGATGCACGTACGCAAACACACAAACCTACAAACACACACGCACGCACATGTGCACACAAGAGGACAGCCGGACGACATCGAGAAACCAACAAACCTGAATTCGCAACCAGGGATGCAGATGTCCGGACAACGGCGGATGTGGCAAATGCTGTCGATCCGATGCCGTAGATAGCGCGCTCGCTCGCGTGCATCCTCGAGCGGCTTCTTGGCCTTGTTCACCGCATCTTGCCAACCACGTACGATCTGAGGAACGGAACAACATGTGACGCATGAGCATAAAACCCACAGCAGATAGAGATATACACGGAGGGGACCAACTATGGTTGCACACGCACACGCACGCACGCACGTGCACACATCAGCGAAGCGCACAGCAGAGCACATGAAGCACTGGAGAGACTGCAAACGAATGGGCTATCTATGAGACCATGAGTGAGACGCAGTGCAAAACAGAGACGTCGCGCAACGTACGTCCTTGGCGCCTTCCACGATGGCCTTTGCCGAGTTGAGAGCGCCTTGCAGTCGGTCGATGATGCCCTCAAACTGGCGGAGCTTCTCCTTGATCGAATCCAACACCTCCTTGACTTTGTTGAAGCGCTCCACGGCCTTGTTGGCCCAGTCGCGAAGCAGCCGCTCAACGGCAGTGGCAATGGCCTCGATGATGTCGCCGAGGAAGACGCCGCGCACATGCAGCGCCATGGACTGCCAGTCAAGCAGCGTGCGGCTGTCAAACTTGGGAAGAAGAGCAAGGACATCCAGCTCGGCTTTGAAAATGTTGAAGATGCGCAGCTGAAAGAGAGGAATCGTGCATTTGAGGCGAAACACGCAGTGAGGTGAGAAAAGCGATTGTGTTGTGCAACATGCAAGCAAGGCAGAGATGCCAGCATACAACGCAGCAGGCACTGTGGCGCAACCTAGACTGCAGGCCTGCAACACACGCACACACACACCTGGTAGTTTGTGCGGAAGAAGAGCTGCGGGTAGTTGCCGGTGGCAAAGTTGGTTTCCACGGACACGCCAAACAGCGTTGCTGTGCACTTCGTCTGCGACAGGTACGCAAACTCGGTGGTCGACAGCACAAGGCGCACGGACGCGTCGCCGGGCAGGCGGAACAGTCCCGCAATCTGTGGCCGCACCACCGTGCCACGAATGGACACAACCTTGCCTGCAGGCAACTGGCGGTACAGGTCGCTGAACACGTCGCACGGGGCAAGCACGTCGCTGTCCGAGTACTGGAGATCAACCAGGGTGCGCGCGCAGATGCCAGGGAAGTAGCAGATCTTGCCAATGTCGAAGCGGAAGCCCCAGCCTGCCAACATGTTCAACATGAAACAAATATGAGAACCACTTGGCTCTGCATTGCACGCCGTCCATGGGGCGGTTCAACCCATGACAAGACACGACGCAACACAAGACACGGCTACAAGTACACGCACATACATGCGCATGCATGCGCGCACAAGCGGCAGCGGTAACAACGAAGTCAATAAAGCTCACAACCCAAAAGAAAGAGGCAAGCAGGGAACAACGAGAACACGTGACGCGTTGCGCACCTGCCATGCCCTCCTGCCAGACGCCATTCACGTAGCTGCTCTTGTACAGGATAAAGTACTTGAGGCTGAACTCCTCCTCGGCACCAAAGCCAAGGAAGTCGCTGTTGTGGTGCATCAAAACCAAGCACAAAACGCGAAGCGCAAGACAAAGCGTCAGTGCATGTAATCACGCATACCTGGGTTGAGGCTTCAGCAGTGTGTGTGTGTGTGTGTGTGTGTGTGTGTGTGTGTGTGTGTGTGTGTGTCTGTGTCTGTGTGTGTCTGTGTGTGTGTCTGCGCTTTTGCGTGGGGGTCTGTCTGTGTGCGTTTGTGTGTGTGTGTGTGCGCGTGTGTGTGTGTGTCTGTGTCTGTGTCTGTGCGCTGTTGCGTGGGCGACGAACCCAAGGGCAGAGTCGAGAATCTTGTTGCCAAAACCAGAAGAGCGCATGCTCAGGGTCACAGTGACAAAAATGCCCTTTGGATTGGCAAGAGGCCCGCAGTTGTCCCGAGGCGCAGGCTCCGTGCCTATCACGCACACACAAACACAAGTCAGTCATGTGTGAATACGCACATGCATCTGAGTGATAGAAAGGTGAAAGAGGCCTTTGGAACCAGTACAAACGCACAGAATTACAACACATACATTGCGTGCACATGCGCGTGCAAGCTTGCACAAAGACGACACACACACACACGCACACGCACAATACCTGAGTCGCCATCGAAGGAGCCAACGACAGCACCGCGCGCTTTGAAGTTCCACTGGGCCGTCTTCTTGAGGATGCTGAACTTGATGTCCAGGTTCACCTCGCCCTCAATGTACCCTTCCCACGCCCCAGCCGTGATCTGGTTCATGTTCTGCTCACACACACACACACACACATACACACACACACACATTCAAGCAATTAGAGCGGGCAACATAAACACAGAAGTGAGACGCGCACGCTCGCCGCTACTGCTGCTGCTGATGCAGTCTTGGCGTCGTCTGCACACTGGCCGTCCACACGTGCAACCACAACACACAAGCACACACAAGCACACACAAGCACGCGTGTCATGTTGTTCGGTTCTCTCACCGTGAAGGTGTTGTCTGAGGAGAGACCAGCAACGCCGTCCACAGAGAGCTCAACCTTGAGGCCAAGCGTGCTCGTGCTGCCAAGCTCAAGCAGTGTCTTGCTCAGAGACGTGTCAAGCCTGTGTACAAATGAACACATGCAAGGCGATGTGTGCGCAGGTGCAGAAGTGAGCAACAAGTCCGTGCAAGGCTGCAAGCAGCGCACAAACGCATCCACCACACACAGACACACACTCGCGCACCAGTGATTACACGCAAACCATCATCCCATCACCGTCACGCAGCGCATGTGTATGTGTGTGTTCGCACCAGAAGTCGAGACCACCGGTGTTGTATTTGAAGATGTGTTCGCCATCAAAGAACTCAATGGTCGGCGCGCCCTGTCAAACAACAAAGGAAGTGCGAAAATGGGAGGGCAAGTTGATGTGAAGCAAGAAGGACTCCAACCACGTGCAAGCACGTTGCCCCAGCACGCGGGCAACCACAACACATCAATCACAACCCACACGAACACGCAAGTGTGATCAAACACAAGCACAAACACAAGCACAAACACAACAATGCAAGCGTAGGGCACCTGGAGGTGCGAGTTTCTGGAGAAGCCGACGCTGGTGTCGCCAATGATCCACCCGCTGCTGTCCAGCCGCTGCTTGAAGGGCAGCGCATTGAGCAGCGACCACGCCGCCTTGGGCACCCGCATAAATACAACGTCGCCCGGGTATGCGGCCACATCGACGGCAATGCAGAACGCCTGGCCCTGAGCAGGGACGCTCTGCGAGCTGCCGTCCACGAGGATCACAGACGCCTTGGACCACAGCACCACCGCGTAGTAGCTGTTGGAAAACACGGGCAGGTTCTATCGCGTGGTGATGTGCGAGACGAGTAACAGGGTTGCGAGCTGTCGTGAGTGATGTGACTCGGTCAGAAGACAAGCAAAGGAAAGCAGACCACTTTCATTGCCTGCAAGCACGCGATCTTTGCTTGCATGCAGGCAGACCCACGCAACGACACAAACATCATGACGCATGACATTGGAATGCAACTAAAACACACACACCCAGCACACAACTAAACACACGCACACCCAGCACACAACTAAAACACACACGCACACACGCAAAGCACACAACCAAAGCACAACTCACGTTGCAGTTGGGGATGGAGGTGACCTCGGGCCCTGGAATGAGCTTGACAAAGAAATCGCTCTCCACCGTGACGTCTGCAGAAAAGTCCCTGTCCACTGCGATGCGCAGCCAGGACGGGAGGGACGGCTCAATGGCGCTCATAAACGTCTGCGGCAGCGACGACGTCGTGGACAGCTGCTGCAGCTGCTCCACAGACAGCGAGCCGTCAGCGCACACGCTCTCGTCGGGCACAACAATGCTGAACGGCGACGTGGTGACGCGCAGACCGCGAACAGAGATTGGCAGCGTCACAGAGGAGGTCAGACGCAGGCTGACAAAGGAGCACGCCTGGTGCGTGTTGCCGCCCATGGACTGCCACGGATCCACAGCAAGGAACTCAACCTGGTCAGACTGCACACCACAAAGTGCACATGTGCGCATACATGCATGTGCGTGGTTGCGGTTTGGGGAGGGTTGTTGTTGTGAGAATGGTGAACTGGAATGACCAGCAACAACGGGAAGAGTCGGGAAGGGCAAGCACAAGCACAACAAGCACAACAAGCACAACAAGCACAACAAGCACAACAAGCAAGCAATCAACAACGGTGACTGACCAGAATGGTGACGGGGAGGGTGTGGGTGCCTGTTGGGACTTCGCCTTCCTCAACACCAAAGTCGACAAACACGCTCGATCCCTCATCGATCTCTGCAGTGGCGCACCAACAAACAACAAGGGAGAAGCGGTGATGCTTGGGTGGTTAGCCGTGCCGATGCGAATGAATGCAACTTCAAAGCAAGGAAGTGCAGTGATAAGCAACCCGGCAAACCACCATTGGTTCCTCCCTCTCAACCTCTCTCCCTCTTTCCCTTCGCGCGCGCACACACACACACACACACTCACTCACAGCGCAACACGACACGACACGAGCAATGATGCATTGCTGCTGCGACGTACGAATGAGGCCAAACAAGTTCCTCGTCTCCTCGGTGATGTCGACGTAGTTTGTGGCACCAACATTGTCCGGGTACGAAAACTGCACGGGCTGCTGGCCTGTGGCGTGCGGCGTGATGGTGAAGGGCACAGACTCGGCGTTGGCATCAATCTGCAGGTCAAATGTCTGCATCGTGTCTCCAAAGTTGCTCTCCCTGCAAAAACAGTGGTGGGTGCACATGCATCAGCAGTGAGCACGTGCAGGTTGCGTTGTTCACGCAGGGTGATGCAGTCACATCACACCACAGTAGCAGCGGCAGCAGGCAGTGGTATGGTCACAGCAGAAGCACGTAGTTGCACGCACTCATACACGTAACCCAGCAACACGCACAACACAGCATCACGTGCGCGCGCAACCCCCCACCAATCACACATGCACGTGTACACTTTATCCTGACCCGTTGAAGTTTGTGCGGCCGGACTGGAGGACCTGCAGTCCAACACCGGACATGCGGATGGTGAACGGCGCCGGCGAGCGCTTTCCCAGGCGAAGATGTAGCAGCCGCGTCTCTTGCTGCACGTACACTGCAGGCAGCGCGGGAATCTCAACCGTGCCTGGGGTGGTCGGGACAAGGGTGTTATGGAAGCAAGCAGGCGATGGGCGTGAGACCAGTTGGGGTGAAGTGATGGGAACATCTTGGGGCGAGTGCATGTGCTCACACGCCATGCCAAAGAGAAGACTGGGTCGGAAGAGAGAGTGAGGGAGAGAGAGGGGAGGGAGGGAGGGAAGAAGAGAGAGAGGCAGAGGGGGCGCATGACATCCACATCTGCACGTACCGAGGCAGACGCTCTCGTGCGTGCTGTTGCAGAACCGTGCCGTAACCGTGCCCTCAGGGCAAGGCAGGCAGTCTTGAGCATGAAAGACGACATGTGTGAAGAATGTGCGTGTGAGAGAGATGAAGAAATGAGCGCAGGAGTGTACGTCTGTGTTTGTGGCGAGCACCAGCCAGAGTGGAATCGAACTTCCCAGTTTCATTCAATCACGCATGCTTACACACTCATACACACACACAGTGCCATGCACACACACAAGTACACAGCGCACCTGCACATCGAAGGTCGTGTTGAGGGGTACATGGGGCAACGGGGAACATGCCGTCTGGACACTCTGTGCTGCATTCTCCGCAGACGGAATCCTCAATGCCGTCGCAGCCGGCAGACAGGATTCTCCGCAGACGGAATCCTCAATGCCGTCGCAGCCGGCAGACAGGAACGTGCCCTCAGCACACTCCGTGCACTCTACAACCAGCAAACGACACAAAGGGAGAAACAAGGCGGGCGGTGAGACAACTCATAACCACAGCAGTACATTCAGGGGACGCGGCTTGCAAAGCATGTGGTACAAACACGACGGGAGATCAACAAAAAGGAGGTAGCAAGGGTGCGCGTGCTTTGCAACAACCACAACCACAACCACAACCACAACCCATCATCTTTCCTCCTGTCCCTTGTCCATTCCTTCCCCTCCTTCACGTTGATTCTGCAAGCGATGCATTTGCGCATGTGCAATGTGGTTGTAGTACGCACCGACGCAGAGGGTGTCTTCGCCGTTGATGCAGCCACCGTTGGCAAAGGTGCCTGGGGAACACTGGTTGCACGGCTCGCAGATGCTGTCAATGGTGCTGCCATCACAGCCGCTCACGCGATATGAGAACCCATCCTCGCACGGGCTGCAACCTGCGCATGGAAGAGTGTGTGTGTGCGTGCATGTGTGTATGTGTGCATGTGCATGTGTGCATGTGTGCATGTGCATGTGCGTGTGTGTGGGGATGGTGAGATGAAGCCAAGCAAAGCAGAGGAGTAGATACAACAGGGAAGGTGATGTTCTCCTTTTGCAGATCTGCTGCAGGCTGTTGACAGTGAAACATTGGGACGCCAGCCAGTGTATCAAGCAAGCGCCTGTTCGAGAAGTGCAATTCTGGTGTCGTGTTGCTGGCTGACCTCCGCATTCCACAGGTTCGTTGCCGATGCAGCCGCCAACCTGCCGCTCGCCATCAGGGCACTTCTGGCACTCTAATGATTGGAACATGACGAGCAGGCGCACAAAAAGGTGTGTGTGTGTGTGTGTGTAGTGAGCGCTCACGCACGTATGGGTGCACATGCACGTTTTGTTTGGACGACGTTTACACGTCTACTCTTACAAACTCAGGAACATCAGTCACGCAATCACTGCATGCAGGCAGAAGAAGAGGTGCGTTTTGTCAGCCCACGCAGTGGCTTGTGCGACTCACCAATGTCGCAGCGGTCGCCATACCACTCGAACGGCGAGCAGTCGCATACGCCCGTGACCGGCACGTATGTCGCAGCCGCATCTTTGCGGTCGCAGTATCCCTGCGTTTGTTTCGCTGTGTTGCGCAAAGTGGGTGGGAAAGCATAGTGGAGTATCACGCACGGTTGGTGAAACAATGAAAGCGACACGAAGAGCGCCGAGCAACAACCCATGCATCCAAGCTGCCAGTCTGCACAACATCCTCAGCCTCCCTGACTCTTCTTCCTCTTCCCCTCCTCTGCTTCCCCTTGTCCTTCCCCTTTCCTCTTCCTCTTCCTCTTCCCCTCCCATTCATCACATCCTCTTGAGAGCACACGTACGGATGCAGAGGCCCGTGTCGTCGGAGCGGTAGTAGCCGTCCTCGCACACGTCGCAGAACTGGCCCGTGTGGTGCTCTTTGCAGCTGCACTCTCCAGGCGTGTTGCAGTATCCGCCAACCGGATCACAGCCAGGACCACACACCGCTGGAGTTGTTGTTGGTGTTGTTGTTGGTTGTGGTGGTGGTGGTGGCGGTGTGAGAAGAACAAGCAGGTGGCGGTGTGAGGAGGACGAGCAGGTGGTGGTATGAGGAGGACAAGCAGGTGGTGGTGGTGTGAGGAGGGAAACGATTGGAAGGATGAGCAGGTAGTTGTGAGAGTCATGGCAGGAAGAATCAGAGGAAGCCAAACACAGATGGAGAGCAGTGTCGCAAAAGTGTCGCAAAAGTGTTGCAAACGCATGAGCTTCACCACAGCCATATGATCAGTTGCACCATGAATCACGCGGAACAACCATTATTGTGCCACTTTGGAGTGCACTTACGGAGCTGACACTGGTCGCCCGTCCACTCTGGTGGACAGGAGCACTTGCGGTACGATTCGCAGAAGCCGCGAAGGCAGGTGTAGTCGCCCTCGCAGATGGCACCAGGTTCGGTACAGAAGGTGCCGCTCCATCGCGTTGGGCATTCGCACTCGCAGTTGGAGGCCGCCCAACGGCTGGGGTCGTTCTCAAACTGGCAGTAGGACGTTGCCGTCAGTGTTCCGCCATTCGAACACGTCTGACACAGAAAGGGGGGAAGGGCATGGGGTGACGGGGTGATGCGGTGAACGTCAATATTCACAAGTTTCAATGTCTCTTGTGTCTTGTGTGTAAGCGGGTTTGTTTGTGTGTACGAGCAAAATGGCACACACCATGCATGCATGGGATATACACTGTCGGGAGGTTACCCGCGCATGCAAGTAGACATTTGTCTCCAAGACACACACACACACACCGGGTTTGGTCCTTGGAATGGAGAGGGCTGGATGCAGATGATATCGCCCTGTTCTGGCTCGCTGGACTGACACGCAGCATGTACTGTGGTGATTGGAGTGATCACCACCGTCATGAGCAAGGCCGCAACGGCCACACGCATGGATGCGGCGTTGCGCATCGTCTCTTCACTTTGCGTGGCTTTTCTGTTGGTTGTTGGTTGTTTGCTTTGGTTGTGGTGTTGCTTTGCGTTGGCTGGACCTCTGGACTGTTGGCTGTTTGGGATGCACGTGTCCTCCGACTTCGTGCAAAACAAAAGGAGGAGGCGCGCCCCTGCTGCCTGACTCCGTCAGACACCAAAGAACTCTCTGCTGCAGCACTCGCGTTTGGGTGCACAGGTGCCAGAGATGATGCCCACGACAACAGTTTGTTGATGAAGATGAAGAGAGAGCGAGAGGCGGGGAATATCTCTGCCCTGCGTTCTGGGTTTGACTTGTTTGCTGGCTTGTGGCTTGTGGCTTGTTGCTTGTTGCCCCCAAGAAAAGCCAGCAAGGTGGCGCAAAATTATTTTAATTTTCTTTGGGTTGCCTGCAGGCAACTCGAAAATTTATGGATGTCTTCTACAACAGGTGGAATTTCGACGTTTAGGCAACGCAACCACACAACGCGAGCAAGAAGCGAAGTCGGAACAGCAAAAAAGTGTGTTGGTTTGCCGGAGCGCGGAGTTGTGCTCAACGTCGTGGATGGCGATGGAGGGCACCTTGCACCCACATTGCAACGGCTCGTGCACCTGTGATGTGTTGAGAATGAGACAAAGCAGAAAGGCCAGTGAGCGAAAGAAGGGGGGGGGGTGGCAGTTTGAGAAGGGCAGGGATGGCAGAGGAGTACTATCAAGCACGCAAGCAAGCAAACAAGCAAGCAAGGAGAAGAAAGGAAAAGAAAGGAGAAGAAAGAGAGAAGGAGAAGAAAGGACGAAACTCATAACACAAATGCACACAAACAAACACACAAACACGCACACAAACAAACACACAAACACACAAACACACGCAAACAAACAGACACACACACACAAACAAACAGACACACACACGCGCGCAAACACACACAAACAGACACACACACACACGCACACACACGGCACTGTGCCTGGATCTGGGTGGCCACGCAGGAGATGATCAGGAACATAGCTGGACCGGCCACAGGTTGCGTTCATGTCCGCCGTCTGAAACAAACAACACCATGTTCCATTGTCAGCGTGTGTTGGTGCGCACGAAGAAGGAACGATGCAGCGTGTACAGAGATGACTCGCACCGCGTGTGACGCTTCCTCCACCAGCGTTGCAACGGCGCCAACGTCAATCGCTGCAAGGGAACACAAAATCATCGCAATCCAAGAACGTCGTGAGCGCAGCAGCCAATTGCGGGTCGGTGTGCACTGTGCCGACATGGAAAATGGAAGCCTCTCATGCATGCACACAAACAATGGGTGCGCGCACGATGGGACGGTGTCATGAATCAATTGGAAGACGTGAAGAGGAAGGGGTGAAGGAAGAGGACTCACGTTGCTCGGCGCTGCCGTGTCGATCGAGATAGTGATGCAGCGGCACCAGCACATCGAGCATGGTGCGGTCACCTTGCTGTGCGCCGCCATACTTCATCACGGCATCAATGCCTGGCGTGATCACAAACCACGGCAACGTCAAGGCAGTGCCATAACAACAAGCGCATTCTCTCTCGAGTCATCAATCAGTCACACACACACACACACACACACACACACACACACACACACACACACACACACACACACACACACACACACACTGCACAGCAGCAACCACAGCACGCACCCACCTGCGGTGAGGGCCATGGTGACGAGACTGGCCAATGGCGCGCGAACAACATCGCCTGAACGACAAATAGACGACAGAGAGCGGTGACAAGACAGGACGCAGAACAGCGGTTCAGCAAAATCACAAATATCAGTCACAACCCCTGTGTATCCACACACGCACACGCACACGCACACGCACACACACACGCACACGCACACACAATGGCAGCTGCGACGTACGGTCATTCAAGCAGCTGGAAGCAGCTGCAAAGAAGATGCTGTACACGGCACCGGATGTGCCGCCCATGTTCTCCTGTGCAATGGTGGCCTGTGTGACATACCACAATGTGTTGTGTCAAATAAGGCATGAATGGCGCTGTTTCAAACCCCTTGACGTACCAAAGGCTGCAAGTCACGCACACATTGCAGATCGCAAATACACACATACACACGTACATACACAAAAAACACACACAAAAAAAAACAACACAAAAACACACGCACGCACGCACCAGTTGTTGGAGGAGCTGGGCAGGGTTGTGCAAAGCAAGGCGGCCAACTTGTAGCTGCTCGAGGACGCTACGGGCGCCCTCGGTCATGGTCGTGCCGCAATCGCCATCACCAACGATGGCATCGAGACGAGACAGCTCGGGCTCACCGGAGAACAGCGCTTCGCATGCACCTGAGATGAAGTAAACCAAAGCGCAGCACACCACATTGCGTCAGAAGCATGACTTTCGTGTCATGGTGTCACTAGCTTGGGTTCAGCCGTTGCATTTCTCGACCACAACGATGACAACAACATAATTCCCCTTCAAACACAAGGCCTTTCCCAAAAGTGGCTGCAAGCACCTCCTTACCTTTGATTGCTTTCCCAAGGAGGTCGGTTGAATAGGAAATCTCGCTGGGAGTGCGCTGCAAAGCCGTTGTCTCTTCAGCTTCGCTGCTATGAGGGGCTGGGACAGTTATTGGCGGCTCATCACGTCGAACAACAAACTGTTTCGTTCCGCCCAGCAATGTCGGGCCAGGCCACGCAGGAGCAGTCGTGGGCGCATCCAACCACTGTACCCCCACGAACCATATGCCGCCATGATCCAGCCAGAACACGAGCATTCAGGACAAACGTCAGCGTATGTGAGACTGTGTGTGTGCAGATGTGTGTGTGTGTGCATGTGTGTGCATGTGTGTGTGCATGTGTGTTTGCACATGTGTGTGGAGATTGAAGCAAGTTGTTTCATGTTGAAAACGTGGAAGGATGGGTATTTGCAGGTGCACCTGACCTGCTCAAGCGCTTCGGCCGGAAGAGCATCAAGATCAAGGAGCGTAAGCGACACACCAGCCATATTCATGGACCTGCAGGTGTGTGTGTGTGTGTGTGTGTGTGTGTGTGTGTGTGTGTGTGTGTGTGTGTGTGTGTGTGTGTTGCGTCTTCAGGAAAGCAAATTGCAGGTGTGCCATCTGGATTTCTGCTTGCTCGTGAGTGGCCCACACACATGTACAGGCATTACAATCTCTCGGAGGCGTGCTCTCAGGCAGACGTACGTCATGAATGTGCCCATGTACACGCGCGGGACAAAGACGCCAACGTCTTCAATCAGATGGTCCAGAGCCGCCATCGCAGCGACGCCAAGCTCAAGCTGGGACGTGGCTCCAAGGTTGTTGATGAGCAGTGCATAACGAGACACGTTGCGTTGTGGTTGTGTCATGTATGCTCGATTCTCATCTGCGCGGGGACGAACATGTGTGCGCATGTGCGCGTGTGTTTGTGCATGTGCGTTTGTTTGGGGGAAGGAAGTGAGTCACACACACACACACGTACATGCACACGCAGACACACGTGTGTGTGTCTGCGTATGTCGTGCAGGCGTGGCCGTGCTCTCGTTTGCAATCATGGGCATGGAATTCACAGCAATCTTGCCTTGGTTCAGCATTATGTCGAGGAGATCACGACAAATGGCAGACGCGGACGTGAACGGAATCTCTGCCGCTCCGCTCTCGCCATGGATGCCAACACCTGATACGAATTAAGGGCGCAGAGCAGAAACGATGAGCACCTGATGTGGTGGTCATGAACCACGTTCAACTGTCAGATTTCAACTCTATGAGCGCGCGCGCGTGCGTGTGTGTGTGTGTATGCCAGCTACAGCTACGTCATGTGGTGACCAAATGCGATTGAATGAAGCCATGTTATTCCTCTCCCCCTCACCGATGCCGCAGGTTCCTGGCTCAAGGTGAAACGACGGCTGGCGACCGGGAACTTGGCACGGAGACAAGGCCACACCTGCGGTGCCAAGTCCTCGAGACAAGTGTGCAGCCGCGTTACTGAGTGAAGCGAGGTCACGCCCAGCCTCTGCCATTGCTCCGAGCACTTTGTGCATCAGCACGGTGCCTGCGAGTCCACGCCGCCCGGCCTTGGACTCTGTGACATGTTGCGTGTGTTCATGTGGGGTGGGAGGTTGTTGTCATGCAAAGGTCGCGCAATGAGAATAAGACACAAATTTGAGGGTGCACACACATGAGGATGCACACACACACATGAGGATGCACACACACACACACATGAGGATGCACACACACACACATGAGGATGCACACACACATGAGGATGCACGCACACACACATGAGGATGCACACACACACACACACACAACACACACACACACACAACACACACACACACACACAAACATGAGGGTGCACAGATTTCACCCGGCATACGTACACGAGTACACACGAACATGCGTGCATGAGCATGAACGGCACGAACACGCAAGCAAATACAGTGTGGCATCATGGAACGGGGCAACGAACACAACAAAGATGAAAATGGTGGAAACGCACTCTCGCGTGGGAGGGCGCAGTCGTCGCCCACAATCACCATGTCCACGAGAAGCCCTTCGAAGCGCGCCTGCTCCACAGCGAGCCCAAAGTTTAGGCGATCCCCCGTGTAGTTCTTCACCACCAACAACACACCCTTTGGTCCCGCGCACCTGGTTGTGACGAGAGTGTTGGAAGGGAGCACAGCATGCTCGCAGCGAGTAAGAACACGCTCACATCAACGCCCATGATCGGCACGTGGCATTGGAAACACCAGTGCCCATAGGCACACATATTGATACACTGTGACTGACGCAAGCGTACAAACACTCAGACACACATGCGCACACACTCACCTCACTCACGAACAACCATAGACACTCACACACACACACTCTCTCTCTCTCACACGCACAGACACACACACGCGCGCGCATAGCAGCCACCGTAGACACTCACACACACACACACACACACATCACAGCCACCACAGACACACTCACACACGCATGAACGTACGCTCGAATTGCTGCAAGGACGGCAGATGTTGGTGGGGAAGCAAACACATCCCCTGCCACAGCAGCCGCCAACATCCCGTCTCCAATATAACCAACGTGTGCCGGTTCATGTCCACTCCCTAGACAAGGGCACATGCAAGCGCCGTGAAGGAAAGTTGTTGGGTCAGTGGCATTCTGACAGCGATACGACCTTCCCCTTCCCACATGCGCAGCGCGCATGACAAAGCGTTTGCATTGACAAGATCAGCCCGTACCGCCACCAGAGATGATGCACACATGATCCTGCTTGAACGTGTCAATGTCACTGCGCACCACAACACGGTGGCCTGAGAAGCAGAACAATGCACGAAAAGAGGAGGGAAGGGGATGAGCACAAGGTGTGTACAGATACAAAGAGTGTGGTTGCACACTCTTTTGCACACACGCACATACACACACATGTACGCCTGTGCAAGACACACAAACACGCACATGCATATGTATGCACGTGCAAGTACCTTTGAGTATTCTCAGGCGTGGGTCTGCGCGCACAAGGCCGTGCAGAGCATCATCCACAATCTTTGGGTCAAGGTGTTGCGCGTGGGCCATGTAGGGTGAGAGAAGACTCGGACACAAAGTGTTTTCTGACACGCACACACACACACACACACACACACACACACACACACACACACACACACACACACACACACACACACACACACACACACACACACACACACACACACACACACACACACACACGTACAGCGGCTGGAAAGTCGACGAGCTGTGGAATGTGTGGATGCTTTATAGGGTGGTGGTGCTTTGCCAGGTCTTGACCACTTTCGGCTCGGCCATCCTCATGACACGAGGAGCACACACGGCGCAGCACCCACGCCGCTGCCGCTGCCACACTCACAAGCCCAGCAACCATCACGTCAATCAATCAAGCCACAAGCAAGCAACAAGTGAAGAAGCACAAGAAATGCAAACAAAAGCTGAATTTGCCTTGAAGCTCTTTACGCTCCTCCACTACACTGAAACGCGCCAACACCTCAACACGGTCGAACACAGGCGTGCAGACGTCTCAGAGCGCGCAACACGTGAAACGTCACGCCTCAAGCGCGGCACTGTTCCCCTCCCCACCTCCAGCGTCCCTTCCCCCACACCCTCCTTCGTCAGGTCAATCGTCGTCACCCTGGTTGCAGCAGTTGAGAAAGGAACAACAAGAAGAGCCGCCACCGCGTGCGCGCTTTCGTCTGCGCTTCTCAGCTTTCTTCCACTCTTGAAACGCAGAGAAGAGGAGCCGCGCGTGTGCTGGGCGGACGCCGTCGGACTGGAGCAGCTCCATCGTCAGGTCACCGCTGTCAATCATCACTTGAAGCGTCTCGAAGCTGTGTGCGCCAATCGAGAGCAGGGCGTCCTTCACGTGGTCCAGCAAGCCTGTCTCCTGCAGCCAAATCTCAAAGGCCGTGTCCAACTGCAGCATGTCCTACAGTGTGTGTGTGTGTGTGTGTGTGCGTGTGCGTGTGCGTGTGCGTGTGCGTGTGTGTTATTGTGTGCGTAATTGTGCGTGTGTGTTCGCGCGTTCGTACGTGTGTGTGTGTGCAGGATCAGCTACACAAGGAGTCTCTCAAACTGCTCCATCGATCCCATGCTGTAAGCAACTCATCGGTCCACATTGAATGCGCTCAAACCCCCAACGAAACAAACTACGGCTCACCTCAGCGCCATGTTGGCGCAGTAGTTCCACGATTTCATCCCGTTCATTCTGCTGCGCCACATACATGGGCGTCCATCCCTGTGGCCAAGTCAGCAAGGTATGCACGTGTATATGTGTGCGTGTAAGCGTATTGTGTTGCCATCAACATCGTGTGATCGTGAGCAACCAATGCACCACCTCTGTATGCGCAATGCGCGCGCGCGTGTGTGTGTGTGTGTTTTCCCATGGGCATGCGGTGTCCCGGAACTTGCAGTGCAAACCAGCCAAGCAGACTGAAAAGCAACGTGCTGATGTGCGGACTGACCCCGTGATCCCTGGCGTTGATGAGTGCACCGTGTCGCAACAGCGCCTTGACAACACCAGCGGCACCCTCCAAGCAGGCAAAGTGCAATGGTGTCCATCCCTGACGCACCAACCAAAGAAGCATCACATTCTCAGCGCGGTGAGTGAGGTAGCCCTTGATCATGCAGCTCGCAAATGTGACATGCACACTTCAAGCATACGGGTCAGATACGCACATTTGCGTCGCGGCAGTTTACGTTTGCACCGTGCTCAACCAGGAGCTGCACTGACATGTCACTGCCATGTACGCTGGCAGTGTGGAGTGCCGTCCATCCCTTGGCATGCAATGATAAGTACGTGTACATGTGTGTATGGGTGAGTAAGTGTGAGAGTGTGGGGCGGTGCGTACGAGGAGGAAAGGGACAGGCAGACAGCAACAGGCAGCGAGAGAGAGAGAGTGTGTGTGTGTGTGTGTGATTCTTTTGTGTGTGTGTGTGTGTGACAGACATGAATGGTTGTGTGAATCTTGTTTCCCAAATCTTACAGCATCATTCTTGGCATGCACATCAGCTGCGTAGCTCAGCAGCACGCGCACCGCCTTGTGTGAGTTGTACTGGCTCGCATCATGCAGTGGCGTGTCGCCCTAAAAACAAGCACAGATGTGAGTAGTGCACCCAACGCATGTTTGTGCGTGTGTGTGTGTGTGTGTGTGTGTGTTCGTGTGATCTTGTGTGCACGTGCGAGCGGAGAAGACTAGGGTGCACATGCTGGGTGACAGTGTTCCAGCGTTCCATTAAGTCTACATACATGGGTGGTCGCATGTGCAATTAATTGGGTTCATTCACAGTCGCACATTCGCAAACTCATGCTTGACCAATCTCTCGAGACTTGTGCACAGTGCGAACGTCCACGCACCGTTGGATCCCTCCCGTTGACGTCTGCTTTGAAATCAATCAGCCGCCTCACAATCTCGCTGTGGTTGTAGCGGGCTGCAATATGCAGCGGCATCTTGCCCTGTTTCGCAAACAGAGCCAAGAAGAGGCATCCGGCGAATGAAATGGGAGGGGGGTGCAACCTTGTCAAATTCCAAGCTCGAGTCATTGCCTGCACTTCACAGTGACTAGCAGTGTGCATGACACGAGCACACAACGGGGGGGGGGGGTAAAGGAGTACGAGTAGACGTTACGACGGTACCCCCCCACCGAACCCGACACACACACACACACACACACACACACACACACACACACACACACACACACACACACACACACACACACACCCCTTCCACAAACACGCCCTTAAATATTCGCACACCTGCACACATTCGCTCTTGCGCACCTCTGTGTTGGCTTCATTCGGGTTAATCCTGTGCTTGAGCTGGGATAACGCGGCCTTCAGGTCGCCTTCTTCGCAGGCAATGTGTAGAGACTATCGTTGCACAAGGTGGCCCAATGGCAAGGTATGACGGCAATGTGCAGTGTGAGCACGGCAGGAAGACTGGGCCACACCAAGCGCTGGGAACAGATGCTGACGCTGGGGCGGAGGCAAGCACTAGGAGCCCAGGCTGCCTCACCCAACAGGTGCACCCAACTCACATGAAAGGATCGAGGCTGGCTGAGGAGGTAGATGACGTCGCAGCGGTTCGCTTTTCTCGCACGATCCAGTGCCGTATTTCCCTTTGGTGTAGAAGGCGAGCGATTTCATTGGGTTTTAGCACAGTATGAAGGTGCATCGCTACACCAAATGACGACTGCGATGTGGGCCACACAATCCATATTCACATTCAGCAAACATCCCCCACAAACTCACGTCTCGGTCTTTGATGGCCGGGTCGGCTTCATGCTGGAGAAGGAAACGAACAATGTCGCCGAAGCCCTTGAAACTCGCGTCGTGCAAGGCTGTCCCGCCCTGTTTGAGTGGGCGCGTGCACAAGCGTGGTGTGAATGGATTGGGAAGGAATGCCAGAGGAACAGGGGGCGGGGGATGGGCCACCTGTGTTCCCAATCACACTTTGTGACTCACGTAATTGTCGCGGTGATTCACGTCTGCGCCATGATCCAGAAGGATCTTCACCAGGTTGAGGTGTCCATTCCAACATGCATAATGCAATGGCGTGCTTCCCTATGAACGGAACAGTGGTATGTACATATCGCGCGTGTTTGCGTGTGCGTTTGTGTGTTTGTGCGTGTTTTGTGTGTTTTGTGTGTGTGTGTGTGTGTGTGTGTTTTGTGTGTGTGTGTGTTTGTGCGTGCGTGCGTGCGTGTGTGTGTGTGTGCGTTTGAAGCATGAGAAGGTGGTGTAGCCGTTGGGTGATCGACAGCAGCGAATACAAGCAATACCGCACATGAACATTCGAAAAAAGAGTAGCATTTACAATCTGGCGTGTGTGCAACACACAGGCACAGAACACGAGATGGAAGGCCGAAGGCCATGCCACTCACGGTCTCATTTGCAGAGTCGACGAGAGCTTCCTTGTCAAGTAGCAATGCAACGATGGGCTCGCTTCCCACCACACACGCATGATGCAGCGGTAGGTAGCCCTGCCATTGTCGTGTGTGGTGTGTGTGTGCGTGCGTGCGTGCGTGCGTGCGTGCGTGCGTGCGTGCGTGTGTGTGTGTGTGAGTGTTGCAATGCTGCACATTTGAACCATTGGGAACATGATGACTGCGCGACTGCGTGACACACCGAGCGTCTGCTCAAACCAAGCAGTGCTAAAGGATATGGAGACTCACGTAGGCGTCACGCCGGTTGACGTTGGCGTGTTTGGAAATTAACTTCTCCGCCGCCTTGACGTTCCCATCCCGACATGCCCTGTGCAGCGGGGCAAGCGCTTGCATGTGTATGCGTGTGCTTTGTGCTGTGTGTGTCTATGTGTAGTGTACTGTGTGTGTGTGTGTCTTTGTTGTCTGTGTTTGTGTTCTGTTGTGGAATTTGAGTTTAGCGGCAGGAAAATTGGCTCTCTTGTTGGCTTTGGACTGCTGCTCTTCCTTCTATGCTGACGACATGATGTCCGACTCAGCACTTTCAGCACTTTCCCTCACGTTTTTGGGTTGTAGGCGCTGCTGCAGTGTTGAGACTGTGAGAGCAAACAAGAGCAAAGCCCCACAGTGCCGAAAATTGAACACAGCACTTCAACTTTTCGCAAACGAACCCGACCAGCCACCGCCGCCGCACCGCACAAAATAACGGCAAAGAAGCAACAACAAATCCCCAACGACTACCACCAATCAAGCAAGCAAGCATCGCCTCAACAACACACGTCGCCATGGACTCGTCCTCACCCGCACGCGAAGGAATGGTACGGCGTGCTTCATGCAGGAACTCGATGTGCACTGGATGGGGTAGAAGAACCTTCTTGCGTGCGCTGAAATCTCTCCCTGCTTCGTTGGCTCAAACCTCACGATCGATGTGTGTATGTTGTTTTGGTGGGCTGGTTTGTTGTTTGTCTTGATGTTGATCGACTGGTTGGTGACGTGCACACATGGCATGACACCGGCAGGTCAAGGTTGTCACCTCCAGTCAGCGCCAGCAGGCCATGAGCGAACTTCAAGGCGTGAGTGCCTTCTTTTCTCTTTGGTTGATTGAGCGTTGACTCTGCGGTCGTCAAATCTGCACCGCTCAGCACCTGCTCACTTGCTTGTGCACTGTGTTGCTGTTGTGTAAGTTGTTGTGGCCACTCACGGTATCCTGCCTATGCTATTTGATTTGCTGCTGATCTCCTGGGGTGAATGCAGCTGGAATCCTCCTTGGCTGACGTGAGATCGTCCATCGCAGAGCACTCCAAGATCCTCAAGGAGCTCCGCACAAAGGAAGAGCGGCTGCAAGAGGAGATCTTCCAGTGCAAGCAGCGCGTAAGTCTCCTTTTGACACGCCAATCCGTACACAGCTTGCACCAGGGTCATTCAACCTATCCTGCATTTCTCGTGCGATGTCCTTTCTGTCATTGCCACACACACACACACACACACACCCGCATACACGTGCACGCATGTATCCACGCGCACATGCACACGCACATACATACACGTGCACGCATGTATCCACGCGCACATGCACACGCACATACACACACGTGCACGCACGTATCCACGCGCACACACACACGCACACACACACACACACACACACACACACACACACACACACAGGTGCACGTTATTGACACACACTTTTGCATTGATGTATCAAAGTGTTCACCCTACGCATGTTCGATTGCACCCCCCCCCCCCGTTGTAACAGTACTCGATTGCCCAAGACCACGTGTTCCGCAGCAAAGTTGCCCAGCTTGAGGTAGGTGGGTGTGCATTTGTGGCTTCACAAGCTGCTCTTTGTCGTGTAGCTGATCATTCGCCGCCGACACATCGGTTTAGGTGCAAGGTGCCCGTCACAAGGACATACTGCCCTGATGCTAGATGCATAACCGCTCACATCTGTGTTGCCCGTGCGTGTGCCGTGTTGTCTCTTCAACGAAACCAAACGAAACCTTACCACACACCCTGCAGTCGGCGCTGGAGAAGCAAGACCTCAGCATTCGCGAGCTGCAGGCGGCATACGAGCGGGCTGTGGCCGAGCGCATGAAGATCGAGGACGAGTTCAAGCAGGTGCGATTGTGTGCTGTAATGAGCGCTGTTGTGTGCTAGTGTGGTTGCGGTGTGCGTCATATGATTGTGTGCATGTGACACTGTTCACCATCGTCTTTCACACACGCCGTTCTTCTGTATGCTGCTCCCGCGGTGGGATCACAGGTGATCAAGCTTGCCTCTGGCCCAGAAGCTCTCAAGAAGCAGGTATGCGCATGAGGCGTGCTCACCTTCACACAACGCCGTGCGCATTTGTACATGCACAGAGCACACACACACACACACACACACACACACACACACACACAGAGTACATTTATACAGTACCCCCACCCACCCACACCACACACACACACACACACACACACACACACACACACACACACACACACACACACACACACACACAAGCACGCACGCACGCGCACACACACATCACACATACACAATCACGTGCACTCACATATTTTCACACCTCACCTCACCACACCCATTCCTCAACCCACCAACCTGTTTCTACCTGCGCCGTGTGCGTTACCAGCAAACCGGCGAGGCCGCAGTTGCGACGCGGTATGAGCTGACTGCATCCCAGGCCGTTCGCTCCGGTCGGAGCCAAGATCCGCTCGCACAGGACCCCGTGCCCACCGTCAACCGCTTCAAGCACATCCACGAGACACAGACGGGCCAGCCCTCGCGCCGGTACGCGTCCACCATCAACGATCTCGGAAAGAGCGCGCCCTCCCCGTTTGTGCACGACGAGGAATACAAGGTTGTTGGCAAGCGCCCTGAAGGTCCACGTGACTTGGGATCGGCGCGCTTCTCGGACTGGCGTCGTCCTGGCTCGCGTGCACAGCAGCCACCCGGCGGCCGCTCCCAGATGAGCAACATCCTCGGCTGAGGCCTGCTGCCATGACATCATGGTGCATGTTTTGTCTTGTGTTCGTACTTGTGTGTGTGTGTATGTGTGTGTGTGTGTGTGTGCGTATTTGTGTGTGCATTGGCGTTGTGTAAGATGAACATGAGTGTGTGTGCGTGTGCATTGGTGTTGTGTAAGATGAACGTGTGTGTGTGTGTGGATGTGTGGATGAGTATGTGAGTCACTTGTTTGCATTCTTTGCGTGTGTAATGTGTGACTGCCAGGGATTGTGTTCACGCTGTGTCTGTCAGAAAAAGCCCTCGGCTTGTGTGTTGGTTCTTGCCTCTTGTTGTTCGTCTTTCGTCAATGCGTTTTGGTTGCTTCGAGCTGCTTCTGTATTTCATTGTGGTGTTGCCTTTAGTGGCCCCGTTGTGTTGTTGGCACCCGTGACACACCTGCTACCCGATTGTGTCGCTGTTGTCGTGGGCCGCCACGCGGCTTTTGCGATGCCTTGTTTGCTGCTGTTTGTTTGTTTGTTTCTCGTGCGGCTGCATTGTGTTCATCATTACTTTGCTCTTGAGCTCCCGTTGGATAAGGAAGCACACCGTTTTTTGTTTTTTCCTCTGTTGCACGGGCTCAGTATTGTTGCTGTTGTTGTTCCTCGCTACCGCTCACGGTACTCAGCCTTCACGTCAAATTACGGCCTCTGTTCTGGGCACGTGTGCATGTTCCGAGCAATGAAGACCCTTCTGATGACACCTGTGTACGCAGAGCAACCCCGTGTCTGCAAACACTATCATGACACAACAACAACAACAACAACAACAACAACAACAACAACAACAACAAGAAGCAGGAGAAATCCGTTTATGTTGTGTTGATACGATGCAATGTGACAACACGGTATGGTGCGAACAAGCAGTAGCAAACAACGTGCGTACTTGCTTAACACACAAGTCAGTCCCTAACATGGCTTCTTCAACATGCGGCCAAGCAGTGCACAATAGCGGGTATGAACAGAGCAGGCTCACAGTCATGTACGTGCATTCAGTGATAATTGAAACCAAGAAGCAACAAAAAAGCTCGAACATCGAACGTAGTGACAGAGGAGAAAAACGTGACGGTCCAATGGGCACGTTCGAGGCTTTGCACAAGTGGCAGCAGTGGGCGCGCTAATCGTGACAGTGCAACAACAAGGTAGGGATTGCCAGGGCGATCTGCTGAATCACGTGCACAGCACCATCACGACCGCCACACAACACTGCAGCAACAAATCGCCAGAGAGACAAGAAACAGGAGCGCCCAGTGATCATAACAAAACAACACTCCTAGTGATGAAGGCGAGGTGTGGTCCCGAAGCTCTAAATGCCACAGCAATAAATACACAAACGTCTTCTTGTCCATCACTCTACACCATGCATGACACAGCCAAGACACACAGGTGTCTGTCTGCAAGCACTCCAAAAGAGACAGCACACACACTCTCTCAAAACACACGCACCCACACACTCTCTCAAAACACACACACTCACACAGCACATGCACGCCTCATTCACGCCTCATTCCGTGGGGATTGCATTGAGGCGCTGGCGCACTCGCTTGCTGAACCCACGACGAATCAAGTCGGGTTCCTGCACCAATTCAGCAACAACACAAGTGCGTGTCGGTGTGCAATGTATGTGAGAAAGTGTGCAAGTGCGGGTGCGTGTGTGTGAGAGTGTGTGCATTCAAAGAGAGTGCAACTGGCCTTTAGAGTCGATGACATGGGCATGATTTGTGAGCATCACGTTACTGGTTGTGTCTGTGTTCACTTGGGCATGATGCAGCACAATACGTCGCTGTGTGCACTCACAAAGAGGATGGTGGAGATGAGATCGCCTCCAATGAGCCGGGTCAGCTCAGTTTGAATGCCACTGTCCACAAACAGCTGGCGTAGCAGATTGCCGCCTGCAATGTCACACACACATGCACACGCGCACACACACACACACACACACACACAAACACACACAAACACACAAACAAACATGCGCATACACACACAAACAAACACACATGCACACACATGCACACAAAGATTAGCAGTCAATCACCCATTGACCTGGGGTACTGAGAACGCCTGCGACACTAACAAAGTGCTCGGCTGCAAACATCGTGTGCATTGCGACAACAGGACAACGACGCAAACCCACTTTCGGTTCGGACGAGTTGAAGTGTCATGCATGCCAGGTTCCGCGCCACAATCAAGTGTGTTTTCGCTCTGTTCCACACGTCATGTCATCGTCCACCAGTGTTGAAACGCCCAAGTTAGAGCAGAGCAAAAGGCGTATGAAACAGTCAACACTGACAGCCGCTGGCATGTGTGTGTGATATGAACCCTTGATGTGGGTTTGTCTGGTTGCACACAACAGACTTCGAACAGGCGTGGCCCGTGCACTCACCGAATAACGTCGCCTTTAATCTCGGGGTATTTGTTCAGCAGCGTAGACAGCAGCTTTGTTGCTCCAGCCTGTATTCAGTTAAGTGCACAATACAAGAAAAGCGAATCGTTCGCATGCAAGCGCATGTGCGCGCGTGTGTGTTGTGACGGGGCGTGACAGTGCGTGTTAGAGACACAAACACGATCGACAATGCGTGTGGCAATTGAAGAAGGGTGGTAGTGTACATTCTATTCACACACGCACCCTCATTTGTCAACACCCACACCCTCATTTGTCAACACACACACACACACACACACACACACACGGTGCTTGCAAAACGAACCGCTGTGTAGTCGAGGACATGCATGGTGTAGGAAGTGTCTGTACTGGCAGCGCCAACGGGCGTGCTATTGCTCACTCGCGTGCTACGACTGCTAGTGCCACTGCTTCCTCTTCTGTGTTCTGGTGTTGCGCGTGCGGATGGCGTTGTCGTTTGGCGGGCAGCAATCATCTCAACGAGTGACGTGACAAGCCGCTGTGATCAGCAGCAGAAGAAGAGAATACAGGTACAGACACGACACGTGCGTGTAGGCGTGTGCGTGAGTATGTCCTCATGTGAGTTCGCTCATGTGAGTGCATTTGTGTGCGTGAGTCAGTGCTTGAGCCGCCATTCTTGTGGGTGAGAATTCGTTGGTGTTACATATGCACCTCGATGGGCACACGCGTCAGGGTGAACCACGAGCACGAAAACAACAACAATGGAGAAACAAATTACCGGCAGCATGGAGGGATGCTTCTTCAAGAGAACGAGAATGAGCTCTTGCCCTTCATATGGGAGTGAACAGGTTCGACAGAGAGGGAGACAGATATGAGCTGGAAAGAGAGTATGGGTGCCATCACGCAACCTACATGTATGTGTAACTGTAACTGAAACTGTAACTGCCTGTTGTTCACACACGCACACGCGAACGCACCTTCGCTTTGGACCTCCAGGTTGGTGCTGGACAGAATGACCAGATAGGGGTCAAACTGCTCAATGAGCGGGGCGTTTGGTCTCTGCGCAATTCACAGTAGGGGAATCTGAGTGAGCTGGCATGATACGAAGTCACAAACCAAGCATACAGAGGGTGTGGTTGCGTTGTTGTAAGACGCGTTGTCGCCCTGTGCACCAGGAACAAGCTTGAGCAAGTGATTTGCGCGCACACACAGCATCAACTTACGTCCAGGAGGCAGCGGATTGCAAACACGAAGCAAGGTCGAAGCTCTGGCCCGTCGTCCACAAGATCGGTCGTGAGGTGACGCAGAATCGTGTCCATCATGTCTTGGTCCACTGCAGGTTTCAGGGCGTGTGCAAGATGGCGTGAGGTGAGGAAGCAGGACAACAATGATGCGCCAGTGTCTGTACTCTCCACAACGGACCTGCAATTGCACGGGGCCAACATGTAATTGCACATGTGCATATATGCACACGTGCACATACACACATATGCGCGTACATGATGTACGCACATGCACACATGCACATACATGATGTACGCACATACACAAGCCATACAAGACACACAGTACGAAATAAACACGCACACGAAACACATACACACACGCGCGATACACGGCGCACATCGCAGTACCTGATCCCATCTCCACGAGGAGGCGTTTGCCTTCTTCAAGAGCGCTGGGCGAGATGGTGCGATACATAGTGTTGATGACGACACCAATGCCTGATGTGACAATGCAGCAAGAGCGGTAACAGCAGGGCACAGGTTGTAGTGAGTCATGTGTGACAAGTGTATGCTGCGGGGGGGGGGGGAGGGAGGAGGGTAACCGATCATGCACCAGTGCCGCGCCTGGGATGGGCTCGAGTCAAGAACGTACTTGGCGACTTCTTGATCACGTTCTGAAAATGCGGCCCGGAGCCCACGATACAGCGCAGCAAGCGCAGCACTTGGGCATGGGCGTGCTGTGTGGGGTTGTGGGCACACGTGGGTTGCAGAAGTGACGGTACGTGCGACGTCGGGGACATACATACATGAGCATAGACACAACGCATGTAGACACAACGCATGTAGACACAACGCATAGACACACACACGAGACATGCAGACACAACGCACACTCACACAGCATACACACACGTGCACACACACAGACACAGCGCACACTCACACAGCATACACACACTCACTGCTTGTGTTGGCGACTGCAGCATGTCCAGCAACACAAGGTGACCTCCAACTTCGATAAACTCCAGCACATACTTGTGGCTGTGTCGTCAACACATGCGCAGCACGATATCCGTAAGATGGGCTGACGTACAACATCAACACCACTGTCAAGGACTACATCACTCACGAAGCAACACAGTGTAACATACCCGCCAGTGGCTGTTAAGAACGCAGCCAGAGCCCTCAGCTGCGATCTCGCACAACTCTTGGGATGGCTGTACCTGAGCGTGTGTACAGGAAAGCAAAAAACGTGAATGCGTTGGCAAGTGCACGTGAGAGGACGTTGTGCTCCTGGAGTCATAGTGCAGGGTGCTTACTGAGCGTAGGTCACTGGCGCCTTCGCTGGTGCTGGTGCTTGGTTATGACACATTTGCATATGTGTGTTTGTGTGCAGGCTGAGTTTTGGCCTGCTCGGCTTCTACTTACGTGAGACGAAACCAGGATGTAACGCGAGCGAAGAAGAGGCTGGCCGAACCAAAGAACTCGTGCTCCAGCTGCGTGGCAGAGTATCCTTGACAGCGTTCGTTGAAGGTGGCTAGAATCCGTGCTCGCTTTGCCCCATTTGCCTTATTGAACCAAATCATAACAACACAAGAGTGTCAGCACACGTGTACGCAACGTACAGACACAAAATATACACAGAGACACATCTTTGGCGCTGGTTACGGCGTGGCATGCTTGTGTGATGCACAAGACATTCTCACCATGTCCCAAGCGCGGAGGCGCTGTTGCAGCAGGAACCCATCTCGTGCTGGTTTCTGCCACAGTTGAGGTCGTGCGTGTGTGAAACGGGCAGGAAGGGTCAATCAGGGCGTCCATATGTGTGTGTGTGTGTGTGCTTGTTGTACGCAGCACGCAGCAAGTAAGTCCGCACCAGCCCTCATCGCTCGTGCTTATTCAAATGCAACAACCTTGGTTGCACCGTGAAACACATGCAAATCAGCGAGGGTGTGTGTGCGTGTGTTGTGGATGCCGTGCATTACCTACCTGGAACAGAGAGGGTCCGCTTCCGCCTTTTGGAGATCGGCTGGTGAGGAGCTGGGACTCTGAGCGGGCGCTTCGAATGCTGGCCGGGCTGCGGCAGCTGGAGAGGGAGAAGCTCCTTGATCTCCATCGCTGGGCTGGCCCGGAGGAGGATGTAGACCCGGTGGAATCAACAGAAAGACGTTCGAGCAATCGCGGGGAGAAGTGTCCACTCATGGCTGCTCGTCGCTCCTGACATGCAGACTCAAGGAGAGGCCAGAAGGGCAGCCAGCCTTGGGGTGCGGGTCGGCGATGTTGGCGATGGCCGCTGCACCGGTTGACTCGGTCAGGCGGTGTTGGTATGTGGGTGCGGATGAGCTGCGGAATGTGAGACGTCCACTTGTCCTGTGGTCGTGGGATTGAGACTGGCGTGCTGTTGTTGTGTTTTCTTGGTGGGAGCAAGTTCACTCGTCACCAAGAGTGCCCGGCGAATAACAACAAATTGCTTTCTTCTGACACTTGCGTCTTCATGATGTGTGTGTGATGTGTGTGACGCCACACAGTCATGAGGCGAGGCAAGCGGGTTCATGTATCCTGGCGTTGGAGCTCTCGGCGCAAGGTCGTGCCACCCCGCGCCGCTTGCACACGGATGACACCGCCATGCCTGACAATCCTTTGACGAAGTGCGCCCACACCACACAGAAAAATGGTGGAAGATGTTCAGGGCTTAAGGTTGGGGGGGGGGGGGGAGTGTCATCATTGCATGTCTCGCCAAATCAGGTCAAAAGAAGAAGGATGCTTTTACTTGAAGGCACTGAAATCCATGGTCAGTTTGATTTTGGGAGCAGCATGTTGTGTGGTGCGGTGTTGTTGCTGTTGCTGCTGCGCTTGTGCGGCGCTCTGTGAAAAGCAGCAACGGTTGGGGAGGGGAGTTTGTGTGGGTGGAGAGGGTGAGCATGCGGAAGTCACAAAGCAAGGGGGGGGGGGAGGCGGGCGCAGAGTACGAGCCGAAGGACAGCAACAACAGATGAATGCAACAACAGATGAATTCAGGAGCATCGAGAAGATGCACACACATGTACACAGAGACAAGACACACACACGCGCGTATACACGCACGTACGCACGCACACACACACAGACACACAGGCACGCGCACACATACACACACACACACACACACACACACACACACACACACGCACACAGACAGACACAGACACGCACACACACAAGGTAAGGTACGCACGTGTTTCATGGCTTGTTCGAGTTTAGTCTTGAGCTGTGGCGCCTCTGTGACAACCTGGCGGAACGCTGCGGGGTGTTGGGGCCCAACCCGTTTCAAGCTGTCCAACGCTGCCGTTGAAACTGCGCGCTCCAGGTTATTGGCAGGCGTGACAGTCAGCAGCGCCACGAGGATCGGCAGCACCACCGCCATCAGCTGCGGCTGTGCTTCTTCCGGCACAGAACGAAGCGACGCCTCCATGCACAGGATGCCTTGCTGCACCACATCCAAGTCCTGCGAGCGAGGTGGTTGCACAACGATGTCACAATGGTTAGTGGCGCAAGCCATGTGACCAAACAATCGTGCAGACCATATGCGTTTCTTCTTATTCGTGGATGTTTGTGTGTGTGTGTGTGTGTGTGTGTGTGTGTGTGTGTGTGTGTGTGTGTGTGTGTGTGTGTGTGTGTGTGTGTGTGTGTGCGTGTGTGTGTGCGTTGCGGCAAGTGTACCTCAGGGCATGTTGGTTTGTTGCGAACGGCCTTTGCCACGGTCTGCACGAGCTCGTCGCCAACGCTGGCCATGAACACCATCGCTGCCGGTCCGCTGGTGCACAGTCGAAGGGCAATCTTCGCAGTCCTTGCCCGCACCTGCCAGGTGCCAAAGAGCGACATGGAGCGTGTACGTGAGGCGTGCATGTGTGATGCATGTTAAATGTATGTGTGTGTGTGTGTGTGTGTGGCATGGTGGTCTGTGTGCGTTGAATTGTTCTCCAGCACGGTCAGCAGCCCAGATAAACACGCTGCCTCAGCCCATTCCACAAACAGCAAAGAAAGCGCGGGTACGTACCGCTGGCTTGGTTGCCACAAGCGCGGACTTGATGGCGTGGAAAACAGCATCTTGGATCTCGGCATGTTGTGCGCACTTTGATGATGGGGAAAGCCCCAATCGAAAGACATCGGATCAGGAAATGCGCAGCAGACGCACAGAACAAGTCTCGTGTGAATTTGAGCGACTCATGCAGCACAACATCAATCACAAGCGCGCAAAGCTCACGCACACAAGCAAAACCTGCGCGCACACAGACACACACAAACACGCACGCACACAGACACACACAAACACGCACGCACACAGACACACACACACACACACACAACACAGAGTCAGGCGCACCTCTGGCGACAAGGAGACGATGAGGGCAACGGCAAGCAGGAGCGCCTGCGTGTTTGTGCCATCAGCCATGCTCCTCTCACAGATGCGCTGCAGGCAGTGCGTGCATCATGGTGTGAGTGGATCATGTTGTGAACACTTCGCCAAGCGAGAAAGCCGTTTGCACTGCCCTCTCTGATCGTTCAGTGCTTGAGTGACGTGAGATGACTCCCACATTAAGACGCTAAACTGCCTCGGCAACGCACCTTGCATGCAGACTGGAGAAATGGCACTGCGGGTGGTTTCCCGCGAAGACTGGACACCAGCGATTGAAATGTCTACAGCACATACGCAAGGATGCGACGTGAACGCGAACACAGGACAGCAGCTCAAAGGAGGGTAAAGCGGGAAGGGTGGTTCAGGTGCGTGCGTTCCTTTTCAAGTGCGCGTTTGAGAGGGTGCAAGAAAGGTCAGCCATACCTTGGCGGCGTGTTGTGTTGCAGTGCTGTCGGGCAAGGCCAGCACTTCAATCAGCATCAGCAGCGCACTGGGAAGCACATGGTGTCTGGCAAACGCGTGCAATGACCATGGCGTGGAAATGTGAGAAGGGAGGACGCGCGTATTTGCGTGTGCGCGTGGTGTTGTGAGGGTTAATGTGTGCGGTTGTGAGTATGAGGTCGTGTGGAATGTGAGTGCATCAGCGAGCGAGATGGGCAAATGCGGGCAAGCACGTGTGTGTGTGCAAGATCAACCTGACAGGCGACATGACCAATGAAGTGAGCACTCACATGGCCTCTGGTGTGGCTGCGGTACACAAGGAGGCGAGACAGGAGACGAGGGCACACAGCAGAGGGGCGTCGCTTTCCGCAACGTGCGGTGCGGGCTGTGGTGCACCGCCGTATGGGGTGGTCGCGGGCGCACCGTTCTCTGCTATTCTCTGCTTCAGGTCTGGGCAGATCAAATACAGCACCGTCGTGCACACCTTTACGCAAGGAAAAAAGCACAAAGTGGTGAGTGGCTCAGTCGTGCATAAAATTGGCTCAGGTGTGTGCGTGCGTGTGTGTTGTATGTGTTGTGCGTGTGTTGTGTGTGTGTGTGTGCGTTGTGCGTGTGCGTGCGTGTGTAATGTGTGATGAGTTCGCGCCAAAGACATCGTTCAAACCTGGAGTGCGATGAGAACTGGGCGCGACTCCTGCGCGTCGACGGAATCGGTGATGGGCGGACCGACGGCAATTGGAGCCTGCGTGCTGCTACTGCTGCTGCTGCTGCGGTTGTCATCACCGTCCGCACGCGGCGGCTGTGCCAGCGACTCAAATGTGCGCAGAACACCAGCAGCAATCTCCTTCGAGCGCTCGCCTGTCAGAACAGCAAGGGAGGGGGAGCGGTAGCGCCGAAGGTGAGGCGACAGGGCCAACATCGACGGAAGAATGATGGTTGCCATTGAGAGTTGGCTCTCAACGATCGGAACAAGAATAGCCGGGGATGTAAGGCCCCACGCCGACACACATGCACACACACACATACATACATACATACACACACGGCAAGTGCTGTTCTCCCACCGCAAACACCCACACCCACACATCCAGCCACACAACGTACCGGAGAGCCCATATGCGTGCGCGGTGTGACGCATGACGGTGGCAATCTCTTGCACAATGTCCACAGCGTCGCAAAGCTTGTTGCCACCAGCAGCCGCAAGTTTCGCAAGCGCAGTCACAGAACTCAGGACGAGGAGCGGGGTGGCGGCGTTGGACACAAGAGAACGCACGCACAGCCCGACTTCAAGGAAAAATAGCGACCCATCAGCCTGCAAGCACGCGCAAAGTGAAAGATCAGGCGTGTGTAAGAGACACAAAGCAAGAAATGTCGGAGTTACACACACAGAAATGCTGGCTTGCGCACATACATACATGCGCACACACGTGCATGCACACCCGCACACATGCGAGAGCACACTCACGTCCTTGTTTGAGGAGTAGAGGTGGGAGGCGGCGGTGATGATGTCTGGGTACGTGGTCTGGTAGAAAGGAATGACTGTGGAGCGCGTGCCGGCAAAGTAAAAGTTCCCAGAGGCCTTGTGATGGTTATTGTTGTTGTTGTTGTTGTTGTTGTTGTTGTTGTTGTTGTTGTTGTTGTTGTTGTTGTTGTTGTTGTTGTTGTTGTTGAGAAGGACACAGTGGTGGCAGTTAAGGTTGAGGGCAGAAGACACAACGAGCAGCATGTCAAGTGATAAAAGGAGACGAAAGTGAAAGCACAGAAGTGCACACACACGCACGAAGACAGACGTAAATCCCACAAACGATCGCAAAAAGGCCTCACCGGGATCTGGGTTGCGTATTCCGGGGGCAGAGAGACGAGCGCATAATCGCGCAGCGCTTCAATCCAGTACTCTTCCAGCCGCGGCAGGTGCGGTTTGATGCACTGCGACAAATGCTGTCGTGGTCGTGTATGTGTGAGTGTGTGTATTTTTTGTGTGGATTTTTTTTTGTGTGTGTGTATTTTGTTTTTGTGTGTGTGTGTATGTGTTTTTTTTTTTTTTTTTGTGTGTGTGTGTGTGTGCATGTATGTGATGTATGACACAGCATACATGGCGCTGCGTGCATTGTGGCCCCACCTGCATGGACGGGGCAGCGAGGGCGCGGTTGAAGATGCTGGCCCACGCTTGGAGAATGCCAAGCCGCAGCATTGTCGAGGCGCGCTCGTTGTATCCGCTGTCCGGCTCTTCTTTCACCGTCTAATGTGCACGCGTGCGGGCAGTGTGACGTGTCGTGTAGTGGAGTGTGACGTGTAAGTGGAAAGGAGAGAGAAGATGCAAACAATCGTGCATGCAGGCAACGCGGGTTCCAATCCTAGCAATCACCTCAAGAGACTTGACGAGGAGGTTCAGCAGTCGCTTGAGGTCAGTCATGTCGCGGTTCACACCGCTGGAAACCCACGATGCGCACACCTGCCCGCACGCAGAGCGAACACATGGCGGTTTGGCGTGAGCAATTCGGTTGGGGTGAGGTGTATGCGTGTGCTCGTGTTTGTGAATGCGGTGCGTGAGTGTGAGTGCGTATGCGCGAGTGAAATGTGTACAACGACCCGGGAAAGCGGGGGTGCCATGATCGAGCGCGCTGTTGTGCCAGACCATGCATGCGCTGTATTTGACGGTCGGTGCCGTGTCCTCGGAGAAGGCGGGACGAAGCGCAGACGTCACCTGAGCACACAGCGAGCACAGGAACCACCAGGGTGAGCATCGCCAGAGGAGGCATGACACACGGGTGGTGTGTGTTTGCGTGTTGGCATACATGGTGTTGTCAGCAAGAGTGTTGAAGTTGCACAAGCATGCTATCCAGACCAAACCGCAAACACACACACACACACACACACACACACACACACACACACACACACACACACACGCGCGCGCGCGCATATGTGTCACCTCCACCCCTCTTGTATCGCTCTCGTGTCGCTCGCTTCCACACCTGGGCCTGGAACTGCTCGAGAATGGAGTGGTTGCCCTCCATGTCTGGATCTGTCGAGTCTGCAAACGAGCGAATGATCAAATCCAACGCTTCAAGACCGGCCTAGGAAGAACACCACGAGACATGGAGGAGGATGAGGTCAAGTGCAAGGTGCCGAACAGTGGAGGTGTGTGACAAGCTGGTCGCTTGCCTGTGGTTCAGCATAGAAGACAGAGCAAGAGAGAGGGGGGAGAGCGTGTGTATATTGTGTTTGTGCGCGCGCATCGGCGAGTGTGTGTTTGTGTGCGTGAACGAGTAGTTACCTTCTTGAGTTCATCTGTTGCGGAGGTGGCTGCAATGAAGCACGTGCGAATCACTTCTGCAAGGCGGACAACAAGTTTGTCGCCCCCACTCGCTCGCGCGGTTTGCATGTCAAAGTGCGGGTTTTGGCCTGGCCACAGCAGTGGGTCCAGGAGAGCACGTGTGAAAAATGTGTGTGTGTGTGTGTGTGTGTGTGTGTGTGTGTGTGTGTGTGTGTGTGTGTGTGTGTGTGTGTGTGTGTGTGTGTGTGTGTGTGTGGAGCTGATTTGGAGAGTGCTACAGGACCATACGCACAACAGGTTTCTCGTTTCGTAACACAAGCTGCAACTTGAGTGTGATTTGCGCACCTGTTGTTTGTTCGACGTCTGCTTGTCGACACACATCGATCAAGTATTCCACACACTCGACGGCAAACACCTATCCGGGGCAGAGTTCGAAGCGTAGTTGTGTGCGTGTGTGAACTGCATACAAGAGCGCGCGTGCACACACACACACACACACACACACACACACGCACACAGGCAGACAGAGACGCAGAAACACATCCCACACGAGTTACAGACACGCTCGCGCACAAACCCCAAGCGTGTCTATGAGCATTACCTTGGTTTGCCACGTGGTTGGCAGCACTGTTCGAACGGTAGTGGTGACTTTGACCTTTGCGTCAATGTCGTCATCACCTCGCTGTCCCTCACCATCACCATCGCCATCGTCGTTGTCGCTGTCACCACCAGCAAAAAACCCGTTGTTGCCGCCAGTGCTGCTGTTGTCGAAGCGCCCAAAGTCCTGCTGTGCCTGGCGCTCCTGCTCCGCCGCAGCCTGTTCAGCCGAGGGGAACGTGTGTGATGGATGGATGGAGCATGCCAATTGAGGGTCGAAGACAGACATGACAGTGGACAAAGTGTGGCCAAACACGCATGCATGCACGCAAGCAAGCAAGTTTACACACACACACACACACACACACACACACACACACACACACACACACACACACACACACACACACACACACACACGCACCTCATCCTCCTTCTGGGTGGCGCCGGAGAGCACGTGGTTGCACATGAAGAGCCAGTGCGAGGGCATGTGTGCACCAAGCGAGGAGATGAATCCTGGACCGCCATTGCAATCAGCAGCAGCAATTACAGCAGCAACAATTACAGCAGCAGCAATTACAGCAGCAGCAATTACAGCAGCAGCAATTACAGCAGCAGCAATTACAGCAGCAGCAGTGGGGTGGTGTTGTTATGAGAGAGGTGAGGCGGTGCGCTTTGCACTAAACATGCACAAGCAGAGCACAAGCAAACACAAGCAGAGCACAAGCAAACACAAGCAGAGCACAAGCAGCACAAGCAGAGCACAAGCAAACACAAGCAGAGCACAAGCAAACACAAGCAGAGCACAAGCAAACACAAGCAGAGTACAAGCAGCACAAGCAAACACAAGCAGAGCACAAGCGCATGCCGCGGTTGCAAGGGAAGACGCGTGTGAACACGGACCGCGAATTGAATCGCGGATGGCGCGACGCAGGACAGGGTCTTCCTCGCTGTCAAGCATGCGGAACAGCATCTTCTCAACGCCGTCACCACTCTGCATACACACACACACACACATGCACACATGCATGTGCACGGCATAGAACAAATGGGAGCTTGAGCACGAGAATGGCGTATTGATCACAGACAAGCGAGCAAGCATGCATGCATGCAAGCAAGCGAGCAATACCGTAAGGAAACAAGGCGAGCTGACCAACAAATCAAAGCCAAAGCCAAACAAAGCGACGACAACAGGCAGTGGGACCTTGTGAACGCTCTCTGCGTCGCGTTGGATGAGCTGCTTGATGATGGCGGTGGCGGCGTGGCGAAGCAGCGAGTGCTGGCTGCTCAGCTTGCTCTGTTGTCCGAAAATAGGCGATGGTTGTGTTGAGTACTTGTGAGTGTCGCAAACCAAGATAAGGGCGAACAATAACAAACACACAACACACAAACAAACACACACACACACACACACACACACACACACACACACACACACACACACACACACGCAAACACACGAAAAGGAAACGGTGCTGCCGTTGCAACGTGACGATCGCATTAGTGCACGGAGGAAGAAGAAAAGCAATCAAACCTTGAGCACGGGCATGAATTCGGGGATGCGCACGAAGGATGGGGCAAACAGAATCAGCTTCTGCATGCCATGCAGCCCGGCAAGCTGCACCGAGGGCCACAGCGACTGCTGAAGATTGTACAGCATGTACTGCAATTTACGGCGCAGCTTCTCCTGCATGTGGACCTCTGGACCAAGTGTGGTGATGAGGGCATTGACCACGTTGCCGGCGCTTCGCTGAACCGTTGCACCTGCAATCAAGCAATGGTCACACAAGGAGCACGAGTGTGAGCGCACTGATCAACAAATGGGCATGTTGGTGCATTTCTCAAGCGTGCGTGTGCAGAGGGGTGTGTGTGTATGTGTGTGTGTGTGCGTGCGTGCGTGCGTGCGTGCGTGCGTGCGTTGATATGGTTTGCTCATACACCTCCAATCTCGTCTTCGTGTTGACAGGCAAGTGTTCATGTGGGCAACAGCGAAACAATGACAGTGTGTCACCTGTGTCACGATGCAGGATGTCCGAGCAGAGCTGCAGGACAGCCGGCACGTGCGGGTGGAAGTTGAATCCGGTTGCATCAATCGTCAGCATGAGCGCATGCAGTGCCCACGTTTGCACATCGCCGTTGGAATCTTCGCTTAGCGCATGCAGCAGCCTGCACACAAAGTTTGCACGTGAATGTGCAGAAACAAGGACAGAGCGAATGAGGATTTCACAAATGCGCAGAGGCATGAAGCTCACATACACACACACGCACACGCACACACACACACACGCACACACACGCACGCACGCACGCAACGCAAGAGCGTACTTGATGGTGATGCGCAAGTGTTGTGAAGCCGTGACACCGCCGGCATAGCGGAGAATGCAGCCAATCGCCAGACTGTTGCCCGTGCGCGCCTCCACGGACGCGTTGCTCTGTACCACATCCACGACAGCACAGGTTGAGATGCAGGGGGTGTGCGGGGAAGGGTTGTCTAAGTATGTCTCGAGTGGCGTTCGTTCGTTTGCGTGCGTGTGTGCCGTGTGTGTTTTGGGTGCAAACGCTGGGTTGCCAACAGTCCACAAATGTGCGCGCTACCTGCACGTTGTCGACGAGGGCGCGAAGAGAATCAGAGATGACTGTGTCATCCGTCACCTGAAACACGACCACCAAACGTGGCAGTGAGCATGTATGTGAGACCGCAAAAGACAGGTGAACCTTCGCATGTATGCACGCATGATAGCGCATAACAAACACACGCAAGCACAAAGCAAGCACAAAGCAAGCGCAAAGAGACAGGCACATGCACACGCACACACACGCAAGCACAAAGACACACACGCACACACACACGCGCGCGCGAAACAGCAGAGAGCACGGACCTGGCCCAGGCGACCCATGGCCTCGCCGGCGGCGCAGCGGACAATCACGTCTGGATTGTGCAGCGCAGCGAGAATCAGGCGGTGGGCAGACACCCGCACCTATTTGCACAAGCGATCGTTGTGGTGGTGATGGTGAGGAGCGGGTTTGTGGAGAAATGCCAGCGAGCGCAGAGGGGGTCAAGCGAGGAAGCAGGTGAAGGACACGGTCGAGGGAAGCTAAGGAATGGTCACAAGTGAACCAACGTGACCATTGCACACACACACACACACGCACACGCATGGCGCAGAACGCTTTGCACCTTTTTGTTTCCAAGCTTAAGCTTGAGTTCCGCCATTTTCTTGAGGCCGCACAGAAACGCAGAGAAGATGTTCACTTGCACAGCTTGCCTGACAATGATTAAGGCGTGAACACACGGGGGGGGGGACGAGGTGAGCACAATAGTGAGGATGTAACGGGGTGATAAGGGGCGAGCAATAGCGAGCAAACACGTCAGAGTGACTAGACCTGACACACATACCCACGCATACGTATGCACGCAAAACACGAAGGCATTTGCACGCAAGGCACGTAGACACACACACACACACACACACACACACACACGCACACACAATTGCGTGCACACTGGCATTAGGGACGGACTGACATGCGAGCAGCGCCCTTTGCGGATTGGATGCAGCTGAGGAAATGTTCCAACAGTTGCAGCCGCTGTTTAGACGAGCCCAACAGTGGGAATATCTGACACGCGTTTTGTTTGTGTATGTTGGGGAAAGATGTGAGCGTGTGCACATGTGCCACGCGAGGAATTGAGTACTGCCGCTGGAAACAGGCAAACCTGCACATGACAAACAAAGCGCACACAAACGGACACAGATGGCCCAGTCAGCTGTTTGATTCGGGGTGAAAAGGCACTCACGATTCCAAAGAGAGCAACAGCGGCATCCAGTACTTCCACTTGGGGCGCCAGCGGCAGCATGGCGGTTGGCTGGGACGAGCATGGCATTGGGGATGTGTGAGCGAGGCGTGAGGGCAACAGCACATGTACGGCTAACCATACAGCTGACATCGTCATGTAACATCACAGATGGAGTTGGACATGGCAAGCACACACACACACACACAGACAGGCAAGCAAGCAGGCGTGGAATAACAAATAAACAGGCAAGCAAGCAAAACAAAACAAAAACAAAACAAAACAAACAATCAATCAAACAAAGAAACAAACAAGGGCGCCGCATGCGTTCGCACCTCCTTAAGGAGGTTTGGGTCGAGCAAGCGGTATGCGTCGTTTGCGATTGAGCCGAGACCACCACGACCGAGAGAGGCGAGCTGCTCCTCCACTGTCGCGTAATCACTCTCACGCGTCGTCCCAAGCAGGATGCTGTCCTCCTCATGGCACTGACGGCCGTTGTTGTTTGTTGTTGTTGTTGTTGTTGTTGTTGTTGTTGTTGTTGTTGTTGTTGTTGTTGTTGTTGTTGTTGTTGTTGGGTGTGAAGGATCAAGTAGGGAGGATGGTTGTGTGATCAGAGGTGTGTATGTGAGCAAAGGCTGCGCCTCAAGCAAGCATCCTGTGACAAATCATCACAGCATTTGCAATCAATGCAGGGCACACACACACACACACACACACACACACACAACCACGTGCCCTGCACACCTGGTGCTCGAGCATGGACGTTCTGTTTGTGAGGGAGACGTGATCGCTGAGGGCAATGTCAGCGACAAGCAGCGGCACTATCCGCTGAAATCGCTCCTCGTACAGCGACGGCGGCACCTGAACAGCACCCACGTATTGGGGGTTTTTTGGTTTTTTTTTTTTTGGGGGGGGGGGTTGAAGGTGTTCATTGTGGTGTTAGTGAGTGAGTGAGTGAGTGAGTGAGTGAGTGAGTGAGTGAGTGAGTGAGTGAGTGAGTGAGTGAGTGAGTGAGTGAGTGCGTGAACTGGAGGGCGTTGTGGTGGAGTGTGTGCTTCGTAAGGTTCGTCATGTGTGCATCGTAAGGTTTGCCACGCAGCCATTTGTATGTGCACGGTTGTCGTACCAAAGCGAGGCAGCTGAACACGCGCGCACGGAAGAGCGCTTTTGTATTTGTGAAAGCTTCTGCGTTCTTGGCAAAAGGGGGCAGATGCGCAGTCACTTTCACCTGTGTGTGTGTGTGCAGTTGGTTGGTTGGGGGAAAATGAATCCAGTATGCATGCATGTGTGCTGAGCGCAAGCTCCCACGCACGGCAAACCAGACACGCACCAACAGACAGGCAGGTAGACAGGCAGACAGACAAACAACACACGCACACGCACACACACACGCACACGCACACGCACACGCACGCACACACACAGACAGAACAGACACATACACACACAAATACCCACCCACACACACACACACACAACACAGCACGCTGCGACGCACCGCCCTGAGGACGAGCGACACGGTCTGGCGCTGGGAGTCCTCTGTGATGATATCGCGGCAGTGCTGCAGATACATCTCGATGCACGACAGCGCCCCAATCAGCCCTTCAAGCGTCAGCTCCCACTGCCGCACGGACAGCCTGCACGCACGAAGGAAGGTGTGGGCGTGGCGGAATGGAAGCAATGGGAGTTGGGAAGAAGTGTGAGTTGGAAGAAAACGCTTCGTGTATCATGACAAGCATTCAAGCTCATTTGCGCAACCACACCCGCATTTGTTGTTGCAACACATGAGAACACGCACGCACATACACACACGCACACGCACACGCACACACGCACATACATTTTCACACGCACAACCCAAAACCCACTTTGCGGACTTGTCGAACGCCTTGATGGTGCGTGTCCAGAGGTCCGTGAGCGTGCTGTGGTGCGGCGTGAGTGCTGCTGATCCCATCGACACGAGCGACGCCAGCAGCAGCCACCCGCTCTTCATCAGCAGAAACGCAGTCACGTCCGCCTGGGGTGACAGCGAGTGCGCGCGTGTACGGTGTGTGCATTTGTTTGTGCGCGCGCGCGTAGGGTGTGCGTGCACGGATGGATGGATGGATGGGTGAACTGATGACCGTGGATGAATGTATGCATGGTGGGATGGATGGGCAAGTGGTAAGTACTCCGAGCATACAGCAACTCGTCTTCACCTCGCTTTGCACACGCACCTTTCGCTGGGTGCTCTGTTGGATGATGTTTGCACCGGCAGACACCGTCTTGTCAAGCAGTCGCTGAGGAATGCCTGCCAAACACACGCGGATAAGAGGCGTTGGGATCTCGATCAGTGCAGCGAGGGCCGCGCAGACACGCGACAACAGCCGTCGTAAGCAAAAAGAGGGAGGAAGAAAGAAAAACGCATGCATAAACAGAGACAAACAGAGACAAAGAAACTTACAAACTAACAAACGAACAAACTTGCAAGCTTACCCACACACACCCCCCCCCCCCCCCCC